CAGCAGGAAGTAACGCCTGGCTATAGCTAATCTTGAAAGAGTAAAAGTAAAGATTTCAGTTAACGTCTCCTTTTTGCTGCCAGGGCTAATCTGGACGGGCTTGCAAGAGTAGCTGTGACTCAGTGACTGAGGCCATCGCTTCGTGAACGAGAGGTCCGTGGTTCAAATCTCACGCCGGACCATAACTTTTTTATTTTTTTTTACAACCGTTTTTATTTTTTAAAAAAAGCTGTAAATATTTAATAGCAATCAAAATACGGATTGCGTTGGTTTCACTCTTTTTGGTGGGGTTAGATTGATTATTTGGTGGAGTTAATTGCGTTGGTTAAGATGGTTATTTGGCGGAATTGATTGCGTTGGTTAGGTTAGCTATTTGGTGGGGTTGGTTTGGTTTTGGTTGGAATGTTCTATAACAAAGCGTTAATAGTAATGTCTAAGGTACTTTCCGTAAGTGCATATGGCACTGTCTTACATTCCATACTCGCGTATGGCACTCGAAGTTTAATTGGTGTAAAATTCAAATCTGACCAATGGGATTGTGCTGGTGCCGTATACATGTACGGAATGTATAAATGCCTCCCGTATATTCTGTAAATAAATTCTCCATTTTTATTTTCTGAAAAAACTATGCGATATGACGTTTTATACAAGAGACAAAAATGTAAATACTAGAGGAAACATTTTACGAAAAGAAAATCTGTCGTTGGTATTTATAAGAAAATGTATGTAGGGATGGGGGTAGTTTTCACCTTTCCCGTACTTTTTCTTGGTTTTTGTGAAAGTCAAATGTTAAAGCACTTAGCAAAACATAGGCACCCAAAATCTCATTCAAATCAGAAGGGTTTTTAAAATATCAGAAAAAAATGTGTTTACTTTTTTAAGTTTGATGCCCTCTAGCGGACAAAAGCAGCACTTTTGTATAGCGGTAAATTGTCTCAAATGAAGTAATTTTGATTCCAAAAATACGTAGTAGTTCTATGTCGACGGAATATTGAGGCAACCTGTATAATACTCTCGAAGCAAAATTATTACATATTGACGAAATATTTAACTATTTTTTAACTAGCAATAATGTTCATTAAATAAATGTATTATTCGGTTACGGAGTACAATAACTGGCTCTGGAATAAAATTAATAAACTATCCTAAGTCTATCTAATAAATAATTACTTAATTTATCATTCAAAACAAATGAACATATCAAATTTTACTTATATACAGTATGGTTCATAAAGCAACAAATGATATCCGCTCTGGCGATAAAAAAAAACAAATATTTTCCCGTTTTACAATACAGCTATAGCAAAATAAAACACTAATTCACCATAACACAAAAAACACACCAAAACACTTTACTTTTGCACTGGATGCGCATTTCGCTAGCCATGTAGCATCATCAGCAGATGATTAAAACAAAGATTCCAACCCCCCCAACTGTAATACAGCTATAATTATTTTCAAGAAAAAAAAATACAGTAGTACCAGAATATAACAGAAAATAAATAAAAAAACATTTTCTCACCGCTCCCCGGAGACCAGTTTGATTGATACTCAACAATGGAATAAATAAAACTATTGATAGAATAATGAAATAAATGAATAAATTAAAAAAAACATAACTTCGTTACACATCCCCTTAGTTCGGTTAAAAATAGATGTCCATATATTTTGATCAGCTATGCTGAAAAAACTAAAGTTCTCCTAATCCCTATAATATTATGAACTCGGTAACCCGCCAAAACGGATATACATTTATACATTTGATATAAATATAAAAAAAATAATACTAAATAATGCCATGATTCGCTGTTGATATAATAAAATTCTCCCCTGTCCTATACCAGGTGCGTCTCAAAAGTGGTTCACCCCCTATACCTTTTTTATTTTTTCATTTAAAAAAACGAGATTTGGTATGTTAGTATATGACACAAATTAGGATTGATTCACGTATTCAATTGTTTTCGGTCACTTCCTGTTTCACCGGAAATGACTAAAACTTCTGATTATTAAATAGAACCCTCGGTATTTTTTTACTTTTTTCGATAGAAAATGACCTTCTGGATAGAATCACATATCATATGTCAACTTTTGACCTTTCCGCATATGGTTTATTTGAAATTATAACTTGCGGTTCGTATCAAAAATTTCACTCGAAATACCAAGTGTGTGGTATCAAATTATTCGTAAAAAAATGCTTTTTCCAAATATGCTAATGAGCCACTCTCGTTCCATTTGAAAAAATTGAGATATGATAAAAAATACGATTTGGGCATTTTCTAAATGGCCAGGACAAGACACTAAAAACATTAGATGATCAAACGTATTTTTCCAAGGCTCCTTGATTAAGAATTAGTTTTTTTAACATAGCCATGGCACTCTAGATTGAATTTTAAAATACGATTTTTTAAGCGAGAATGTCAAAAGTTGACACATGATATGTCATTCTATTCAGAATGTCATTTTCTATCGAATAAAGTAAAAAAATACCGAGGCTGCTATTTAAAAATCAAAAGTTGTAGTAATTTCCGGTGAAACAGACCAAAAACAATTGAATAGGTCAGTCAGTCCTAATATGTGTCATATACTAACATACCAAATCTCGTTCTTTAATCTGAAAAAATAAAAAAGTTATAGGGGTGAGCCACATTTGAGACGCACCCGGTATACCATCATAAAAATTTTAGACTACAGGTGCCCAATCACATATAGTTCGCCGGCAGTGCAGAACCTTACAGATCTATTGTGTGTTCCCCTTTCTTGAGTTATAACGAGTTATAACTCATCAAATAGTCTCAGGGCTTTAACAAATACCAGTATCTGAGACGGCTCCACAAAGACCAGCTCTCCATCCTCGACATCAGCCGTACCAAAGTTCATGGCACGAATGGTCGGCGCACTCAGTGAAAAATAAAGTTTATTCAGACAGGAAAAAACTAAAACTGAAAAAAAAACTGTTGATACAAATACTACTATTACTATTGCTTTCCGAAAGGAACTTAAAAAGCGCGAAAATCAAAGCATTCATTCATGTGAAAATTTTTTGTATTTTTCTTTGATATTAAGGGCTTAACCATCTTTAAAAGTTCATTAAAACATCTGTCATCCATTCTGAGGTAGTTTTAAGGTCATCTGTTGCACTAGTTCTTTATTTTCGCACTTCAAAGGAGATTATTGTATCACGTTGTAACCATCAATATTTCACCCAGAAACTCTTTTTTGGGTTTGTAATTGGCTCTTGCAATAACAAAAGCACGATAAGTGTATTTTTTGTATTTAAAAACATGTTCACTTCAAGATCATTCAATTAAAACTGACGATATGTTTGTGTGTGTGGCGAAAGCACAGTTTTCCTTCAGTTCAAAAACTGTCAGTCCCAAAACTAAGGATCGCTACGTTCGACGTAACTGCATTGTGTGTGGTCTGACAAAGTTTAGATCTTCAGATTAGATTGTGCAGTCCTAGAACTGCCGGCGAACTGAATGTGAATGGGCACCTTAACTTTTCTGTGTCGATCAGTAGATAAATTAATGGTAAACCAAATAAAAAAGTTACGGTAACAAGCAGATTCAGTAAAAAAACTCTCCGGATTTAGCAAAATTTAAGAATGTTAACCAGGGTGAATTAAAGGGAATAATTAACTCATTGGCACCTCACCTGGAGACCCCTTCAACGTCTGGACAGCGCCCTCAGACAGTCTTTCAATGTTGGACAGCTCCTCTTCGAGTTCCATTCCTAACCAACCGTCGCACTATGGGACCAGGCAACGCTTTGCGTATCAAAATTATTTTTATCAAAATTGTTCTTGCAACTTATAACTTGATGACAATCGTTAATATGATAGTTAAACTACCTTTTACGATAAATATTTAATTTTTAATAATAATCTTTCTATTTATATCAAATATATTTAGTGACTAGTCGACATTTTATACGAAAAGGTATATGGGAAATGTCGATCGTCATTTCCAAACCAACTGGAAGACGTTGTTTTTCGATCATATGGTAGTTGACTCATGGGTTCAACAAAAATTTTCTGGTCCGATCTGCTCCTTTTTGAACCAGAGTAATGTGAATATCACAGTGTATGAAAGGGGTGGCCGTAGATTTGATTGTTTCCCTTTGAATAAGCGTCTATTTTGATTTGGTTTCCTTTTCGTTGTTGCCAAATTTCTGTTTCGGAAATACAGGGTGGTCTATAAAAATGGCCGAAAAATATTTGAAGATCAATTAGTTTTATATACACAGTTTAAATTTGAAAGTTTCATTTTCCCCTCTAAAACAAAGTGTACTTAGATTTTAAAGGTCCAGAGGAAAACATGATAAGAGCTATTTTACTAAATCAGAAAATATGAAAAAAAAGTTCGTATGAACAATGTATGGGTATGGAAATGCATAGTTTTAGAATTACAGGATGTTAGAACTTTTTAAAATTGTTTTTTTTTGTAATTATCTTAAATACCATTTTTTTTTATTTGAAATTGCTGTATGTTGGACTAATAGTAATAATAACTATTAGTAATAATATCTAATAATAAATTAGGTAAAATATATAATTTATTAATTTTATTTTTATTTTATTAATTGTGATTAATAAAATTGCGATTATTTCATCAAGGAGGCCGAATTCGACAAAATATCAAGAGATAACTTTTAATTGGCATTAAACGGCCTACATAATTTTGGTATCAAAAGAAAAAAGTCAGTGGCGCACGTTTTTTTTTGAAAAATATTACAGCGATAACCCATATGCACGTCCCTGATGAATATATCGACACTTTTTTAGCAATAAAATATGTAGCACTTATAGTAACTTTTACCCTCAAAATTTCGTTCGAATTACTAAAAGTACTTGGAAGAAAATTATAATAAATCAAAAAATTATCAAGACTTTAACACCCTGTAGCTACGAAACAAAGCAGAATCGGACCTATATTGCTATGAAAAATAAATCTTATTTTTACGTGAAGAATCTCCCCACAAGAGATGGCACATGTTTTTTGAAACACCCTGTATAACTGAACTTCTAACTAGATTCTAAAAAATCTTAAAAAAATCTAATAAGCGACGAGATAAAAGTGACCATGCACCCTATATATTTTTAATAAAATATGAAACTAAATAAGAAATTTCTTTAAAAGAAAGTAAATATTTATCTCTTAAGACAAAAAGTTAATAAAAATAGTTATTGCTTTTTGTTTTTCTCTTGTCCCTTAGTGCGCCGGGGCCGACAGGGGCAGTCTAGGGACGTTGTTCCTACTAATCCACAGCGGGAACAGAAGAGGATGAAGGGACCGGAACAAACTCTCCGCATATGACCTCGCTGGCCACAACTCCAGCACATATCGGCTACCACCTTTATCCTGGTGACTGGTGGCGAACCGAGTAGTGACCGGGAGTAGTCTGGGAGTGTCTCGAACTGTCGCGAACTGGGACTGTCGTGAACAACACGGGACGGTGAAGAGGCTTCTTCTGGCGGTATTCCAGCGCCCTCTATCGGAGATGGCATCCGGATGGCTTCGAAAGTTTGAAGGGGAGGCGTCGCATGGATGTAGTCCCTCCCTAAGACGTTAGATTGGTGGAATTCCTCCATAAGCTCGTCGGATTGGTCAGAAATGTCCGACAACATCGCTTGACGGTAATTCTCCCTGGATTGGTTCAACTCCTCCATCTGCCCGTCAGAATCGTCAGAACGGTCAAACATCGGTTGATGGTAATTCTCCCTGGATTGGGGAAATTCCTCCATCTGTTCGTCAAAGTCGTCAGAATGGTCCGATATCGGCTGATGGTAATTTTCCCTGGATTGGTGAAATTCCTCCATCTGCTCCTCAAAGTCGTCAGAATGGTCCGATATGGGTTGAAGGTAATTTTCCCTGGATTGGTGAAATTCCTCCATCTGCTCTTCAAAGTCGTCAAAATGGTCCGACATCGGTTGACGGTAATTTTCCCTGGATTGTTGAAATTCCTCCATCTGCTCGTCAGAGTCATCAGAACGGTCGGACATCGGTGGACTGTAATTCTCCCTACAGGATTAAAATTTGAAAATGTAAAGTTAGGAACGAAAAGAAGTTAGGCAGCGAGAAAAGGAAGAGAAAAATGTATCGTTAATTTAGTTTTCCCTTCGATACTTATGGTTTGTTATAAGTAAGGTAAACGAAAATAAAGCCGGGACCCCATTAGCCAACACCCGACGCGATGCCACGCTATCCCACGTGTTGCGACGTGGGAATGGGCGTACACAGTATGTAACACGTGTTAACACGCCTGAAATTTTTATTAGAGTTAAAAACGTTATCAGTAGGATTACGAAACTACTAGAAGTATCGATACACATACCGATATTAGATTATAATCATAATACCAGTACATCAGTATATTCAGAATCGAATATCGATATCATTAAATCTTTTATTTTTTCTGGATCTATCTTGTTATATCCGATGTTGAATCGATTCAAAATATCGATTTATTTTTTTTATCCTGTTTATTTGACACATCCCTACATCAATTACAAAAGTAGATAGCTGCATGACTAGAAAGGCAAGCAGGGAACAACACGCCGTAACACACGTCGCGTGTCGGTGAGATCTGGGACCGACGAGTCGATCATCACACGTGTCATAGCGTGTTAAAGCGTCGGATGGCATGGCGTGTTTCCTAGTGTGTATGCAATACATGTAATTAAATGGAAAAACATACGCACTGATCTACATGCCGTGGGGTAGCATGGCATCGCGTGGCGTGGTGTGTTGGCTAATGGGATCCGGGCATAATTGTCGGTTGAGTGGACACGTTGAGTTTTACGGTTATTTTGATCAACTAAGTCAGACGGTATACGGACCAGAGTATTTAGGAGCTAACTTAACAAACCCTTTTAAAGCGGAAGATAAAGAGTGTTTTAAATCACTCAGTCCCCTAGTTTGCATTGCCACTCTTTTCTACGTTACATAATGATCTCTAACCGGACGTCCACTTCGAGTAACACTAACTTTCGTTTCGAGTACCTTGCTTTTAGTAACTCCCGTTCTCGCACCACTTACTTACTGCCATTACTCTTGACGAGTATTTGACACGCATCAGAAGATGGTTACGCAAGGCGTTTTCTTTCATGAGCTTTTCTGTGACTGAAAAGCCCGATACCTGATGTTATCTCTCTTCCGCACTCCGGACATTCAAAAATCTCATTACTTTGTTGCCTCTTTATTTTTTTGTTGTCGTTGTTAAATGAGTTTACAATTGTTCTCCATTGCGTTTTATTGTGCGCTGCTTCCTCCCATTGATTCTGCATGTTATCCCCTTTCAGTTTTCATGGAAAATGTTCTTGTATCTTTTGAGTTGTCCACCCGGTTTCTTCTTAAAGAAGAGTTTCGGTAGGCGGTTTTCGTGCATCCTGCATACGTAACCAAACCAGCCCATCTTAAGCGGTATTTAGTAATCATGACTTCAGCACTTTCGCAGGTAGCTGTTTCAAGGACTGATACGTTTGAGACATGGTGGTACCATTTGATTCTGTTGAACAGTTGTTTAGGTGTCTCTGTTGCGACTTATTTAATGCGTTCGTGTACCGGCGGGGATTATTGCTCGGTACACTGCAAATTTCGTTTTTGTGCTCAAATCATGATTGTACAAAACCGTCTTTTGATTTGTCAATTCAAAAGAGTCAATATTTGCCTTTTCCGAAATCAAACTGCCAAGGTAATTGCATTCCGCTACATATTCCAGTAGTTCTTCTCCGATCTTTATAGCACCACTGTTATGATTTTCCGGGAGAGTGCACATGATTTTAATTTAGTCGATGTTCAGCTTAAGGCCCAAAGTCTCGTATGCCCAGATATGTGTTCAGTATTTCTTGTAATTGCTGTAACGTTTTTGCAACTAGAGCGCAATCTGGGATCCCGGAAATGACTATCAGAATGAGAAATTTAATCTAAAGAAATACTTAATAAAAATGCAGCAACATATATCAAAAAGAAAATAAGAAAAGAAAAATATACAAAACAAAGTTACATTCATATTTAATACCTAAGTAAAAAAATACAATTCTTGTTGCAAAAAAATAAAATATAGCAAATACTATTATAATTTTTAGATATTAATGACCTGCTTAGTATAAATAAAATATGATTTTTGAAGACTAAAGTGTATACATGGAATCCCGGGATTTAATATCGGGATTTCGAGGTTAAAAGAAACCGAGATCCCGGGATATCGGGATCCAGATTTGAAAACCCTAGACGGAAGTCATAAGCTTTTGGATCGTTTCATGGGTAATTTCCCCACCAAAGTGTTAGTCCCAGTTCTATAGCTACTAGTCCACATTTCAAAACGTGTCTCCTACCGGTGTAGTTTGCTAGCAATATCTGCTCCTATCAGTTCTATGGAAGAAAAATTACCTGAATCTGTTATTTGGATGTTCAGCTTACGAAGTTCATCCATCTGTGGGCCATCAAAAATGAAAAAATCGTCTCTGCAAATAACGGACTGCTCAAACGCCTCAACACGGTGTTCACTCCTAATCCTGTCACGGCTTACTTGTAATTAATCCAAAATTTAAAAGCGGTAGAATCCTGAAGGTGATATACGGTGTGTAAAAAAAAAGAAACGGTATGACGGCGATATACGGTGTGTAAAAAAAGAAAAAACGGTTACCTGAAAACGGCGTGGATAAAAACGGTACGGTTCAACGGTAAAAACAAAGAAAAGTCCCTTTACACAAAAACAAAAGTTTTTACATTTCTATACTACATTTATCCATACAAAACTATTTGCTGTCAGCACAAAAAGAAACTTGAATCTTCTCGAGACAAATTTGTACATATAGACGAAATATTTAACTACTTTGGCCAGCAATAATTTTTGATAAATAAATGTATTATTCGGTTATATAGTACAATATCCGGCCCTAAAATAATTAATAATCCATCCTAAATCTAATAAATCGGTATTTCGTTATCATTCAAAACAACTGAATATATCAAATTCTACTTATATACAGTATGATTCACAAAGCAATGAATGATGTCCGTTCTGGTAATCCAAAAAACAAATATTTCCTCGTTTCACACAATACATATATAATTATTCTTCTTCTTACAGTGCAGTACTCTATACAGGGCGTTGGGTACCTCCCGCATGTACTTGTGATGTGCGTCATCAGTATTTCACAAGTACATGGGAGCCAACAGTTTACCGCCGAATCCGAACGGCACTATTTGAGAGGTTTTACACGGCAAATATACTTAAGTTGGTTTGCCATTGCCTTCCTTGAGGTGGCAGTTCGCTGGTCGCTCTATTTAGATAAATAAATATTTTTATTTTAAATAAATAAAGAGACCATACCGGCTGGGGATCGAACCCAGTACGTCTCACAGCGCAGATCGGCACACTACTGCTGGAGCTAAAATATAAAAGAAAATTAATAAAAAAACATTTACTGGTCAGGATTTGAACTCGGGTCTCTCGCTCCATAGTCGGAACCTTGTCTCACTGCCCCATGGAGACCTGTTTGAAGACTTACCAACGGAATATAAATAAATAAACAAAATAAATGTAGCTTCGTTATAGTAGGTTGAGAGAATTTTTTTTTAAATATATTGTTCTACAGGGTAGAGTTGGGCTGACAACTTTCGCGTTTAGGTTAGGCTGTTGCAATTTGTCATGAAGTGATTTTTGATTTACTGTTAAGAGGGTCCCAGCCACTAGGAGTTTTCTAGCCACCCTAGATTTTATCAAACAATAAAGATCTACTGACACCAAATCATAAAAATGAAAATATCTAGTAAAATATTTGTCTGGAGGGTAGGCAACCAAACCCTAGTATTATTTCGAAAAGACATAAATTTTCCATTGACTATCGGAATCATATAATGGATGTTCTATTCAAAATAAAAAATTACTTGCTTTTAAAAGTGACCAATATTCAATAGATGTTAATAACAGTGAACAAGAAACGATGCCTCAGTGAAGTCATGGTAGGCTTTGGAAAAAAGTTGCTTTTGACATACCTAATAGTATAACCGACAAATTATTATTAGATCAACATTTTGATAATCTTAGCAGCGTTTTTTTTTCTTTTGAAGAATGGCATTTTTAGAAAAGCAACCAAAAGATAAAAAAGCGCTGCTGAGACTATCAAAATGTTGATATAATAATATTTTGATGTTTAAACTATCCATTTAAAAGCAACTTTTTTCCAAAGCCTACCATGAATTGACTGAGGCGTCGTTTCTTGTTCACTTTCATTTGATATCTTAATTATTAGATATTAATACACCTAGTATTCTGGTACATTATCGAATTTTTGAATAAAATAATCTTTTTTATCTTATTTTTTATTAGAATGATCATAGTCAAGAGGGCTAGTGATATCGTGTTAGAAAAATAAAGTAATTAAGGGCTTATTTTTTCGTATTTATTATAATTTTGCAAATAACTTTGGTTTGAAAAAAGATATTAAGATGCCGTTTTCACTGATTTTTTAAGCTTTTATTACTCTTTACTATCAGCTAAAATTACGTATACGATCAAATTTAATTTTTTTGAAAAAACACGCAATGGTTGTTGAATTGTAAGACAGCGCCCCCTAGTGTCTACGTTCAAAAGCTTATTATTATTTTTATATGGTATAATATAGAGTAAGAAAGGCTCGTTTAAACGAGCCCCTACAACTTTATTTTGGCAGATAGGGGAAAATGGTTCTAAGAAAAAATAGTCAGAATTCACTGAAGATTATGAAGCTATTATTTTTAGAACCCTTATCTAGACAAAATTGTGTAAAAACTCCATTTTCTTATTTTTTATAGCAGTTGCGCCCTCTAGCGGCCATTCTACAAACTTGAAAATAATTTCCAGCAATTTCTCATGGCCTCTTTAGTTATGAATATTTTTTTTCGCAGGCCCTACAGCTAATACTTTCCAAGATATAGCCGAGAGCTATTCTTAGTGGGACACCCTGTACTTTTTGTTACATAATCGAGTGCGCAAAATATTTTAATAAAGTCGGGATGAGTTTTTTTACGACAGCTATTAAGCTGATGGGACATTTTGTACACTTTGTACTAAAAACGGTTCTAAAAAGAACAAAGTTCGACTGCAAGGCCCGCTAGTAATTTTTTTAAGATTAAAGTATCACAACATAATTCATTTAAACCAAAAACTCGTAATACAAAACTAAATTGTCAAAACAAATGATAATGTCAGGAAATAAATAAATAAATGTAGCAATTTGACACCAGAGTTACCACCTGAATCGCCAGCGGGAAATTTAAATTCTAGTTAGTCAACCCGGCGCCGAATACGTCCATGGTTGGCAACAAAGAATTTAAAAATCGCGCCCTCGATGACGTAACTAGAAGTTTAATTGCTATCGCTTGTACGCCAAAACCCTTACATTTTAATCATATGTTGCTCTACTGAAACTCAACTTTATTTTTTCCCTAGAATCCGAAAATCAATTATTATATAGGGTGTTCCATTACAAAAAACGCAACTGTAATGTGTAACTTTTTTCGGGGACACCCTGTAAAACCCTATATGTTTATGACCTAAAATGACCTAAATTAACCAACATATGCTCCCAACATTTCCTATCAATACAAACTGTCATTTTCCTTAAAGCCTCCGCAACAAAACAATATGCAATTTTTTACAAATTGTTTTAAAAAAAAGTACGACGTTATTAATAAGTTAATCTATATATCTAATTAAAATATGTTAAACCTAAAACAGGTTTTACCTAGTCTTTCTTTGTGGCTCATACTCCTCCTTTTTGATACTCCTTACTTTCTCCTCTCTCTCGTTCTTCGAATCTTGTTTCTTCTTAAAGAGCGGCATTCTCCCAATAAACGGCAATTTTTTATAGCTAGGCGGTCCCGGAGGTCTCCTCTTGGAAGAGTCGTTTTTATGCTCGGGACTGTGCCTGCTTTTACTGTACTGGCTTTCATGTTCCCTGCGATGCCTAAAAAATTCCGGTAATATATCTACGAGGGGCAAACCCCTGGTGGTATTTATTGTACAAGCACTTGGTAATACTGGTATTTTTTTGGTACTTTTGGTACTAATTTGGTATTATTTGGTAATAAACTGGTTTTATTTGGTTTAAACTGGTATTATACAGGTATTTTGTTGGACATCTGACAACGCTGGATTAGACGCACGTGGCGACGGCCGGGAAGCTGATTGCATCACTTATCATTCCTAGCCCATTTGCAGTGAAAATGAGCCGCCTTCGCGCTTTTTACACGATCAAAAATTTTAAAGTTTTTATATTTAGTGTCCAAGGTACTTAACAATAAAATATACCTCGTAATATACATACTTAAGAATAATTAGTTGTTTCGAGGTTAGGTTGCTGGCCTATTTGAAAAATAGGTTATTTTTACCCGATATTAATTGCCAAGCTTGCAATTTTGCAATGCATAAAAATGGTTTTTACGCAGAAACGGTACATAGCGTCATACGAAAAAATGTCAAAAAATTAATGAACTCGCATCATGGAAACATATATGGATCTTGTTAGAATTTCTTATTTTTCTTGTGCATATAATTATATTTTTGAGCTTACAAGTAACAAATAGCGCAAACAACAAAAAATTCAACTACTTTTTATGTCTAGTTTTTATTTTATAAATTTTTGAAGTATCGATGTTAATGGAACCGTTAAAATGACTTTTTAAACGTGCCATGATAGTAGCTTATTCGAGTTCCCAAAAAGTACGGTTCTAGAACGGTTCAAAACACCTGTATTTGACATGAATAGGCCCTAAAGCTCCAAATATCTTAAATTCTTTAGATACTAAAAATAATATATAATAATACTAATTTGGTATTTTTGGTTCTAATTTGGTATTTTTTTGGAAATAATTTGGTATTTTTGGTACTTTTTCCCAAAATTGGTATTTATTGTACACCATTTTTGGCAGCGGTTTGCCCCTCGTATATCTAGTACCGAAAGTATACTAAGGACTGCAAAGGTTAGTTTTGGGTCGGGATTTCCGTATGTAAGAAGAGTACAATGCGTTTATAATGTATTGAACAAAGAGAGAACAGTAAAAACGTTGCCAAACGTATGAAAGAAACTGAGAATTTGTGCACATTGCTAAGAGACGTGGAAGGGGATAAAACAGATTCGTCACGGTCAACCGCTCGACCCAGTCAGAACTTAAAATTCTAGAGAAGGTAGTATATCATGCGTTCAGCTTTACGATTTAATTACGTCTCGTGATACTTTTTTGTTTATTTATTAAGGAGTGGTAATTTTCCCTATATCTTTGTAAATTTTTAAGTGCAAGTTAGAAACACTTGCACTTTTGGTAAAAATAAGTGGAATTGAGTTGGTGTTTGACAGTGGCCGCGCTATTAGAATCCGAGTTGTTATCAAAAACTTTCTTAATATTTCTGCTATATTTTCTTCGCAGACAGTATGTGAAAATCTTTACAAATAAAAAGTTACACGATTGCTGAAAATTGCTATGCACTAGAAGTAAATGGACGTTTTTTTTAATTTTTGAATAGAAAAAAACAAGCCTATCGAATTTTTCTCATTTAAACATCTTGTAAAAGATCCGAACTTCAAATAAAAAATATGGACATCCTAACAATACCCTTATAATTCCATTTCAGATGCTCAGAAACATATCTAATGATTTTATCTAGTTATCTTTTCGAAAAAAGTCTTTTAAAAATAAGCGGTTTGCAGTCGTGATTTTACTTTACTTGATAGAGAAAGACGTACCGGAGAAATGTGGCGACGCCACAACAGCACATCGTCACATTTCTCTCACTCCGACTTAATAAGATCCCTATGCGATTTACTTCCACACATGTAAATACCGATCCAAAAGCAAGACTTGCTAGCACGGTATTAGAGCGTCTACACACGAATCGTTTGGCTTTCGAAGAGGAAGCGTCACGAACCCAGAGCGAATATACCTCCACTCTACTTCCTAAGTAAATAGTATCATCACTTCGACTCCGCGTCTACCGCCAAATGACCCGTTCGTGAAACCTACTATTATTTACGTAGGAAGTACAGTGAAGGGAGATTCGCTCCAAGTTCGAGACGACCCGTATGCTTACTATTACCACAGATCATACAGATTATAAACTTATCGTCAAAAGCATTGTTTTTCGTGGTTCCAATTTTTGGAGTCGCGCACTAGTTAGGTTACTAATTTGCTCACAAGCACGCCCACTTATGGCCTCTAAAATTGTGCACAGCGCCTGACCGGCCTTGTGACCGGCCCAGTTATTACGCTGTTTAAACGGGAATTTATTTTTGCGCACAAGAAAATTTACTCGTTTGCTCATCGTCATAAAAAACAATTTTCGTACCACGAATTAGGGACAAGATTTTTATCTTTATACTTAAAGGATACTTAATCTGTGCTATTACTTACTTAGGAGACTCGTTCACTCTATGCCTTTTCTCCTCCTCCTCATCATCACTAGCAGATTTTCTTCTTCTATAATGATCTCTTGATGGTCGAAATCTAGTAAAAAGGATTTTTTATTTAGCCTCACAATGTATTTTTTTAATGTGCTCTACAATTGCCCACATATTTTGTAAAGAAAGATTTGGTAGCAAAAATCTCAAATAAGAACTGATACAAGGCTTTTAGAAAACAGAATTTTCAATTTCAGAAAACAATAGTTAGATATTATGAGTAACTATTTATCTTCAAACGCCAAGTATTAATTTTTGCGACGTGATAATATAAAAAAGGCATTTTAAAGCTTAAGCCGGAGTGTCATGCATCCGAAATCCGATGACACGACGATCCGACGGTGCTTCTATTGATCGAAATATTTTGACACCAATTTTTATCCGATATTTTTAACTAATCGTCCGCCGTCGTATAAAGTTAAATTTTGTTTAACTTTTATACGATATCGTGTGTTTTTTTTAATCTCACTTTTTTTGAAAACATTGGTTTTTAAGTTTAAGTTTAGTGGGAAGTGGGCAATTTCGGGATATTTGGCGAGGAAGTATATGTATATATATATACTGTTGATAGGAATGACAAGTCTAAATGTCAAAACTGTCAACTTTCGAAACAAACTTTCGGATGTATGTGACAAGCTTTTTTTTATTTCACAGGATAACTTCAAATTTCGGATGTCGTACTATCGGATTTCGGATGCATGAGACTCTGGCTTTAGGCATAAAGTAAAGTACTTTTACGCCTAAGCACAAAAGTACGAAAATATATTATTAAACTGACAAAAAATGTCAAATTCAACGAGTATAACCATAGTTTCTCGATATGTAATTACTTATAAGGTACTTTTAGGTAGGTAGGTGGTTTTCAGAATATTTTGTGTAGTAGTTGTTAGTTTTTTCTTTGCAAAATGCCCAAACAGTTAAATAGTCGGTGCAAAGAATCTCCTTTACTAATATAAAATATTAGTAGGACTATCTATAAAATGTATTTACCTGGAGAGGTAGCAAAAAAGTTCCTAAAAGGTTAAAATATATTAAATAATAAAATATCAATATACTATTTTGACCAATAGTAAGTAGTTCAACTTATAGTGCTTCTTTTAGTCAACAATATAGTGCTTGCATGGTGTGTAATGTGTGATTATTATTATATTATTTGAAAAATCTGAGAATATAAACTTGATATAAACTTTAATTTGGTGAATGTATTTACAAAAATTGCGATCAAAGATCTTAAAATAGCCACCGTAGGAACGTAGAGGCTTCTTAAACCTCCCTTATCACGTATTGAATAGTAAAAAATATAAGGTCTTACTTGACATGCCCTCTATTATCTTTATCCACAATTCGTTGATATTCTTCTTGTTCCCTCCGGGCCTTCTCCCTTTCGAGCCTTTCCGCCTCTTCCCTCATTTGCCGCTCTTTCATTTCCAGCATTTCCTGTTCTTGTCGCTCCTTTTCCTTGCGTCGTTTCTCCATCTCTGCCCATTTTGCCTTCTCCACTTCTTGCTTAACTCGCATTCTAGAATGTATTAAATGGTTTAAAGTAAAATAAGCCAAAGTTTTATATCAGTATTCGTTTGACTCGTTGGTTAACATATGACAAGTTAAACTACAGAGCAAGGAAAACAAATACGCTGATAAACGTGCAAAAATCGTGCTTTGGTGTTCGTCCGAAGAATGTTTTACTCCCCTCAATACCATAAAAAAGACATTTACCTAAACTTTCTATCTATGGTAAACAGTAGATAGAAAATTTTAAGCACCTGCAGAACAGCCAGGAAACTTAGACCGGTAAATACCGGGTGCGTCTCAAAAGCCCTATAACTTCTATATTTTTTCAGATAAAAAAATTTCGTATGTTAGTACATGACATAAATTAGGATTGAATGACGTATTCAATTGTTTTTGGTCACTTTCTGTTTCGCCGGAAATGACTACAACTTTTGATGTTTAAACGGCACTCTTGGTATTCTTTTATTTTATTCGATAGAAAATTACACTCGGAATAGAATGACATATCATATGTCAACTTTTGACCTTTTCACATATGGTTTATTTGAAATTGTAACATGCAGTTCATAGCAACAATTTGGCTCGAAATACCAAATGTGTGGTACCAAATTATACGTAAAAATGTTTTTTTCCATTATATATATAACATGACGCAAAAATGGGCATCCCTTTTAACGAAGTTTGCCAAAGCTACAAAGACCTGAAAGAGGGGTTAAGATAACAGAAACCCGCGACAAAAATATGGACATGATTTTTTTCTACTTGCCTATCTTTGAGTGTCTCAATAATATTTTTCTCTTTTGCAGGATCAGCTACAGTCATCCACTGATTAATAAGTTCATCCTCGGTATTACTAATTTTTGTGTTGTCTTTCTTTCTATGATCCTCGAGAAGTTTTTCTAGCACCGTCCATTTTGACATATCTTCATTTATTATAGATTTGACCTGCAAAAACATACATTTAAAAAATATACAATAAATACTACAAAAAAGAGAGTCGTTCGTACCTGGGTCATATTGCGCATAGCCACCCGAATACTTTTACTCCTATCTTTCGAATCTTCATCGTCTGAACTACTTTCTGAGCTGCTTGAACTACTACTCGAATCGCTAGAATCCTTCCTCTTCTTCTTTGACCGTTTCTTCTTCTTTTTCTCCTTCAGTAAACTAAAAAATGTATACAAAAACCAGTGTTTTAACATAATTGTATTATTATCTTCATAGTAAAATTACGGCAACTCAGAAACAATAAAATATTACTCGTTAGTAACGTACTAGACAACAGTCTATCCCATAATAAATCAGAAATATCCTCCATAAGTGAAGAATTTTTAAACTGTTTAAACTAGTGAAATATAATACAAAATTTTATTTACTGTTTATTGTAATAATGTAGTTAATCATACCCTCAATGCACGTTTTATTTAATTTAAAAATGTCTTGATTACGTCAGTTAAACTTTATAGTAAAGTTAAAATACCGTGTGTTGTATCGGAAACACAGGATATCCCAGGTAAATTTTAAAAATGATGAATATGTTTTCCCCATTTTATTTTACAGAAAATTGTATTTGAAACTTTTTAAAGGCCCACCTAAAATAAAGCAAATTATTAATTTTGAATAATTTATACGAACTCGTATTTAAGTTATAAGAGATACATAAATACTAAATTAGGCAAACATTTATTAAATAATACGGTCCTGGTTAAACATAACTATCACAAGCTATGTCGCAATATGACAAATCTATTATGCTTTTCTTCTCCAGATCTGTCAAAAATTTCCTAAATTATATTCTCTATAAAAAGTTAGGTTAGGTTACAAAAAATGCAGTGTAAACATAATTGAATCTTTAAAAAATCAAACGTATTTCGCAGTTAAGTTAACACACTGCATCAAAAGAAAACTTATTTATCAAACACTAAACAAGTCACAAAATTATGTACTTCTTAATTAAAAAATGCAGAAAAGTTGCCAAACGTTCTTCGCCCACGTCCAATAATTCTTGGTGTTCGGAATATTTAAATGACTTAAAATTATGCTCCCTCAAAATTCGCCAAGTTTTTCGAATATTTCTCCAAGTGTTCTGGTACTTACTTGTTTTTTTTTCATTTATTATTCCTCGATGACTATCAATATTATTTTTGTGTTTATATTTAGTCTTTAATAACTGTTTTATTAAAAATATATATTTTGATAACAACTTCAATAACCACTAACATTTCTAAACAACGTAAAGTAAAACAACAAAATAATCAGTCTGTCCTATATAGGGATGTGAGCAAATTTTTCTGACATTTTCACGTCACGGTCATAATGAAAATGACGTCATTTATTTTTATGACACTCTTGTCATTTATTTTTTTTTGCGCAGGGTTTAACTTACATTCATTCCCTAGCTGTTTACTTAGACAATGTCAATGAAGGCAAAGTGTTAGAAAATGTCGCAGAGTACAGAAGCAATGAGGGTTTTTGGGCTATACAATTCGTTCACGACTGTGAAAATATCCAAACATTTCACCCTTAACGTACTGGAAGGGTATATGTACTGAAACGGCACTTCGACATGTGGCAGAAACAGTAAATGGTATGCCACCTAGTTCGGCAGTGACCGAAAGAATTTTCAGTTCCTACGGATATATTCGTTCGAAAACCAGAAATCGACTTGCGACGCAAAGAGCGGGAATACTCACTTATATAAATCATAATCTTAAATTGTTTACATGTGTCACTTCCAGTGTCAGTAGCAAACAAGTAAAGGGCTCCAGATTAATTAATACTGAAAAAAGCACCAATTCAAGTACTATGCAGCAAAATATATATATACATAATACAAAAAATTAAAATTTTAGATGGTAATAATGATGATATGACAACGTTAACCTTACCTAAACCTTCAACCTCAAGTTCCACGATAACCATTGCATCAGAAGATGATGAATGCTCTAGGACTGAAGAAAGCATAAGTTTAATGGAGGAAATTGAGGAGGCATTGTCTGGAGCATTAGATGACTTTGACGCTGATGATGGTGATGAGAGTGAAGAACTTTAATATTTTAAAGTTTACCTTTTATTTCCAAAGAAAACGCTTTTTTGGAGATCTCTTTATTCCATGTTTTCTTTAAAAAGAAATGGACCATAGTTACTTAGTTTAGTTACTTAGTGTGATATAGCTGTGGTTTGTTTCATTGTTTTTAAAAATGTTATTATTTTATTTTAAAAGTATACCTAAGCTATGCCTTTGTAATAGTGTAACTCATTTTTGTAATAGTGTAGCTCATTTAAGTAGTCTATAAAATGAATAACTTTGAATTTTGACCGTTATTTTTTACCAACATGGCAAATATAAAATTCCTCAGTCAAAAAAGTTACTGATATTCTTTAAATTGAGTGCCTGAACATAGCCTGAACGAGTCAGGTAGGTAACTCTTTTTACTTTCGTGAAATAGAAAAGGAAAATAATAAAACAAGTGACAGTTCTTCCTCTTCTTGCAAAAATCAACACAAAATGTCGTCATTGTCAAAAGTAAAATGTCATCAGCTTTTCACATTTCTAAATATCAGACCAATGCCGTCTCTAATAGAACAGCCTCGGAGCGAGATTTATGACGTCACGCTAGTTAGATACTACGGATTAATAAATATGTTGTAGAATACATGGAATACATAATTATTCCTCGTATTTTTGATTTGTATTTTAAAAATGATATAATTTACATGAAATATACATAATATACAGTTAATAAATACAATATATATACCTATATATAGTAATAAATAATTTGGCAAATAAACTATGAACCATACAAATGCAGTAAATGTTTTACAATATACAAATAATGAATAGGTACATAAGATAATGGGTAAAATTAATTAATTAAAACAAAAAAACAAAAAGTAAAATTAAAACTAATTTAACAAAAAATATTCAATATCTACTAATAGTGATGTATTCTTATTAATGTTCGAAAAATTATACATATTTGCAAATAATACAATATCATAGAAAAAAAAGGCGTCATTTCGAAGGCGGATTTTCTTGGTATTTAGGTTCGGGAAAAACGCTGATTAAGTTTTCATTTGGTTTTACATTATTTTTATTTGGTTTAAAAAAAAACGTTTCGGCTAACATTATAGCCTTCATCAGTGTTGTCATATGAAAAAAATAGTGTCGAATATAATCCAAAAAATTACATATAAAATATTCACACCACACACCACATACCTAATGTTTACTGCAATTAATAAACTAATATAAACTTGTCAAAAGATGACCACATGTTTTTTAAAATTATTATTCTTAACACTAAAACTATCTACATTGACAATGGAGTACGATTTCAGCCATATTGTAAAACATTTGCTGCATTTGTATGGTTCATAGTTTATTTGCCAAAGTATTTATTACTATAAATAGGTATATATATTGTATTTATTAACTGTATATTATTATGTATATTTCATGTAAACTATATCATTTTTAAAATACAAACCAAAAATACGAGGAATAATTATGTTTTCCATGTATTCTACAACATATTTATTAATCCGTAGTATCTAACTAGCGTGACGTCATAAATCTCGCTTCGAGGCTGTTCTATTAGAGACGGCATTGCGTCAGCATGGCCGCAAGTTGCTAACCTAATAAAATTAAAACTAGAAAAGCCCGCGGGAACTGTCAAATTCAAAGTTATTCGTTCCACAGACTATATCAGAATTTATTATTTTTTTGTTTATATTTGGTTATATACGGCTGTGAACGTAGAACCACTAAGTCTGATCTTGTTTAAGTTTGTTTGTATTTGTTAATATATCTTTATCTTTACTTGCCTAGCGATTTTTTTTACATTTAAGGTAAATAACCATAAATAACCGTAAATGACAAAAATGCCACATAAATGACAATGTCATGTCACAAAAAATAAATGACCGTCATTTTACATCCCTAATCCTATATTATATCTTTAGAACTTTTGAATAAAATTAGAACGGCACTGATAAACTGGAATTTAAGTCGACCATTTAGGTCCCCATTGCGCTCGATCTTAGTTTTTTTTATAATACATGCTCCTTCCCTAATCTTTTTATTCAAAGGTATAAAGTCAATATAACATAATAATAAATTTAACATGAAATTGGCATGTTTGTTATTCCAATCAGAACCGGAGTATTTTTTAATTAATTTAGAATTGTGTTACCTTTCCTATCTATCATCCTACTCCAAAATGAATTCGCAGAAGCTATTGAAAATAAACAATGTGCTTCATTTTAATAAATTCTTCAAAAAGTATGAAATATTTTTTTCTTTAAAATAAAATTGGAAAAACTTATTCACGATTTGTAAAATCTACATGGGATTTCCTATGTTCAGGTAAGCAAATGGCTGCAACAGACTGTATAGTAAAAGACAGTGACTGTATAGTAAAAGACGTTCTATTTTTTTTAATAAAAATATGTATGGCATTATCTTACCTTTCGATAGATGCTCGGTGTTTGCGTTTTTTCTTCTTTGAACTACTGTCCGAATCGCTAGAATGATGTTTACCATTGCGAGTCATAGCTGTTTCTCTATCTTTAAGCCATTCCGTCTCCCAGTGGGGATTTTGCTCCACGAAATTCTGATTTAAAACGCCTCGTGTTAGTACAAAATACCGTACAATCCAATATTTTTATGAATGAAAGAAATTTCAGTACTGAATTTAGTCGTTACTTATCACGCTACTTTTATTTGAAGCTAAAGATGCTACATGTAGATTTGTCCTAGCCCTCTTAGTTTAACAACAAATGGCGAATTTGAAAATGTTGCACTTTACGACTCCCTAGGATTATCATAACTTATCAAAAAGGTGAAAACTGAGTTTCGTAGAGTTTTTCAGTTAGAATCCAATGGCGTAACTAGTTTTTCGCTGGGAGCTGTCATTTTCGAAATATGAATGAAAATTTTTAAACGAGACACGCTGTATGTTTTTTTTTATTTGCCTTGTTATGAGCTTTCTAAAAATATAATATACTCTATACTTATTTCCGTAAACAAGATAAAATATGCATTATTTAACTTTATAACATAAATCAACCTAGTTTAGGTTAGGTAAAAAAAAAACTTTTGAAAAAAACTTGGTTAAAAACTTTGAATGCAAGTGAATGCACAATGGAATGCAGGTTTTGGAGAACAGGCTCTCAATCAGAGTTATTGATATTACACAGAAACTAGCGTGGAATAATCAATAATCAAAATTTAACGTCAAATAAATTATTTGATCATTTGAATAGCTAATTTAAACCGGCCCCCTATGTCAAAAAGTTGAATAATACATGTTTTACCTTGTTTATGAAAATAAGTAGAGTATATATTATATTTTTAGAAAGCTCAAGAATAACAAGGCAAATATAACAAAAAAATAATGTACGTTGTAAAATAAAGTAATATAGGGTTTGGGTCATATTTCAAGAATGACAGCGAAAATGTCCCAGCGAAAATGTAGTTACACCACTAAATTCGACGCGAAAATTCTATGGGGCTCAGTTTTCATATTTTGAGAGGTAATAAGGTACCCGAGATACGAAGGGGGCCAAAAAATGCAAAATCTTCAAATTCGAAAAAAAGTAGAACAGTGATGTGAAAACCGCATCTTGTATCTCTACTCATAAACGAGAAACCCTGTAAAACACACGAAAATGGGATACTCTGTATATATTGCTAAAGTAGAACTATAGATAATATACAAATATTTCCCATATAGGCCAGTAAGCGAAGGCTTTAGATTCCGAATTCTGAACACCTGCACCGATTGACGTGAAATTTTAACAGTGAATAGAGATATATTATGTAAGAAACAAAAGTTACATAGTAGCGATGTGTGTTTTCACCCTGGGGGTGAGTGTCACCCCTTCTCGGGAGTGAAAAATAAATCGCCCATTTTAATTGCAAAAATCAATAAAGGGATGAATTCTAAATAAAACATGTTCTATAACATTTTTCAGAAATTTCCTAGTTATTTAGGATTGAAAATGTTGATTTTTCATCTAAAAACTGCATATTTTTCTACCATTTTTTATAAATAATTCGAAAACCTTACGTTTTATCGCAACACTGGTATAAAACAAAACTAAAGCTTTTGGAATAGCTAAACGATTCATTTTTGTTGATTACTGTAGGTGTAATAATAGCCGAGTTATCACTCTGTAAAGGTGATTTTTTAGTTTTCGAAAACTAAATTGCAAACTTTTACTGTAAAATAATGCCGAAAGAACACATTTTTCAAAGAAAATGAATATAACCTTTTTTAAAGTGCTTGAAATAACCTTTTAAATGTTTATTTAAAAAAGTTTGGAGCTCAAAAACTCGCAGAGTTCTGATAAAAATAAAATGGTCACCTCATTATTTCGGAAAAAAATTAACAACAAAATCTATGACTAAAATCATAAAAATAAAACTGAGTGTAATACATGTACATAATTAGGTACTAACAATGGGCTCTGCAATTTCGAGCGGTTTAGAATGCCTAAATTTGGAAAAAAGTTGAAAATAATTTTTTAAAAATTTTAATTTTTTTGGCATATCTCAAAAACTATGCAAGCTACAAAAAAATGCAACAGAGTAAAATTAAAGAATTAAACTGCAGAGTAAAAATTATTGTAAAAATAATTTTACAATATTTTTGCTCTCTTTCAATTTTTCTGTAGATCTCTTTATTTCGTAGATATTACTTTTTGTTAGTTTGACTTGCGTGTAAGGATCACCTTCTTTGAGCCCTTAAAACACAAAAATCTCGTAAAAATGAAGAGTTTAAGATTGTTCAACTATGAAGTTAATTTGTACCTCGTGTAATTTCCTACAAATAGTTTTTATTTTCATGATTTTAGTCATAGATTTTGTTCTGTTTTTTTCCGAAAAAATAGGCGACCATGTAATTTTTATCAAAACCCCGCGCGTTTTTGAGCTACGAACTTGAAAAACGGTCATATTCATTTTCTTCGAAAAATGTGTTCTTTCGCCATTATTTTACGGTAAAAATTTTACGGCAATTTAGTTTTTGAAAAATAAAAAATCACCTTTACAGAGTGATAACTCGGCTAGTATTACACTTACAATAATCAACAAAAAATGAATTGATTCGTTATTTCGTTATTCCAAAAGCTTCATTTTTGCTTTATATGAGTTTTGCGATAAAACGCAAGGTTTTCGAGATATTTATAAAGAATGACAGAAAAATATGCAGTTTTTAGATGAAAAATCAACACTTTCGGTCCTAAATAACTCGGAAAATATGATAATACAAATACATTCTTTACTTAGAATTCATCCCTTTATTGATTTTTGCAGTTAAAATGGGTGAATTATGTTTCACCCCCGAGAAGGGAAGGCACTCACCCCCAGGGTGAAAGCACACATCGCTACTATATAACTTTTGTTTCTTACATATATTTCTATTCACTGTTAAAATGTCGCGTCAATCGGTGCGGGTGTCAAAAATTCGGAGGTAATACCCTATTTTTATCCTCGCTTACTGGCCTAATAAAATTTTATAAAACCATTAATTATAAGTTCAAAAATAAACTTTTCTTACAACTTAAGTTGTACTAAAAAGGAATTAATATTTTTTCAAGGACAGCATGGAACGATCTTTATATAAATGAAAATCATAGATCAATGGACGCCTGTATAAAAGTAAAATTTTCATTTGCTCCCAATCATACTAACCTTGTAATTTTGGGAATGCGTTACAGATTTTAAATGATGTGATGCACAATGTAGATCTCCAATCCAAACATCGCAAAGCTTACAATACCATGATGGGGCAGAAATAAAGAATTGCAATCCTAAAAAAATGGTTTAGTGACATTAATTAATTATTATAATATATTAATTTACTGCTTTATAATTATTGTACCAACTTATTTAAGTTGATGTAAGTATTAACTACTTTGAAATTAAAATGATAAGACACATCAATGTCAAGAATTTTGTCGTTGTTACAGACTATAAAAACGAATTCTATTAGAACACTAGAGATAACATAGCTGTTATTTCAACAACTAGAAGAATGGACTTTATGTACAAAATTAGTAGTGTTTTCTATAATCTCTTAGAACTAACAAACCGTCACTAGTTTAATAGAAAATAAAACTTTTTTGACCTATAACCTCAAATATTTTCTTTAAGCACTTGTATCACTGAGAATGTTCGATATTTTATTCGTAATAACGTGCTTAAGATCTGTATTAATATCCCGCTCTATTGTAAACTTACCCGTATTTCTTACTATATAGTCCGAACTATAAATTAATCTCTAATTATTGCTGTATCAAATATAAAAATAAAGTACCTTTTATAGGAAGTCTCTTCTTAGGAGCGTCATCGTAACTCGGCAGGACAGGCTCAAGAGGCAGTTTGTGCCACGGAGTTATATCAACTTCGTTCTCCTTCGCCATGTCCTGATGGTCTTTGTTTTGCAAATGTTGAAGATATTCTTTCGCCGTCTCGGGAAATTCGTCGCAAGCCCGACACCAATGAAGTCCGGTGTCATAATAAACGTAGCAGTACCTGTAAAACAGAATTGATAAAATGATAGCAATCGAAATTATATAACGGCAATAATCCTTGAAATGGCTTACCTATAAATGAAAATTTAAATTGGACAAAATAAAAGAATCGGTGTCGGTAAGCAGTGGCAGTTTATTTATATAAGTACAAAGAAATTATATAATTTTAAACCATATCCAATTGTTATAATTATTGTAAAATCAGTTGTACCAAGTCTCGAGATTTCATCCATATTTTCCAGTAGCTTAAGACGGTTACCAACCAAATTAAAACAGTTCAGAATGTTTTTTATTTTAAAGTAATTAAATGAAAATATAGATAGATAAATCTAAAAAAATACAAGAATATTATATCCTTCTATTGGATAAATACAATGAGATGATCAGTTCAAAAACTGAAACTTTTATTTAATGAGATGCCACGTCTAATAAATATTCTTTAGATTATATTAAGATTAAGTGATTTACTAAATTTTAACATAATTTGAGAATCTACTAGGGACATACATATGCAAAAATACCTAGAATCAATTATAAATACTGTTCTATTCTAGTATGCAAAACGACGGATTTTTCCAAAAAATCGCTATAAATGTGATTTTTGTTGAGTTACTAAAAAATGCTTAAAAAGGATTTCTTCAGCTTGTCCAAAAAGAATCACTTTGACGTATGTCAACACAACAACAGTCCTGGGCAATATACATGAACAAAAAGTGGGGTTAAGACAAAATGTCAAAAAATGCCAACGGAAAAACTGATGTTGAGAAAAAGTCTTTATACCAAGTTTGATACAGGGCTTTTCGAAAAAACAGTTTTGTAAGTTGTAGGGTAATTATTTGTATTTACTAAGAGTGGGTCCAAGGTGGGACCATCCACTGCGGCCGCGAGGGCCTATTGTGGCTCAGTTCTTTTTAAAGCAAAAAGAGCTTTTTAAAAGAAAGAGTATTAAAGTTCACCCTCAAGAGCCAACCTTTTAACATAGGCTGTTATATCCGAGGGTGATATGTCCCCTAGGTCTGATAGGTCTAGTGTGGGTATGCCAAATACCTCAAACCTGGTCCTGCCCCCGGCGCGGCGCGGCGGGCAGGTACACATAACGTGCTTCACCGGTTTCGTCTTCGTCATCTTCCATACATAGTTCAGCGTATTCAACCATTTCCGTCCTCAGCAGGTGTGATCTCAGCCGGCAGTGGCCCGTGTGTACTGCAGTGAGAGTACGCGCACCATTCCTGTCGGCCTTTAAGAGTTCTGGCGTTCTGCGTTTGAATAGCCCTGCTAGGATTTTCTTGGCATGTTCCATTCTGGGACTGTCATTCCGGTACCGAAACGTCGTACCACAAACCCATTCACAAAGTCTCTTGCGAGATTTTTTGGAACGCTAAGTGTCGGTGCTGCTATAACGGTTGCTAAGAACAACCGCAAACAAGGATAGAAAGCATTTTCTCTTGTCAGTATCGGTATCTTCAAAAATTAACATATCCAAAAAAATCCTAAAAATTTAAACCATACTTTTTGAAAAAATACCGAAGTATATAAAGTGTTTTTTCTCCCAATTTCTCTTCTGTTTAACAGTATTTACGTAAAATGCAAAGAGTTTTACGTAATTATCGAAAAGTGACACTCATATCTGCTGTGTGAACTACAAAAAAAACCTCGGTTTCCAAAAAGTGATAATTGTTTTCCTAATTAATTCCCCTCAATTAACATTGAAATAGTACTGTTAAACCTGGGAGATGAAATATTAACTATGATCCACCATTATAATAAATATTATAAGTATTATGGTCATGAACTTTTTGCTACACGCTTCACGCTGCTGTTTTTACAGTATTTTTAATATATTTTTGTGTATAAAGTTAAAAAAAAAGTTTTTATATCTAACCCACCGTATTTTATTTATGAAAATAAAAGAGAGTAATAAATTTGAATAAAAAAATATTTCCGATATAATTACGGAAAATGCCGAACCGCTCTAAAATTTTCACAAGCTTTGGATCGCGTCCGCTATAAGAACAGCGCCAAACAGTATTTACATTGTCCTTATGGACACTTCTAAAAATCTAAACTTGTTTCATTTGTCTGTTTTGTAGTAAAATTAGTGCAAAAAGTTAAATATTACTTAACTAATTGAAAATGATCCACTAATTTGGACGTTCTTGAACGCTACTTGTACGCTAATTAAAGACAGTAGTAATTTATTCTACTAATTTCGAGATTCTGAATGAAGCTTGACAGTTGTCCCATGACATACATTATACAGGGTGTCCCAATATTCTGTGGACATAGAACTACTACGAATTTTTGGAATTAAAATAAGTTCATTAGACACAATTTACCTCTATACAAAAGTGCTTCGTTTGTCGGCTACCAAACTAAACACATTTTTTAGATATTTTAAAAACCGTTATTCCGATTTGAATGGGATTTTGGGATTGTTTTACTAAGTGCACCAACATTTGACTATCACAAAATTCAAGAAAAAGTACGCAAAGAGTGAAAACTACCCCCACCCCTACATAAATTGTAGTATAAATATTTTCCAACTCCACCGGCGCACAGTGATCTGAGGCTAGGTCATAAGTGGTCAAATTCAACATCCTGGTATCTTCCTTAACCGATGCTAATTAAACGCTTAAATGACCCCAGAGATATGACGCATTATAAGTGAATTCCTAAATTATTTTTTTTTAAGTTACAGAGGGTTCATTTAGTATAATTTTGGATCGTAATCACCATAAGCCTAAAGAAAAAAGTAAAACAAATTATAACTAAGGCAAAAATTGTTCGTGGAAGAAACTAAAGACATCTACGTGTAGGGTAAGGACTGGGCTTTTAAGCAATATCAAAAAAAAATGGTAAGAGCGTTTTTGATATTACGCAAAATTGTTTTAATAAAATGTTAATTTAATAGATGTTCTTGCTAGTTTGACAAAATTTATCTTTTAAAGTCCACCTTAGTCCGGCTAGCTAGTATATAAGTATCATACCCCAAGGCTTACTAAGTAAATCTAAATTATATATTTACCCGCCATGACCCGCCCATGAGGACAACAGAGATAAACTCTGTATAGCGAATGTTGTCCGATGCGTTATTAAGGAACCAAGCATTTTTTACGGGATTTGCTGGTGATAATTATATTTTCACCTCGAATCGTTTTAACTTATATCTTAAGTTGAATATACAGGGTGCTACAAATTCGAGGTACGACCATTGGTATCTCGTTAATCGTAATAAATACGAACATGATTAAATTGGGGCAACGTTGCGCTTTAGGATGTTCACCAAGATGCAATCAAAAAAGCTGAGTTTTTTGGAAAAACGGATTTTTTTTGAAATTCAATAATAAAAAAATCGTATTTTTTCGTATTCTTAAAATCTCTTTATTAAGACCAAAATTACTTTTGACAGCTTTCTGACCCAGCCAGATCACTATGCGACGGCCGAATCTTTTTTCGTAAAATGGTCCCTCTAGTATTTACTACATTTTTTGTCTCTTGTAAAAAAACAGCACCGTGCATACTTTTTGAGGAAAAAAATATTCTTTCAAACCTGACCTCCAAAAAATGTTTATTACCACAGTTATGGAGGCGCATAAAAACTATTATGCTCTAATAATCTAGTTGGCGAAAATATGTAATTTTAGGTTAGTATTACAATATATATTTGACGATAATCTTCATAAAAAATAAATTGTACTGAAGCTGTGGTTGATTCCTTGTGAAACATCGTTGAAATATTAGTATTTTAATAAAGCACGCTTTTAGATGTTTCAAAAAACTTTTAATAAGAGTAACTTTAACTCAACATATATGTTTCAGGCCTAACAAGCCGAAACATATATGTTGAGTTAAAGTTACTCTTATTAAAAGTTTTTTGAAACATCTAAAAGCGTGCTTTATTAAAATACTAATACTTCATAAATAAGTTAAAAAAATAACAATTTTTAAATTAATTAACGTTCGAGCTTATCTTTGATTGATGCCCTCTAACGGACAAACGAAGCACTTTTGTATAAAGTAAATTATGTGCAATTAACTTACTTTCATGCAAAAAATACGTAGTTGTTCTATGTCCACAAAATATCGGAACTCCCTGTGTATGTTGTATGTCTGCTTTGGAAAAATACATTCTTGGAAAAAAAATCACAAAAACTATGCAATGTGGGTTTTTTTACAAGAGACAAAAAATGTATTAAATACTAGAGGGACCGTTTTACGAAAAGAAAATCTGTTGTCGGTAGAGTTGGAAAATATTTGTACTAAAATTTAGACCAAAATATCATTTAAATTGCAATAACGGTTCTTAAAATATCTGAAAAAATGTGTTTATTTTTTTAAAGTTTGATGCCCTCTAGCGGACAAACGAACCATTTTTCTATAGGGACAAATTGTGTCCAATAAAACTTATTTTGATTCAAAAAATACGTAGTAGTTCTAGTCTACAGAATATTGGGACACCTTGTACGTAAAAAAAATCTTATTTGGTATGCTGAAGAAATTCTGCATAAACTTTATTTGAAAACTCAATAATAAAAAATAATCCGAGTGTAAACTTTTTGGCATACCCTGTAAATAATGTACAGGTTGTTAATTTGTTTATTACTCGCGGCAAGAGCTTTATGGTTGAAATATGGCAACCTCGACCCGCCCGTCGAGAGACGACGCGATGGGACGAGTCGGCAGCTTAGCTTAGTACTCATTTTGAATGTAGGCAGTGTTGCCATTCTGTTCCCCAACAACTAACCGTCCAGTTAACAATCTGTATAACAAGTATCATTCAACCAAATTCAAAATTCATCAAAAATAGCATATATTGTTACTAATGTGTTAACTATTACCACTACAAAAATACATTTACTATTAAAAATTACATAGTAATACAATAGATCTGTAACATTATTACTCAGTTTACCGTTTATCGACTTCTTTCTCTAGTTGATTTCTTTCTCTTGATTCCGGTTCGCGGCTCCTCTCTGTCTGAATCGACGAAGGACTGTAACGGCTACTCTCCACGCTCTGTTGTTTCGTGTACGTGGCGTTTCTCTCCTCCTGCTCTAATTCAGCTTCGAGATCTCCTATCTTCTTACCGTCCCTTATAATAGTCGAAAGCATTTCGACCACATTTAAAATCGCTTTAAGTTTGCCGTTGATTTCTTCCTGCAATAAATAACATAATCTAAAAGACTGTAATATAATTAATATAAAATTATGAGAAGTTGGTTTTGTCCAATCTGTACCTATCCAAAATGTCGAACGCTGGACAGCACACTTGCCTAACATCAGTATTAAATAAAGAACAAAGGAACTAAAAAAATAAATACAAGTGAGCGTGGATCATAGACAGATATCTGCATTGGAACTTACAAAGTAGTTTCCAAGAATTATTTATAGATTGGTAACCATGTAATTCAAACTTGTGACAATATCCAATAACCTTAACCAATAATCTATAATATTATAAATTAATTATTAGACATTTTTGTCATAATTTACCAAGTGCGTCTCAAAACATATAAACAGCAAAACATAACAAGCAAACATAATACTATACAGGGTGTCCCAGAAATAAATGCAAGTATTTTAACTGGTAGTATAGTTCAACCCCAGAAACGCGGCTAAGAGTTTTTTTTTCGATACGGAGTTTTTTGAAAAAAAAATTAGGATTTCTTTTTAGTTTTTAGTCAAAAAACATAATTTCTTGATAATATGGCAACATAGGTAGTAGATTAAATTTAAGAAAAAAAATCCAGAAAAGATCTAGTGGTTCTCAAAATTTTAGCAAAAAATATTTTTTTTTTGGAAATTTTCAAAATAACTCCGTTATTTTAGACTTATTTGAAGAAAGATAAAGAGAAAATATGTTTCTTTTATCGACATCTACTACCCCTTAAAATACTTGCACTTATTTCTGGGACACCCTGTATAGTAAAATATGATATGGCGTTTTGTATGTAAAGTTTGTTTTAAGTCTTTTTAGTGAGAGTACCTTTAATTCGTGCGTCTCAAAAGTGGCTCACTCCTATAACTTTTTTATTTTTTCAAATAGAAAAACGAGATTTGGTATGTTGGTATATGGCATAAATTAGGATTGATTGACGTATTCAATTGTTTTTGGTCACTTCCTGTTTTACCGGAAATGACTACAACTTTTAATTTTTAAATGACACTTTCCGATTTTTTTTTACTTTATTCCATTGAAAATGACACTCTGAATAGAATGACATATGACATATCAACTTTTGACATTTTCGCCTATGGTTTATTTGAAATTGTAACATGCGGTTCATAACGACAATTTGACTCGAAATACCAAGTGTGTGGTATCAAATTAATAGTAAAAAAGGCTTTTCCAAATATGCTAATGAGCCACCCTTGTTTCATTTCAAAAAATTGAGATATGATTAAAAATACGTTTTGGGCATCTTTGAACAGGCCAGAACAAGACACGAAAACCAGTAGACGATCAAATCAATTTTTCCAAGGCTCCTTGTCAACAACCACCCTTATCACTTAAGGGTATAAAAATAGATGACAACCTTATTCTCAGACCTACTGAATTGCCTCTCCAACTCCAACCCACAGTTTCCACCAAATTTAAATTGTATGTTATTTTCTTGTCTTTTATTATAAACTTGTAACTTACGAGAGTAAGTTCTTAAGTAATAGTAGCATAATTTAACCTAAATTTCAAAAACGTACAAATTATAATAATATATAAGAGTTCTACAAAATCGATCGGGTAAACAAAAAAAACGTAAGCCAAAGACTAACCAACGCAATCAAAATACACCTAAGGCGTATTTTGATCACTGTTACCAACAGCTCTAAATAAATAAAAAAATAAAAACAGCTGTAAAAAAATAAAAAAACTTTTGCCTCTGCCGGAGATCGATCCATCGCATCGTCCCGTTGCTCCCGAAGCGGCAGCCCCAACCACTGAGCCATACGCTGCTTTCGAAACCGACTATATTGAAGCATTAGTTTCTTCTGCCGTTTCAATACGCATGCGTCGGAACTGTGGGTTGAGGTTAAAGAGTTGCACGGTACGGCTAGACGCAAAAATATTAGACTAGATGACGAGGCAAAGGTTATTTTGCCATATAAGTTATTCCTAGGATTATTTTATTAGAAAAAAAATTGTGTATGCACTATGTGCGCATATTTGAACTGACACTTGTCCGTGTGTCCGTCCATCTATCTGTCCGTCCCACCCTAACGAAGATGTAAAGGAAACATCGTATTCAACTTTGCAGGGTGAGACCGCGTGCAACGTCGCTCACATAGCCTACCCACCAAATTTGGTCGCGATCGGACGACATCAACTTTTGACGTTTCCTGCGTCAAAACTAACTGTTACAGTGACACGTGTCGTACACGGTCAAGTTGACCTTGGTCCAATCTATCGACATACCAAATTTCATTTAAATCGGACAATTTTTTCACCATTAATGATGGAGTTTCATAGTACACGAAACGTCGTTAAAATATCATAAAAAGATGGGGCTTTAGAGCCCACCTTAACACCAGTGCTTATCAACAAATGCTTACCAATAAGTACTAAACATGATTCATTTTTCATGTATAGACAAAAACATATGCCAATAGTATAATTCCAATAATGTAGAACTAATTAACCAAAGCTTACCTGAAGTTTTTCGTTCTTCCTAAGAACAGCAAGCAATTCTCTATCGGACATATCCCCGTCGGCCAACTGCTGTTTCTGTTGGCGCAACTGTTCCGATTCCCTGCGAAGAACGAGCGCTTTCCGTACATAATCTTCCCTTTGCTTTGTCAACGTGGCCTTCTGCTGTTGGATTTCCTGGACGACGGCTACAAGAAAGGCTCAGTTAACGTTACCTCTTAAAATAAAATAGAATATAACAACTTTATACAAATGTTATACTCCTTGATAGAGCGGATTTTTTTTAGAGACAAGTCGATCAGACCTTCCTTTTGTTTCTACTGCTTTTGGATGATACAAAACCCTACGAAAAGATATAATTAAAACTGTGACACTATTGGAGTATATTTTATTCTGTACATTAATACAAACCATCGTTTCGAATTTATAACAATAAAGCGGCTTAGTATTAAACTTATATCAGAAATACATTTGCCTTAATATAAACACTTGAAATAGTACGAATTAAGATATATTTTGCAGGACAATTTATATTAAATAATAAGTACACCATATTTAAATAACACAATTGTCTACCTATCCAGAACAGACATAATATATTCTACATTCTAATAGTGACAATTCAAAAATAATAGTATGATTTTTAACATGAACAAAACTATAAAAATAATTTTATATAGTCTATAGATTGTATATTTCCCAAGTAGCATTTTTAGACACAAAATCGAAACAAAATCTCTGCTGAGAAACATTGCGAAACAGTTTCGTGACATTTTTGATACATATGTTTCGTAACATAAATCGCTTTTTGTTTTAAAACATTTTACCAAAATATGGTTTTAGCTACATAAGCTATAACAATAAAGATCTTAGTGTCACAGATGCCTCGAAACTTTTAAGAAACAGATGTGGCTCACATTTACATATTTCGTACCCATTTTGTGCCTGAAAAGTTTCTATAATTTATTTGATATTCTGTCAAATATGAAAACATAACCTTACTTTATTGTTTGAATTTTGTTCTGCAGTTTTTGCATTTAAACATTCTTCAAGTTTTTATAGTACTATAATGGAAAAGCAGAAGGAAGGACATATTATGGTGAGTACAAATACAGATATTTTTCTTATGCGGTTTTATAATTTATTATACGCATTACAAAGATGATTTGTTTTAGGAATAAATGTAATAACAGCCAAAGAAAAATTTTACCAGCAAACGATATTTTCTCGTTTTTCCACAATGGAATACATGTTTTTATGTTTTAATTGTGATATAATAAGTAAATAAAAATGTTTTATTTATTTTGACCTGAAATTTTAATTGGCGTTGTTGACAGGTGGCTAGTTCGAAATTTCTATACAGATAGCGCTAAATCGAAACATTTTTGAAACAAGGTTTCCATTTATCGTCGATTCATTTTCGAAACACGAGGTACTCTCTTTTTAGACACAAATATGATATTTGAATTAAAATTCCGCCATGTTGGCTAGTGACAGCGTTTTTAACTAAAAATATATGTTTTATCGGCTGTAGAGCTTTTAAACTCGTAGGAACGCGTTCTACTTACATTGATTTATATATTTTTATTTTCAGAACCATGACATAGAAATAAAAATAAAAATCTATATTTCAAACAAAAATATTTTGTAGCAACAAATAATGACATACAGACCGGATCACCGTAGTAGTAACATAGGCAGAACCGGACGAATTAGCGTATGCCCGTCCGCCGGATAAAAAGCAGGCGAAAAAATGCGATAAAATAAAAATAGGTAGATATGTGATAAGAATGTTACCGAATTTGTATTTATTCGTGTTTTAATAGCCAAAACGAATACATAGATTCTCGCTACAGCTCTCGTGTAAAATTTATTTTTTAAGTAAAATAATGGATGTTTACGAAGTTCGTGAGAAAATTCAAATTGTAAATTGTAAAATGGTATTTCCAAAATAGGGCTTATCGGGATATACAAACAATTTTTCCACAAACTTTTGTAAACAGGCCAATTCCATCTTTACCTACTATATCAAGAGTTATGAATAATTTTGAAACACATGGGTGCGTGTCCCCACAAAAACACAAAAAGGCTGATGTGTTGATTAATGAAGAACAGGAGTTAAAGCAAGTGTTTGGGGTGGTTTTGTAGGGCAGCATATGATTGGTCCATTTTTTATAGAGGGTAGTTTAACTGTTGCAAAGTTTTTGGACTTATTACAGCAGCAGATTCTCCCTATAATTCGTGAGTTATTGGGAGAAAGATTCCACAATGTCTGGTTTCAACAAGATGGTTGCCCTGTCCACAATGCCCGTATTATTCAAGAATATTTGAATAATACTTTTCCCAACCGTGGATATGGAACTATTTTGTGGCCCGCTAGATCACAAGATCTTTCTCCCAATGATTTCTTTTTGTGGGGTTATGTAAAATCCAATAATAATCTAGCTAATAATCTGGACGAGCTTCAAGTAAAAATAAGAGAGGCTTTCCAAACTATTAGCCCTAATATATTAGCCAATGTCAGACGGGGATTTAACGACCGCCTAGGCTTCTGTCTAGCACAAGAAGGTGGTCTTATTGAACACTTTTTTATTTAGAGTAATATTTTAGTTTTTTTCGGGTTTAGAGAATGTATTTATGTTTAATTTTGGCTTGTAAACACACTCAAATAATAAATATTTAAGTATTTTTATTTTAAATATTACCTTAAATGAAGGTAAACACTTAAAATGAAAATAATAAATACTCGGCACTCCTCGCGTCGTATTCCTAGTGTCACGACCGACCCGTCCAAGCACAACTGCAACTGCGTACTGCCTGACCAGCCGACTAGCCGGCATCGGCAGTGAATCTCTAGTACGAACGCAAATCGGGTAAACGTAAATTCGTCCGGCAACTTGCTATGTCACTAGTAGCCTGGTCTTCTCTGTATAGAAGAGGCATTAAAAATATGAAAGTACATTATTAAATCAAAGGATGAATTTGCTTTTGCCAGACATTTTTTGTGCGAGAAAACCTAAAACCAAAGATTTTAAGACAAAAAAAATTATGGCGGAGGTCGACATTGTTGATGGTTGTTTTCATTTTGAAATCCACACACAAACATATATTATTTTAGTTTGGTATTTTGTTTCTTCACATTCAGAAACAGTGGCTGCTGAAAACAGGAACATCTTGGACACAAATTGCAGAAAATGTTTCGAAACATTTCCTCCAAGTTTTGATTCCGTATCGAAACATTTCAGGAAACGGCTAGTGCCAGCACATTGGAAATACATGTAGTAAAGTCATATAAAATATATAGGTTTCGAAAATGTTTCATATTTGTGGCATACATTTTCCATTTTGTGTCAAAAAACAGACACGGTTATTAGAAAAATTACCTAAAATGTGTCCAAAAATGCTACTTGGGTTATATACGATCTTGGTCATCCTTAATCAGTGGTCTGTATTTTTATGTTTAAGATAACGATGGAAATACAATAATGGAAAAATAAATTATGTTAATCAAATAAGTCAAAGAGAAACTAATTGTTTTTCTATTATGTTATTGCCAGATTTTGTACCAGAAATTAAAAAGTACAATAGACAGAAATGTCCAATTTGGTCTGTTTTATTCTTGAAGGATAGCTGAACAGAGATGAACAAGTTGGTTTAACTGATCATTAGATAAGTTTTATCAGCAAATATTGAATTTGTCTCTATGATGACACTTTCATCATTGTATTAGAAACGGACTTTTTTTCATAAAATAGAATAGTATATGGTAAAAGAATTTTAATTTAATTAAGTACAGGGTAAAAGAATTTTAATTTAAATTCGCGTCACAAACCAAAAAGTTAAATCACAGCATATTCAATATCAGCTGTTCAACTTCAACTTATCAGTTTTTACTATAAAATTTGCAATCCTACCTATATTTTTTTATATTTGTCATGTAATAATTTCAATACTGCATTACACTGAGGTTTAGCTTAAAAAATATACATATGTAGGGGAATAAGTGCAGTAATTGGCCGCTGAGTACTGAATAAGTTGTGTTTAAACAATACAATATAAAGAGTAATTCACAAACAGTCACAACAACAAACCTGAAAGGAGGTTATGTGTTTTGAGTTTGAGATCAACAACTCAAGTCAAAACATTAAAAAATCACAAACATGTTACTAGTTTTGAGTGTTCTCATATTTCATATTGTCTTCACAAAAACATACTTCACTTACTATATAAAAAATTGTTGCAATTTGGTTGCGTTTATTACGTAATCAATTGCAATAACTATGTTACTATTGAAAATATTAACATAACTTAGTTATGCACAGTATAAACATTCCAGTTATGCACAGTATAAACATTCAGAATTAGAGATGGAGCATTAAATTACTCACCATCAGTTTTTCCTTCAGCTTCGCCAGGTGGTTGAGGGGGAGGAACCGAATAATTCGGTTGGTTAATTGGAGTCCAATTACTCTGAGAGAAACCTCCAGATGAAACTGGCTGGTTCGACTGGGCTTCCTAAAGAAAATAGACTAAGGTAAATTTCATTCAAATTTTACTATTTTTTTTTTCAATACTACACCATACTTTTTAAAATTGTTATGAATATTAATAATAAACACTAAAGCTTCATTCAGAACCTCGCATGGGCTCTTTCACTATATTTTGGAATTTGCATAATTGAATAAAGCTATTAATTCTAGAATTTTCTGCTATCACTTTCGAAAAACTTGAAGTAGTTCTTAAGAAAATAAATAAAAACAAAAAAGCCCAGAATAAAAATCCGCACTTTATTTTTAATACCTGGCCTGTTGAAAAGCGGCAACACCGCCGGGCCACCATGCTGACCTGCGTAAGGTTATCAGATGACGCCTTTTCGAATCCAGGTTCTGGTGCGACCATGATGGAACAAATTATCAAAAAATAACAATTTAAAACTTAAAATTTGATTACAAACGTTCACAAACGGAGTAAACAAAAAATTTAACTCCAAATTTATTATTCAACGTGCACGTCAAATCAAATCGCAATGTTGCCAGTTGTTGGCTGTCGTACGAGCACGGTTCTGCAATGTGATTGGGCGTATTTTTCATACGTCATCAATTGGCACTTTAAAATTATTCCAAATTCCCAATTATCCCTAATATTGAGGGCCTGTAAAAAAATTATTCAATGTCATGGAACTATTTTTTTGGATAAATATACTGAAAATAGTCTTATTAATATAATAAGTAACTAACTAAATATATATAAATAACTAACCCATTACACATAATATTTAATATGTCTTTAAGACTGTCGGCTTTTCCTAGGCTCTGGAAGTCTAGTTTTTTGATCCCGATTTTTAAGAGTGGCAATAAGTCTGATATTAAAAACTATAGAGGCATATGTAATCAGTCGGCAATTCCAAAACTTCTAGATAAGCTAGTCTACGAGTATTTCCTATGGCAATGTAAGGGCATATTAACAGACTGCCAGCATGGATTTTCCCATGGTAAGTCGACTTTTACAAACTTGGTCTCACATCAGACGGCTCTGTTACACGCCTTAGAGAATGGAAACCAGGTGGACGCAGTCTATACGGATTTCTCTAAGGCGTTTGACAGAGTTAATCATGTTGTCCTTCTGGAGAAGTTGAGAGCTGTCGGCTTTTGTAATGATTTGGTTGGTTGGTTCCATAGCTACCTGACCGAAAGAAGACAGGTAGTTAAGATTAATAACTTTACTTCTAGAGAGATCTCAGTGACGTCTGGTGTTCCACAGAGCGCCCATTGTTCCCCTTTACTGTTTAACCTATTTATCAATGATATTGTGTCGAGTGTTAGTAATTCCTCCTGCTTGTTGTTTGCCGACGATATGAAAATTTATAGGGCTGTTTCTAATGTTGATGACTGCCAACTTTTCAGAGAGATTTAGATAGAATGGGTGGCTGGTGTAAGGTGAACGGCCTTTCCCTAAACGCTAGTAAATATTCAATTATAAGTTTTTCCAAAAAAAGATCACCAGGGATTCTCTTTGATTATGATTTGAATCATGTTCATTTGACATGGGTGGATTTGGTCAAGGACTTGGGTATAAGCTTTGATTGTTCTCTTTTTTTTAATGAACACATTAATATAATTGCAGATAAAGCTTTAAAAACACTGGGTTTTGTATTGAGAAACTGTAAAGACTTGTCGGTAGGGGCTTTACAGATAGTATATTGCTCATTGATGAGATCAATTTTAGAATATGCATCTGTTATATGGAATCCTCAATACGATGTATCTAAGAAAACAATAGAAAGGGTTCAAAAGAAGTTTGTAAGGTATTGCGCTTGCAGACACAATCAAGAATATAGTTACATTATCAACTTAGACCAATTAAATTTAGAGACTCTGGACAAAAGGAGATTAATCTATGATCTTTCTTTTTTTTTATAAGATTGTTAATGGCGTATATGACTGTCCTGAGATACTTAGACAAATTTATTTCAAAGTTCCATTTAGGCCATTGAGAATTAATGATTTGTTCTTTATTCCTTTGCATAGCACTAATTATGGAAAGCACTCTCCAATTCCAAGGGCACTTAATTCTCTGTACAGGTTTCATGATGTTGACATTTTTAGTGACTCTTACTGGGCATTTAGGAGGAAGATTAGAAATGGGAGTGGTGATTGATGGGTGTGATAATTCTTCTTTTTACTGTACCGTTCTTCTCTTATAAGTGTTTATTGTTTTATTTGTATTATTTTTTAATGTTTTTAAGTATCTTTATACAATGTGAAAGAAAAAGAAAAGACATTTTTTTTCTTTTTTTTTAATATTGTTTTGTAAATTTTGTAATGTAATGGGGTTTCCCGTAAATAAAAATAAATAAATAAATTTCAGATTTTGTCCTTGAATTGGGTATTTTATTTTTTGTGAAAGAGCCCATTAGTGGTTTCAATTACACTTTAAGCTTCATTCAGAACCTCGCAATTAGTGAAATAAATTAGTGGTTTCAATTTGGTTATACATTATACTTTTTAGTTAATGATCATTCACAATGTCTAAAAAACACAATTAAAACTAATAGCATATCCTAGCAACAGCTTGCGGTAGTCAGTTGTATCCATAGTGAATGTTAAAAGTTAGGTAAGTTTTTCAACTAATTGAAAATTCCTACCACCAATTTTGACGTTCTGAATGCTTACATTCAAATTAGAAGAACAAATTTCTACGCTAATTGAAAGCACAAATTATTCCACTATTTGTGAGGTTCTGAATGAAACTTAATCGAACCATACCTGATATCCATAGCCAGGGTAGTTATAGCCTGCTCCATAATTCTGATATACAGGATAAGAACTAGCATATCCAGATGGTGGATACTGATTGGTCTAAAAATAAATATTATGTTCCCATACTTAATTAAAATTGAAATAACACAGCCAATTTATAAAATCTTATATCCTACAATATTATATGTATCTAAATATCTTAAAATGTAAAAAAACTTGGAGTGTTTAACAATTCATTTAAATCAGTAACAAAAAAGAATTATCGGATATAAATATCAAGAATCAAGAAGCTGAATTCAGAAAAAGTTGAGATATGAGCAAGAACGTTATTCAAATAACTCTGCTCATTGATATTTGTATACATATATCATAGTCACATAGTGTATTCCGTCTTTTCATGAAGATCCTAGATCACTTCATGAAGTGTCAGTTAGGTTAGCAGTCTAGCTATGTTATTAGGTTAGTTTTGTTCATTAAGTGACTTGGCTCTTCATGAAAAGACGGAATACACTATGGGACTACGACATATACAAGACATAAGCAAATTTAATAAATCCTTTTTATAATTACAGGTTTTTGATTAATCTAGATAGACTAGGAAATTCTAATTGTAGATTAAAATAAAAATCCAGCTTACTATATTAATACAAAACAATCATTAATCTAGATGCAATAAGTAGGTAAGTATACATTGTATCAAAAATAAAAACCTTTTTACAAGAAATTCGTCAAATATTGTTGTTATGTTGTATATTGTTTTTGACCAATAGAAGTAGTATAAAAGTAATTATAATGGTTCAAAAATTAGCATTAAAGGTGAAATTCTAGGTATTGCACCCTAAGCCACAAATATATAAATATATACAATGCTCATGAGAAGGATCAATGATTAAATCAATTTATTACAAAACCAGAACTAAACAATTTTAACATGTACAAAATTACAAAATATTACATCTATTGTTTGATTTCTTAAAACTAGGTATATCTAGCCAATATAGCTATCCTAGAACTGACTAGGTCAATACTATTCCTATAACACCAAACATAAATATTTCAGTAATCCTGCGAGTGTATAAACATTAAAGTTTCTTCAATTCAGACAGATAATATAATTTATAAATATTGGTATATATAAAAGGGCCTACATAGCATACAAAATACATAGAATTATTACTTTACATTCTAAAATCATAAAAACGAATTAAAATTGATTTTTGTAATTATTGATACTCACATTGTTATACATTGTGGTAGGCGCTTGCTTAAAGTGAAGTGGAAACCATTCACCAGGCCTTCCAATAAAGTCCTTATTTAAGTGAATTCCTGATGAAACTAAATGTTGGTGTACTTCTCCTGAAACTCTGTAATAACTATGATCCATCACAATTATGCAATATTAAATCTAGAATAAGCAATCAAAATATTTTAATAAAGCGTCACTTTACAAAAGGGCACCATGAAAATTTGAGTTTATCACCTTAGTCGCAAATCCACTCTATATAAATCATATAATAGTAATGTGGGATTTTTAACTACTTAGATTATGTATGTACTTACCAATTATATTACTTTTCTAAGATTTTATGAACAAAATTAAAACTGTTTTTGCTAAACACAACGCGATTAACATGGCGATCGGCGTTGAGCTGTCATCTGTCATACTTGTCATGACGTCATAATACGCAGTTTTGCAATTTTTGAGCCACTCGTAAGGTTGGGCGATGTGTATCGATGTTTCCGAAACATCGATATTTCTTATTCGAAATCTGCTATGGAAATCTGATTTTTATTTGATGTTTGATGTTCAGTCTTAAAAAATAGACTTGAGGTTTCGTTTTCAACAGAGAATGTTTTCAATCGACTAATTGTGTAATTGAATCAATCGACTAATTGTCGATTGTCGTATGATACCGCTATAGTTTATTTCTATATGAATAGATTTTTGTTAGAATGAGGTAAGTTAGCGAAAAATATCAGCAGTAAGTAGTGAAAATATAAAAGGTGAGTTTTATTTCTCCACCACATTGATTATTAAAATATGATTGTGTCTTTGTTGTTCACATTTACTTTGACCAGCCACGAAAAATGGGTAAGAATAAAACAAATAAAATTATTAAAATTTAGCTATATCAAATGTACTTCTTATATAATATTAATATGTGTCTTAAAAATGGTATACCTTAAAAATATTATTTTTATTAAAAAATATTAAACATCAAAATTATTGTAAACTGTAATATCAGGATACTAGTTTTGGACTTTTGTTCCGTTTGTATCCTAAAGACTGAAATAAATAAATAAATAAATCAATGTTTTACAACCGACATTTTCAAACATCGATGTTTGCTGTCTATGTTAACATACCGTATGATCGAAAAAAAATGGCGTCCAGTTGGCTGGGAAATGAAGATCGCTGTCATTTTAAATGTAAATTTATATGGGAAATGCCATCGATCGTCATTTCCCAGCCAACTGGACGCCGTTTTTTCTCGATCATACGGTAGATAGTCTATATCGATGTTTTGCGACGATGTCCCATCGCTAGCCAAAGGTGAGCCTAGAGCTGGCCCAGAGACATGCCCAGGATAGACTGGTAGTGGTGAGCAGGGTTCGGAAGTAGTTAACTAAGACGTAATTTACCTGATTAACTACGTGTAGTTTTTCTTCAAAAACTACGTCTTTTCCTGTTCATTAACTACATGAAAACTACGTTAATAAACTATGTATTGATATTATGAATAATTTTCCTTTGTATGAGGTGTAATAGAGATAATATGATGTAAATATTATATTTAAAGCCATATTTCTTCTGTTTTCTTAAATACATTATGTGTTTTTAAAGCTTTAACTTATTATAACCTCACCTCAAAGCTTTGATATTTGAAAGTTACCTACATATATTACATAAACTACACCCTCTAAACTCACCCTGGTGGTGAGCACCAGTACCAGGGTTCGGAAAACTACATGTTACTTTTAAAAACTACATAAACTACATTACATGTAGTTAATGTAGTTTATGTAGAAGGTGTAGTTTATGTAACCTATGTATGTAACTTTCAAATGTCAAAGGTTTGAGGTGAGGTTATAATAAGTTGAAGCTTTAAAAACACATAATGTATTTAAGAAAACAGAAGAAATATGGCTTTAAATATAATATTTACATCATATTATCTCTATTACACCTCATATAAAGGATAATTATTCATAATATCAATACATAGTTTATTAACGTAGTTTTTATGTAGTTAATGAACGGGAAAAGACGTAGTTTTTGAGAAAAAATACACGTAGTTAATCAGGTAAATTACGTCCTTTGATTACGTCTTAATTAACTACTTCTGAACCCTGGTGAGCACTTTAGGTGAGCCACACCAATTACCTCCTGTGATTATGAGGCCGTACTTAAAAGCTCTGCTAAAAGTAAAAGGCAAATGGCATGCTAAATGGCCTTAGCAAGGCAAAAGAAGAAATGTTGTAAAACATAACCTTAAATTTTTGACAGATATCTGTTTTTGTTTTGTTTCCTCATATTTGAGTTTTGAGGAAACCAAAACTTTAATTTGTATTATTTGTTATTGTTACTAATTGTTACAATTTGTTATTATACGTGCTTGTCAGTATTCAGTAAGTATTTCTTTAATTAAGTTTCGTAAAATAACTCCAAAAATATTTTGGCATAATAAAGCTTACGGAATATTTAACATCTAGAAAAGATGAGACGTCGAGCAGGTTTAGGAGCCATCCAAAAACAAAAACTAGAACAAGAGAAGTACAAAGACAAAGGCAACGAAATCCAAGAGAATCAATTTGAACAAATAACAAAACAGCTGGAGTTTTTTAAAGTCAATTTAGAAGAATTTGCATCCAAACATAAAAATGAAATTAAAAAAAATCCCGAGTTTAGGAGGCAATTCCAAGTAATGATTATGATCTAAATTAGTACAGAACAGAACATAGCTAAATAATGATTTTAGGAAATGTGTGCTAGTATAGGAGTAGATCCATTATCTTCTGGAAAGGGGTTTTGGTCCGTTTTAGGTATTGGCGATTTTTATTATGAATTAGCAATTCAAGTTGTTGAAGTGTGTTTAGGTGAGCCAAGTTAAACTTTTTCTAGAACAGTTTTAGCATTAATAGATATGAGCACAATTTAACAGCTCTAGTACTATTTCTGTACTTTTAATTCAAAATTAAATTAATTTTTAATATTTAAATATTGTCATTTGAAAGTGTCCTTTTTCTCTTTGGCCAGACTTTATAAAGTTAAAGTCTGTCCAAGAGACTAGGGATCACTTCAACAGAACATCAAAAATTGACAGAAAAGAACATTACTTTTAAATTAAAATTATAAGCAAGTCACCTCTGCAAGTCACTGTCATATCTCATTAATTAAATTTTGACATCTTATTGCATCTAAATCAATCTAAATGTTTAAAAAAATTTGATAATGAGTTTTAATCATAATACCACAATTTAAAAGGTAGCATATTTGGAAAAAGCATTTTTTATGCTAATTAACAAAGCATGGCATGGGTTTAATCCATCTAATTATATTGTAATATACTTTAGCTACAAATGATAAAAATGGAGGATTAATTAGTCTTGAGGAATTAAGAGAAAGACTAATTAAAGCTAGAGGAAAAAGAAAAGAACATCAAGAGATATCAAAAGATGATTTGTTGAGAGCTAGTCAAAAATTGAGAATATTTGGCAGTGGCTTTAATGTCATTCCATATGGAAAAGGGAAGGTAAACAGTTTTACATTTTGTACTAAAGATATTTTAGCTAAAAAAAATAGTAACTACAATTTGTCTAGAAAAAGAATATGGTGGTTATTGGTCATCTGAGCTAATTTTTGTCACAATTAGATTTCTACATATCTAGTTATAATTCTGCAATAGTTATTATATATTTCCAACGTGTACATTTTTATTACCATTGAATATTTTACTCTAATAATCATTTAATTTTATTAAATTAACAATGGGCCTATCACAGCCACTTAGATTTTATCAAATGATAAAGATCTACTGACCCTAAATAATAAAAATGAAAATATCTACGAATATCTTTAGCTAAGGGGTTGGCAACATTGTAGTATTTTGAAGAGATATGAATTCTCCATTGAAATATCGGAATAATATACTGGATGTTCCGTTTAAAATAACAGAGTAGCTTGCTTTTAAAGTGGCCAATTTCAGTATTAATTTTGTCTCACCCTTATTCGGTAGAAAATGACACTTTGGATAGAATGACATATCATATGTCAACTTTTGACATCTTCAGCTGTGTTAAAAGCACTAAAGGAGCCTTAGAAAAATAGATTTGGTCGTCTCATGTTTTTAGTGTCTTGTCCTGGCCGGTTAAAAGATTCCCAAATCGTATTTTTAATCATAACATAATTTTTTCAAATGGATTGAGTGTGGCTCATTAGCATATTTGGAAAAAACAACCTTTTTTTAGGAATAATTTCGTACCACACACTTGGTATTTCGAGTCAAATTGTTGTTATGAACAGCATGTTACAATTTCAAATAAACTATACCGGGTGCGCGTCTCAAAAGTGGCAAACCCCCTGTAACTTTTTTATTTTTTCATATAAAACAACGATATTTGGTATGTTAGTATATGACATAAATTGGGATTGATTGACGTATTCAATTGTTTTCGGTCACTTCCGGTTTCACCGGAAGTGACTACAACTTTTGATTTTTAAATGGCACCCTCGGTATTTTTTTACTTTATTCGATAGAAAATGACACTCCGAATCGAATGACATATCATATGTCAACTTTTGACATTTTCGCATATGGCTTATTTGAAATTGTAACATGCGGTTTTTAACGACAATTTGGCTCAAAATACCAATTGTTTGGTAACAAATTATTCGTAAAAAAATGCTTTTTCGAAAAGTTGCTAATGAGCCACTCTCGTTCCCTTTGAAAAAATTGAGATATGATTAAAAATATGATTTGGGCATCTTTTAACCGGCCAGGACAAGACACTAAAAACATTAGACGGTCAAATCTATTTTTCCAAGGCTCCTTGATTAAAAAGTAGTCTTTTTAACACAGCTATGGCGCTCTAGATTGAAATTTAAAATACAATTTGTTTTTGAGTGATTATGTCAAAAATTGACGTATGATATGTCATTCAATTTAGAGTGTCATTTTCTATCGAAAAAAGTAAAAAAATATCAAGGGTGCCATTTAAAAATCAAAAGTTGTAGTTATTTCCGGTAAAACCGGAAGTGACCGAAAGCAATTGAATGTGTCAATCAATCCCAATTTATGTCATATACTAACATACCAAATCTCGTTTTATCTGAAAAACTAAAAAGTTATAGGGGTGAAAAAGTTATATAGTGTTGTTACTTGTTACGCACCCGGTATGCATAAATGTCAAAAGTTGACACATGATATGTTAACGTTAATCAATCCAAATTTATGTCATATACTAACATACCAACTCTCATTTTTTTTTTATCTGAAAAAATAAAAAAGTTATAGGGGGTGATCCACTTTTGAGGCGCACCCGGTATAGGGTGTTCAATTACAAAAAAACACAATTTTATGTGTAAATTTTTTTGGCGATCCTCTGTAGAACTATTATTTTTATAAAATGCTTTCAGTTAATTTAATTTCAATATAAACTACTGTTCTCCTTGGAGCCTTCGCGTCGTATGATTGGCGCCACCCTGTATATTCGATCTCTGGACAGGCTATGCTAAAGGTTGATTCTCACTACCTTCCGTTTCCATTCCATATCCGTTCTGTATTTTTATTGTATTGACGCTATACGTAAGCTTCCGTTCCGTATCAGTACCGTACTTTTTATTGTACAATTTATATCATTACGAAAGTTTTATTTTAAAAATTTGTATCTCTTGAAAATGTAATAGATTTAATTAAGAGGTGAAAGATTAAGTAAATATCAGCAAAATTTTAACAGAGCTGGTACAAATTATAAGAACGTGACAACGCTGTTTCCGATACGCTTCAGTCCGTCCGCCAAAAAAATGTATGAAAGGAAATGATATAGAACGGAAGGGAAACGGAACGGATAGTGTGCATTGTCCTATTCATTTACATGATATAATATTTTATGTAAACGGAAGGGAAACGGAACGAAACGCTGATATGGAAGGTATAGTGAGAATCAACCTTAATATGTATTTTACTGTTATTAACTGAAATCTGAATAAATAATAATAAATTCTTGAATATATCTATGCCTTTGCCTTTTAGTACATGATCCAGTCAGTTCCTGGTGAATTGAGTATGGATCATTCAGCCATTCTTACTCAAGCCTCAGCATCAAATAGGGCATATGTTACAGTGTCTTTTCTGAAACAGGAGTTAAACTGGGAAAGGGAAAGAAGTGAAAATGCTTTAGACCATTTGGTAAGAATTTTTTCAATGATATTAGACCAGCAGAAAAAATGACCATATAATATTGTTTTTATATAATTTTAAAAAAGTTGATTTAAATTGGGTCCGTTACAGTAGCCCCCCGGTTCTCCAAACTCTTTAATATTTTAGCACTGTATTGCACCCACCTAGCACTACCTAGCATATAAACACGAAACAAAGACTCGTTAAAGGGTTAATAGAAGACCTTTCAAAAGAAGATTGGGTTTTGCAAGTACTGTGAGCTTTAGGTCTAGTGGGAGTAGGGATGCTGCTGTAATAATTGTTGAAAACTCTGAAACTTTATCGAAAGGCACTGAGTTCAAAAAATCAATGAATGACACCAATAGTCAGTTCGGCAATTTTCATCAAGCCAAAAACATCCACATGATGTTCTAGTTAAATAAAACATGATGATATGCAAAAGCCTTTTTTAAATTTCTTATAACTTCTAATAAAATTAAATGATTTATTAGTTTTAATAAAAGTTTAAAATATTGTCTTAGATTCTTACTATATATATATATATATATAAATTAAAATTAAACATCTATTTTATTTATTTTTTAATAAAATAGTATTTTTTTTAAAATAAAATATACAAGTTGTAACAAGATTACAAAGTAATTAAGAAATAACTGTTAAATAGAGTTTTTTGTAAGTGTTTCACCTGATATCATAATTTTATTTATTTGGCAATAGTTTACAGTACGGTTTTTGTGTCATGTATATTATAACAGTTTTATGCCTATTAGTTTTACTATCTCGTATTACGAGATAATAAAGTCCCAAACATCGCTGACGTTTTGTCCCACTAGAATTGCCATCCGCCCCACTGTGCGCCAGGTGAAAATATGCTATAACTCTTCTGGGAGTGTAGTGCTAGCTGTGTAAATTGGGTGCTAGGTAGTGCTAGGTGGGTGCAATAGAGTGCTAAAGTTTTAAGGGAAAAATTCAACTCGGGGGGGGGCTAGCGTTACATTAGCCCCCCGGTAAAAATGTCCTGTAATTCACTAGGGGTTGTGGTGCTAGCTCTGTAAGTTGGGTGCTAGGTAGTGCTAGGTGGGTGCAATACAGTGCTAAAATATTAAAGAGTTTGGACAACCGGGGGCTACTGTAACGGACCCATTTAAATTACAATCACCACAATCTTTGTTAAAGCTATTTGTCCTAAGGTCCTAAAAGTGATGATAAGTATTATACAGGGTGGTCCGAACTGTATTCTGGAAACTTCGGTAGCATATTCTGCAGATAAAAAAATAAGTAAAAAAATTCGTATAAATGGATGTCCTAAAATGCGTTACGGAGATACAGGGTGTAGAAGTTTCATTTTTATTTCAAATTTTTCGTGGATGAAAATTGGTGTCGTGGGAAATTTAATTTTGATGTCAATGTGACTCCTATTTGTAGGGGACGCCACCTACATTTGTTTTAACTGTTTTGAAGGGTAATAACTTTTCGGCCGTATCTGTATAAAACTACTGAGTGAAAAAATGTACATTTCCGTGATTTTTTACGTAAAAAATATCTCTTGGTAAAAATCGCTACGAGCAACCATTCTCAAGATATTTAGAATGGAAGTAGTTAATATATGTTATTAGTGGCCAAAAAATAAACATGAGTAGATAGTTATTTGACTGAAATGATAAATTTGGGAACTTTTTTAAATTAATCATATCTTTTTCTTCGAAAAAATAATGATAAACAGTTTCTGTTAAACTTTTGGCAGAAAAACATTTCAAATTTATGATTTCAGTCTAATAACTTTAGTCAACATGTATTGATAATTTCGATTATAAATATCTCGAGAAGCATTATTCGTAGCGATTTTTACCAAGAGACCTTTTTACGTAAAAAAACGTCGTAAACGTATATTTTTTTACTCCGTAGTGTTATACAGGTACAGACGAAAAGTTATTACTCTTCGAACCAGTTAAAAAATATGTAGGTAGCGCCCTCTATAAGTAGGAATCATATTGACATCAAAATCAAATTTCTCATATCAAAAAACTCCCAGACACCAATTTTCATCCAAAGATCGACGTTAGTTCAGAAATTATTTGGAAAAAAATCGAAATAAAAATGAAACTTCTACACTCTGTATCTCCGAATCTAAGCATTTTAGGACATACATTTATATGAACTTTTTTACTTATTTTTATCTGCAGAAAATGCTGCCGAAGTTTCCGAAATCCAGTTCGGACCACCCTGTATATAGTTTTATAACTATAAAAAATATGTAACACCAAAGGTTTTATACTTAAAGGATTTTTTTCAGGTTAATCAAGGCTTAGCATGGATTGATCTGCAGGACGTACATGAGAAACGATATTATTTTCCTAGTCTTTTTAACGAATGTGTAAATACAAGTTAACAGTAATACTGAGATTTTTTCTTGCAAATATATAAGGATAACTGTATTATATAGCGTTCCATGTTTTTGTAGATATGTAAGAATATAAAAGTGTTGAAAATTAATTATTTTATGTAATAACTATTCTTGTCCACACTGGCATAAACAACATAGCTAACTAAAGTGTTTTTTTATAAAAATTACTATATATATTTTTTTTATTATTGGGTTATTGAAAAAAGTTTATGCGGAATTTTATCAATATATCCAATAATAAAAAGAATCATTATGACATATGTCATGCAAAAGCTGTCATAGCGACAAATTACAACGATCCTCTTTACATACGAAAAAGTGGGGTTAAGTGGCAATTTACGTCTAGACCTATCAAAAGTAACTTTTTTGTGCATAGTAAAACAGATTTTCTTTTATATAAACCATTGCAAAGAGATTTTGGTATATCGAAAAGTTTTATTTTTCGCTTTAAAAAATCGTATTTTAAATTTCAATCTAGATTACCATGGCCGTGTTAAAAACACTAATTTTTAATCAAGGAGCCTTGAAAAATAGATTTGATTGTCTAATGTTTTGCGTATCTTGTCCTGACCAGTTAAAAGATGCCCAAATCGTATTTTTAATCATATCTCATTTTTCTCAAATGGTACGAGGGTGGCCTATTAGCATATTTGGAAAAAGCATTTTTTACAAATAATTTGGTCCCACACACTTGTTATTTGAGTCAAATTGTCGTTATGAACTGCATGTTACAATTTCAAATAAACCATATAAGAAAATGTCAAAAGTTGACATATGATATGCCATTCTATTCAGAGTGTCATTTTCTATCGAATAAAGTAAAAAAAACCGAGGGTGCCGTTTACAAATCAAAAGTTGTACTGTAGTCATTTCCGGTAAAACAGGAAGTGATCAAAAACAATTGAATACGTCGATCAATCCTTATTATTTAATTGTAAATATTGAATTAACTATTATCTATATATTTTTAATTCTACCAAGAAACATTTTATTTAAAATGTATAAATACCATTTTAGTTTAAAATAATTCAATCTACAATTAATTTGTAATATTTATTTTTTTGCAAAATTTATAACAAAAAATAAGTCACAACTAAATTCAATTTATTTTCTGTATTTCAACTTAAATCATATTTTTCCAATACCGCTGTATTGAGCTTACTAACATCGTTAGATATTAATTCAATAAACTTTTTATAATTATTAATTTTATTTGTTAATTTCGTGCATTTCTCTTTAATGCTCTTGTTTTCCTTTTTCAAAGTTTGTATCTGATCTTTTAAATTACCGACTAATTTTTCCAAATTGGAAACGATGATATTGGTTTCTCTTTTCCATTTATCTCTCATTTCGTTTTTATTTTCCATTTGAGCTTGCAGATCGTTAATTTTTAACTGGTATGCTTGTGACAAATCTTCTATTTTCTTAGTATAAGTTTCATTTAATCTGAAATAGATTTTAATATATATGTAAAAGATTTTAGAAAATTAATAACCATTAGTAAATTTTATAAATGTAGGTTTATATGCATCCATCATGCGTTGTCCCTCGATCCATCACATCAGTCATATTCAATAAGTATTCAAGTATGATCTGTAATTTTTGAAATAAACCAATAAAATTCATAATAATGTAACAACAAACAGAAAAAAATAATATAACAACAAACAGAAAAACTGCGCATGACTGATGCTTGTAAACACACACTAAGACTGAAAATATAACGTTCTCGGAGTTCTATAGGCTTGGTGCATTCTCCACCGGTGCTGCCACCATCGGAGAATATATTAAACAACTGATATATGCAAATACACGGGTTTAAAAGCAAGTATACGAAAAAATTATTATATAATTATTCTAAAAAAGTAAATATTTTGATATCCTCAGAAGATTTAACTTGTATTATAATTTATTATTCTAGTTAAAAAAAAATTAGATGGGTTCAACTAGGGTAGCGAGCATAGTTTTACGCGCCGATTTTGCTAGTGGGGTCATAATTGGGGCTATTTCGGCTAAGTATATCGAAATTTTTTAAAGGTACACCATTCAAATTTTAGAAGATGTTCTTAAAACATTTAATCGCTATATGAAAAGAAAAAAAGGATACCATTAATATTGCAAATTATATTTTATCCTTTCATAGTATATGTCTATTTATTTTATTGAATATGTAAGGAGCACTTTGTTTACTCACTTGTTTCGTCGAACTGCTTGAATCCATTTTTGCTTTTGATCAAATCGGTGTAAGGAACTATGAAGCTATAAAATGTTGTTGGCGGGAGAGTTGAATATCCGGGAAAGTTGAGTTATTGAATGTTATTGTACCCAACAATTATCTAATTATGCTCTCCTTTACGCGTTAACATTTTTTCGGCAAAATTAAAAAAATTAACATTTGAAATTGTCACAACACAACACGATGCCTAGTTCGTATTGTTTTTCACTTATTTTTTACTACTCGAAACAGCGTAACATCACACCTCGTACCTGAGTGTTTTATAGTTTCAATAACTACACTAGCAAAAAAACTAAAATACTTAAATATTATGACAAAGCCACGATTTCAATACTATTTTAATACGATCAAAATGAACGGTAACCGGGACGGCGTGAAATACATAGCGAAAATGTTCGGATTTCTACCGTATACAGCGCTGCGGTCGGAATTTTTGAAATCAACTGAAATGCACCAAGCCTATACGTGTTAATGAGTAAAAGTTTAAAATCATAATATGCAGACCTGGTCATCCTAAATAGATGGTCTGGATTTCAACGTGTAAGAAAATGATAAAGATATCCTAATGGAAATTTAAACATGTTAAAAAAACAAAATGTGTGCCAATCTTTGAATAAGAAGACTAAGGAAGGAGCATATCAAAAATCTTAGGTACACCGCGATGGGCCTCAAATATGGCCGACTTAAATTCCGGTTTATCAATGTCGTTCTAATTTTATTTAAAAAATGTAAAACTATAATGTAGGGTAGACGTGGGGTAGACTCAATAATTTGTTGTTTTATTTTACGTTGTGAATAAATGTTGGTAGTTATTAAAATTGTTATAAAAATATATAATTCTAATAAAAATAGATAAGTTATAATAAGTATTTATTACCACAAACATCCGATACGCTACTGAAGCAGGTAAGTCAAATTAACGTATCTAAATTCTTTGACATCTAAGCTTTGACAAGTAATAAATAAAAGCTAAAATGCAAGAAAAATATATAATTTAGTTAATTTAAGTGAATTTCATAAATGATCGGTTTACTACACGTATGTATATTATATAGTCACTTACTAGCGAAAAGTTGTTCCATTATTTCACTCAATTTTTGCCGAGATCTACCGCACGCTACACAACCAACTATTTTAGAGTCTTTTTTCGATAAATCGCGATAGTGTCACTGTTAATTTAAGTTCTGCCACAATTTCCATCTAGATTTACTACCTTTATACAACTATCAGTAGTAGAATAAATAATAAATAACATAAAATAAGCTTCCTAAAGACTGACAAATCCACAACATTTCAAATCAAATTCAAATGTGTCAAATGAATCGTCAAACAGAACTGTCAAGGATCCCCACCCTAGAGAGCTTTTATGGTGGCTTTTCCGCCCACCATGCATGAATACATGGATAGCATTATGCTCCTTCCTTAGTCTTCTTATTCAAAGGTGCCAATCAAGTGCCGATACTTTTTTCTTCAATGCGGTATTGCCGGTTTTTCCATAAAAAATTAAAATCAACCAATAAATTCAAAATTTCGAATATGTGGTATTGCAACAAGGGATTGCAAATTATTAATTTATCAACTATTAATTAGTCATTTTGCTACAGTGCGCGCGCATAACTCAATTTTTATTTCTAACCCGCTAATCTTTAATTTATACTTGATATGGAATCTGGCAACTCTGCACTTCTTTATGTCTCTGGTTATCAACTGATTATTATAACGTAAGTTAGGTATCCTTATCTTTGACTTACTCATAATCAAAATAGTGACCACCGATTTAGAATGACTAGCTTGATTTTCATGCATCCGTTATCCGACGATACGATATTAATTTTATTGGTTGAATTTAAAGACTTCGATTGGTTAGAAACGGTTAACTAATCGAAGCCTTCGTGCGATAACGAACCTTTTGACACTTTTTTGACAAATTTAATCAAACTTTAATAGAAATAGTACAAGAGCTTTCAACGTCGAGAAAACAAGAACTTTAAGAAAGCTGGTTCTTTAATATATCTTTTGCTATGCTCTCCTGTGCTCTCCTGACCAAAGTGCGGGAAATTTGGCTGCCGGTAGACTACTACGGTTCACTACTGCGCATCACATCTGTATCGAGTATCCCATTTTCGTGTGTTTTATGGGATTTCTCGTTTAGGAGTAGACATACAATGATACGATTTTCACATTACTTTGCTACTTTTTTATGAAAATAAATATGCTATACATAGGTTTGTCTTAGCCTCCTTAGTTCCTGAAATACAGGGCGAATATGTGATGCGCGTGAACAGATGTTGAATACAGATATGATGCGCAGTGTGAACGCAACGTCTACCGGCAGCCAGACGGTCCGCGCTCTGTTCAGGGGAGTATAGCAGAAGATATATTAAAGAACTAGCTTTCTTAAAATTCTTTCTCGAAAACGTTGCTAGCTCTTAGACTAAAACAGCGAAATCGTTATGCAAATAAAAATATAAAATGACACCAATCACAAGCAAATCGTATATCTGATGCACGGAGGCATGAAAATGCAATAAATTTAAAAACTGTGTAATTTTCTAACCAATCGAAGTCTTTAAATTCAACCAATAAAATTAATATCGTATCGTGGGATAACAGATGCATGAAAATCAAGCTTTACTCATAATCAAAATAGTGACCACAGATTTAGAATGACTAAGGCCGTGTTTATCTAACATACCATGCTGGCAATTGTTACTCTTGGGTCGGTATTTACATGTGTGAAAGTAAATCGCATAGGGATCTTTTTAAGTCGGAGTGAGAGAAATGCGACGGAGTGCTGTTGCGGCGTTGGCGGTACGCCTTTCCCTATGAAGTAAAGTAAAATCACGATCGCAAAGCGCTTATATTTTTTAAAAACTTTTTTTTCGAAAAGATAACTAGATAAAATCATTAGAAATGTTTCTGAGCATCTGAAATGGAATTATAAGGATATCTTTAAGGTCATTTTTTCATAACGAGAAAACGTCAGTAATCGCCATAATTTTAAAAACTCAACTTTTTAACACATAACACGCCATAACTCAAGAAACACTTTACATATTTCTTTGTTTATTTTGAATATAGGATCTTTTACAATATGTTTACATAAGAAAAATTCGATAAGGTTTTTTTTCCATTCAAAAATTGTAAACAACCCATCTATTTACTTCATAGCAATTTTCAGCAGGCGTGTAAAAGATTTTCACTTACTGTCTACGAAGAAAATACAGCAGAAATATTAAGAAAGTTTTTGAAAAAACTACAATCAATTATATTATTTCTAATAGATTTCGAGATATCGATTTTTGAATTCAGAGTTCTAATAGCCCGACTACTGTCGAAAACCAACTCAATTCCACTTATTTTTACCAAAAATGCAAGTGTTTCTAGCTTGCACTTAAAAATTTTCAAGCTATAAAATTACAACGACTCGTTAATAAATAAACAAATAAAGTATCACGAGACGTAATTAAATCGTGAAGCTGAACGCATGATGTAGACCTTTCCCTAGACAGAGGTACTGATTGGGTCAATGACTAAAGAATCCAAGGACAAATAACACCCGAGATCAAATTGTGACGATGACACCAAACAGTGCCATGGCACATATTTTTCTTAACCTAGCTGTTTGAAGCAATATTTATATTTTTTGATAATTGTTTTGACTACGCCTGTGGTGTATCGTCCTAATTAATTACGAAAAAAACGTATTAAAATGTTAACAAAAGGTACAAAACTAGTATCGACGTATAGCACATATCAAGTACATATAGATGTTAATTGAAATTGATGAATAATTATCGAATTCAATAAGAAAACGCTAAAAAGTTGGAGTGGACTGTTTATTTACCTATGAAACGTAACTCCTGGCTCTTTCTTATCGCTGCTGCTTTTACACTTGAAAGCTGAACAACTAATCACCATTTTAATAAAGTTTATACAAAGTTTACTACACACAAACTATTAAAAATCGCTGGTGACCAAATGATGACTCATTGTTTGCCACCAAAACAAAAAAAAAGTCACAAATTCTGCTGCAGCCCGTATAGGGGCGTTACATGTCCTTATATTCTTTAGTCATTGGATTGGGTCGACCGGTCAACTGCGACAAATCTGCTATATCCCCTTCGACGTCTCTTAGCAATGTGCACAGTTTCTCGATTCATTTCATACGTTTGGCAACGTGTTTACTGTTCTCTCTTTGTTCAGTATATTATAAACGCATTGTACTCTTCTTAAATACGGAAATCTCGACCCAAGACTAACCTTTACCAGCCCTTAGTATATACCCGATTGAGACTTTTCAAAGTCACCCCGTATAATAAATAATAAGTTAAACCCTTCTTACATTTCAGAGTTTTTCCTCTGACTACCTAACTGAGTTTCGATGTTATTCAGTTGTTGATTTAATACGCTCATTTTTTCGGCTACTTTCGTCACTTCTTCTCGTTTATCTTCCAGTTCAACTTGCAATCGACTTATTTTTATTTTATACGATTCAATTTCGGTGTTTTTGGCTTTTATGTTTGTCTCGTACAGGTCGGCCATATGTTCTATATCGTTCTTTATTGTTAGTTTTTCAGCCGCTAATTGAATATTTTGTTTTTCGGAATTTACCTGTAAAATTGAATTTATAAGCGTAATCTTTCGGCATATATGCTTTAACATTGTTAAAAGTCAGATAAAATACTTATTTAACATTAAAATTCATGTATTATTATATTTTTATGAAACTAAAGATCCTACACACAGATTTGACCTAGCGAATTTAAAAATGGTGCATAGAGTTTTTCGTAGGGTTTTTCACGTAGAATCCAGTGGCGTAACTAGTTTTTCGCCGGGACATGTCATTTCCGAATTATGAGACAAACACGTGTTTTTTTAAGTCCATACTCTATGTTATTTTTTTATTGTGTTTTATTATAATCTTTTTAAAAATATACTACACTCTATATTTATTTTCATAAATAAAGTACAAATCTGTGTATAGCATCTTTAGTTTCATTAAAAAGTAGCATAGTGATGTGAAAACTTAGACCTTACAAACTTCGTGGATAAACTATGCCATATGTATATTACAAACGACCTTAGACAAGGAAAGAGAGGGGACAGGTAACACGGCAGCTGAAAGTGAGGCCACTTGTCACCACTCGAAATTCTCCAATGGCGTAGCATCAGCAATTAGCTTGTACCTAGACGATAAAAATTATTTATTAAAACGTTAACTAATATATCGTTTATTTTTGAGTAATGCATATACAATTTTGTATTTTATAGTCTCATCTTTATAATATTAGAATATCTAAGCCGATAATGCAAAATTTGTTTAACAGTCACAGGGAACTGATCATCAAGACAATTACTTCTTTATTAACGTGTGCATAATGTATAATTAAATAAAAAATAATGTAAATATATATGTTTTAAACGTGTACGCATCCTGTTTGTTTGGAAATGACGATCGATGACATTCCCCATATAATTCTACATATAAAATGACATAAAAACTATATAAAATAACATCGAAAAAAGATTGAGAGGAATGTCATCGACAGTCATTTACAAGCCTACTGGACGCCGTTTTTTTTCGATCATACGGTATAATAATGAATCTAGCCAATCCCCTTCACAGTTGCCTACGGATTCAATGAATAATGTAATTTTTAATATTTGTTACCTTCAATCATAAGAATATCCTAATTTTCCGCAAAAAAATAAACAATTCTAGAAGCTTTGTGTTATTTTATTTATTTATTTTTAAATTTTTATTAATTACTCACTGAAACTATTATCTAAGACTATTATTATACACCTAAACAGTAAATTTTTTGAAAGGATATTTAAAAAAATATTGTAACAAGTAGCCCACCACAAGTTTGTCCACCCCCAACAAATTTTGGCAGGTAAATTTAAGTTTTATGTAACAACTATACATATAGATTTTTTATAACCAAAATTTTTCATGTTTTTTTATAGTTTACAATTATTATTTTACATATTTGATAACAATACTTTATACATTTTATTTACATGTAAAATATATAAAAAAAATGTTTACTGCAGAAATTGTATTTCTCTGATTATTATAATACCCTACGCCACTGGAGAAATCCAGTCTGACTAGCATTATTTATAGTTTCTTATTCAAAGATAGTTTCAAATATTAATTATATTAATTTAATTATAAAAATTATATAGGATATTGAAAATACTACTTGGAATTAATAAAAATAATTTGCTTTGGATGTGGTACAAGCCATATTAAAATCATTTTGCATATTTTTACTGCTATAATGAAAAAATGTACATTTTATGACTACATAACAAAAGTTGTGTATCAACTTTTACCTGTAAAATTTCTTTTTAGAACAAGATTATCGTATAAGCTTATCCTTCTCTCTGAATACGCTACTGAACATGCGCAGAACGATGTTACAAATTAGACGTTAATGCTCTTGGAACGTTTTTTCGCTGTGTTGCATAGATTTATGAAGCTGTGTTGACAATTACTAAAAATATAGGCCGTTAAACATTTTTAATCAAGATATAACTGATACGTGTATTTATTATTTCGAAAATATTTGTCATGTTATATAACGATAAATTCTTTTTTAAAAATGTTTTAAAATACTACTTGGAAAAATTATGATGAATGGTCAACGGGAAACATTAAAATATGTTTTGACATTCAAAAGTCACAACATATTTTAATAAAAAAAATAATTAACGTCACTTTTTGGGCTTTTTGTATACTGTTTGTATACCCGTGATAATAAAGAGTTCATTTGGATTTCCGACGATATTTTAGATTTGTGTTCTTTTTGAAAGTTTGTTTTTGTAATGTGATAAAGTTAGTGGATAAATAGACATTATGACTAATAAAAGTGTTATATGTGAAGCTGTCTGCAATAGAAAAAATCTTATCCTTAAAAGAACTCCACAACACTAAATGAATGAAAACCTCTGAAGTCAAAAAACAAGATATATGTTATTTAAAATCGTTTTTTTAAACTGACTTTTATTCAGCGAAATATATATTTATGTTAGGTAACTTAATCACTTTAAACATTATTAGGTAATTTACCTTTGATTTTTTTTTAAATAATTAATAGTAAAACTAGTAAATATTATCCAATAAATTAATTAGTTAATATCCGAATAACAATATTATTTTCTCTAATTTATATATTTATATTTTCTATTTTATGACATAAAAATGATAGATACACAAGAGAGAGACAGACGATTGGTGAGTCAGTGTCAAAGACAAAGATAATCAGATAGTCCAGTGTCGTAGTGGTGTCTTCGACAAAAATGAGGCGAATTTACTTATCCACGAAGTTTATAAGATCTATGTGTGAAAACCGCATCTTTTGTATCTGTACTCATAAACTAGAAACCCCATAACACGCACGAAAATGAAACATCCTGTATACGGTAAAGAAACGTACCAAAGACTGAAAGGTAGACTCCATTTTCCTTTCAAGTTCCAATATCCTGCTAACATTTTTATCGCCATTCTCTATCCTTTTGATGTCCTGTTCTAATAAGATACACTTTCTCTTATACTCTTCAATTTCCAATTCCTTACTTTTCGCTTCATTCTGGATTCTATTAAGGTCCTCCAGCAGTATTCTGTGCTTTTTTTCATATTCATTCGTCACCAGTAATATTTCTTTCTCTTTCCTAGCTTCATATTCTTCAAGAGTTTCGTTATTTTTTTTAATCAAATTTTTAATTTCTTCTGAAAATTAAACAAATAGAAAGTTAAACTAAAAAAAATCGCAACAAAATTAGTGGCATTAAAATCACCAGAATTATTTAATACTTTACTATCAGAATATATATTACTATCAAAATATAAAATAAAAAAGTCTTTACCCTGACCCGGATTCGAACTCTGAATCATCGGTTAGTAGTCGGAAACTCTACGTACTGCGCTATGGAGACATGTTCGACTTATATTCAATACTAGCATTTATAGGACTAAATTAAAAAAAAAATAGGATCTTCTTACGATGCACAGTAGTGAACGCAACGGGGTATCGGCAGCCAGACGGGCCGCATGCTGTTCCAGAGAGCATAGTAAAAGATATATCAAAGAGCCAGACGTCTTAAAATACTTTCTCGAAAACGTTGGTAGCTCTTAGACTATTATAGTTTGTCCAATGAGAGGATACATGACAGTGACAGTTGTGTCTGTCGTTTTAATTAACAGGTAGACTGTATTTTCTGTCATTTATTGGACAGATTCTATCCAAATTACTTAGATACATGACAGTGTTTAGTTTTATTTTTCAAGATTATTTGTAAAATATATTATGGGAAAATATAAAAATTGTCCAAAACAGATATACTCGTACAAGACAAAAGCTATAGCAATTTAGTATTTCTTCTGTGTACAATAATAAATTTTATAATTACCTCGTATTTCTTGCTCTCTTTGTAAAGCTGCATCTTTTTCGTTTAATGCTGTATCGACTACCCTCAGTGCTTCCGTGAGTTTAGTCCAATATTCAGAGTTCTTGCGTTTTAAATCTAAAAAAATTACACGAACTACTAGGTGTTTTTGAAATCAAAACAAGTTCATTGAACACAATTTACCTCACTAAAAGTGCCTTCATAATATAATCAAAAATAAACCCTATCATTAATTAATTTAAAATTTATGAAGCTTATTATCAAATATCATTTGTAATAGTAACATACTATTCCATATTTTCGCCAACTAGATTATTAGCGCATACTAGGTTATTAATGCATACTAAATTTTATGCGTCTACATAGTTTGATGTTATAAGAAATATTTTTTGTAAGTCAGCTTCGGAAAACCATTTTTTTTCTCAAAAAGTATGCGCGGTGGCGTTTTTTTACAAAAGGCAAAAAATGTAGTAAATACTAGAAGGGCCATTTTACGAAGAAAAAAATCAGTCAGCGGCGGAGTTGGAAAATATACAGGGTGGTCCGAACTGTATTCTGGAAACTCCGGCAGCATATTCTGCAGATAAAAATAAGTAAAAAAGTTCGTATAATGTATGTCCTAAAATGCTTAATTTCAGAGATACAGGGTGTAGAATTTTCATTTTTATTTCGATTTTTTCCAAATAATTTTTGAAGTAAGGTCAATATTTGGATGAAAATTGGTGTCTGGAAGTTTTTTGACATGAGAAATTTGAATTTGATGTCAATATGACTCCTACTAGTAGAGGGCGCCACCTACAAATTTTTTAACTTGTTTGAAGAGTAATAACTTTTCGTCCGTAGCTGTATAAAACTACTGAGTGAAAAAATATACATTTACGACGTTTTCTAAGTAAAAATGGTCTCTTGGTAAAAATCGCTACGAGTAATGGTTTTCCAGATATTTGGAATCGAAATTATCGATACCTGTCATCATTGACATAAATTAAACATGTTGACTAAATAGTTATTAGACTGAAATCATAAATTTGAAATGTTTCTGTGCTAAAAGTTTAATAGAAACTGTTTTATCATCATTGTTTGCAGAAAAAATTATGATTAATTTAAAAAAATAAAAATTTCCCAAATTTATTATTTTAGTGAAATAACTAGGTATCTTCTCAACGTGTTTATTTTTCGTCAATAATGACATGTATACTCTAATTCCATTCTAAATATCTTAAGAACGGTTGCTCGTAGCGATTTTTATAAAGAGATGTTTTTTACGTAAAAAGTCACAAAGATGTATATTTTTTCACTCGGTAGTTTTATACAGGTACACACCAAAAATTATTACGCTTCAAAACAGTTAAAACACATGTAGGTGGCGCCCTCTACTAGACATCAATTTTCATCCAAATATTGACGTTACTTCAGAAACTATTTAGAAAAAATCGAAATAAAAATGAAACTTCTACACCCTGTATCTCTGAAAGGAAGCATTTTAGGACATACATTTATAAGAACTTTTTTAACTATTTTTATCTGCAGAATACGCTGCCGAAGTATATATATACTAAAGTTTATGTAGGGGTGGAGGTAGTTTTCATCCTTCCCGTACATTTTCTTGATTTTTGTGAAAGTCAAATGATAAAGCACTTAGCAAAACATAAGCACCCCAAATCTTATTCAAATTGGAATAACGGTTCTCAAATATCTAAAAAAATGTGTTTATTTTGTTCAATGACTAAAGAATATAAGGACATGTAACGCCCCTATACGGGCTGCAGCAGAATTTGTGACCTTAGAGACCTTTTTTTTGGTGGCAAACAATGAGTCATTATTTTGTCACCAGCGACAATTTTAGCGATTTATAATAGTTTGTGTGTAGTAAACTTTGTATAAACTTTATTACAATGGTGATTAGTTGTCCAGCTTTCAAGTGTAAAAGCAGCAGCGATAAGAAAGAGCCAGGAGTTACGTTTCATAGGTAAATAAACAGTCCACTCCAACTTTTTAGCGTTTTCTTATTGAATTCGATAATTATTCTTCAATTTCAATTAACATCTAGATGTACTTGATATGGGCTATACGTCGATACTAGTTTTGTACCTTTTGTTAACATTTTAATACGTTTTTTTCGTAATTAATTAGGATGATACACCATAGGCGTAGTCAAACGCCTATGGTGTATCATGTTTGGTGTCATCGTCACAATTTGCTCTCGGGTGTTATTTGTCCTTGGATTCTTTAGTCATTGCTAAACTAACCCAAAATACATTGATAAATTTACGTACGTGTATGACGTTACTCACTATTATATTGTGTGTTTCGTTGATATTTTCCCCGCCCAGCAGCTCTTTCGCTCCGCTGTCTAGTAAGTATGTATTTGTTAATAACTTATTAGAACAATTTTTTAACGCTCCCCCCACGGAATATGTCTCTATGGAACTATGGAAATTATGGATTAAACAAACAGCCTGTAAAAGAATTTTTTAAAAATCTTTAAAAATACGCGAAACAGGTATACGGAAAGAGTACTGGCAACCCTACTGAGAATAGGTCGTTATTCTGTGTCGTTCTCTATTTTAATTGATATCTATTGTGATAACTAGTGATAAGGGTGGTCCATCCCAATTTTATTTTTTTAATTTTTGGATAACATTTTTATTTTTATTTTTTATGACACGCCATTAAAAAATACATACAACCCTAAATTTTCAGCCTTCTACAGCCCCTATTTTTTGATAGCCATATTTCAATAATTTTAATTTAACAACGTAGTAATTCAATAATTTTAATTTAACAACAAATTGTTTTTAAAAATTGTTAAAATACCTTAAATTAAAAACGTGTTTATGATTGGGTACATACCGTAAGTATTTACCCAAGTTCAATATACCATTTATTGACTCTTTGGGTATATACCCAACTTTCAATATACCGGGTACTTGCCCATCACTGACCTGAGCCACAGCAACGCGGGTCTGCTAGTTTTTATATAAAATATACGTATATGCGGTATATTAAAGCTACTTTTAAATATTTCTATAACATAAATATTTTAAATTAAATCATTAGGTTAGAGGTATAGTAAATGATGCCGATTCCTCTCAATCAGAAAAATTAGAGAAACAAGTTCTTGAATTGTGGGACAGAATATATCAATCCTGGATGACTTCTAATGATAAAAATGGCCCAAAAGTGACTGAAGATGCTGTTAAATCATCATGGGATGCTTTTGTAACAGATATACAAAAATCGCCAGGTATATCGCCTTTATTCCATTCTTTCATTCTTGTATATTATAGGTTTTATAATAGAATGATTACTTAAAGACAACAGCATTTTGACTAATATATTATATGTACTTCTAAAGGATCATTCTATTGTAAATAACCATATACAAAAAAAATATTGAAATCTATGAAGAAAAATGACTGACTAAAATAGGACATGGTGGATTTTCAGAAATGTTTAATATAAATGGTCTAATTGATTTTGCTAAACAGAATGTGGGTACTCTAATGTCCCTTCTAGAATCTGTCTGGAGTATAGTTATTAGCAACATTAGTCTCATTGTGGGCTCATTTAGCACTTGCCTCTCTATTGTACTTGGAGGTGGAACTGCAGTGTTAAATTTTATTGTAAATATGGTAAGAAATGACACATAAATGTGCATAATTAATCAATAATATCCATTTTATTTTAGATAGTTTTTCTTACTACACTATTTTATTTACTAAACTCTAGTGGAAATTATTATATACCAGTTGAGCTTATGACAAAATTTTCTCCAAGTGGCAAAAGGCTGGGTCAAGCCTTGGAAGCTGCAATAAACAGTGTGTTTTCAGCCTCATTTAAGATGGCAGCATTTTATGGAATGTGGACTTGGTTTATTCACAATCTCTTTAATGTCAAAATTGTATATTTGTCTTCAGGTAAACATAAGTGAAGTAATCCTGTTTTTCTTTAAATTTATATTTTTCTATTTAGCTTTTGCTACCATATTGGGGGCTGTACCATTTTTGGGAACATATTGGGCATGCATACCAGGAATTCTAGATTTGTGGTTATCCCAAGATAGATGGATAGCTGCTATTTTATTTGCTGGTTTTCAGTTTTTGCCTACTTCCATTGTAGATACAGCTATTTATAAGGAAATTAAGGGGTATTATAAATTTGTTTTTCTAATTTTCCAATAGATTTAGAACATCCTTCTTTTCAGTGGCCATCCTTATTTAACTGGTTTAGCTATAGCTGGAGGAATATTCTGTCTAGGTGTTGAAGGTGCACTTATAGGCCCTTTGCTTCTTTGCGGTCTCTATGTAGCTATAGACCTGTCCTCCACTTTATTTAAAGAATCTCCTACCGATGATCCAGTGGATCTTGGATTACATCAATTGCAACATAACTAACCAGCTTATATATATTTTAAAATTTAAATCATCATTTAATTGATATGTGGAATGCTTATTTGATGAATGTACCAAAGCAAATAGTTGTGGTAACTACTGTGATTCTAAACTATTTTAACCACTAAAATGTTCTTTTAACTTGTTTGTTGTGTTTTAATTTTATTTTCTATTAAACAGATTTTATTTAATAATTTTTCTTTATTTAATATTAAGTAGGAGGTAAAATAATAGTACTAGAAATACATTTAATAACATTTGTAAAATACTTATACAATATCTATCAAAATTAATATATTTCTAACAAAAAGTATAATTAATTGCTTAGTGTCCTTTTAACATAATCAGTCAAAAAAGTAAAAGATTTTATTAGTATAAAACAAATTAAAAATTTTCCTAAGTAACAAAGTATTTAGCTACCACAATTCACATACTGATATTTTATTAACAAAAATATCTTTAAATCCTTTAAAAACGTTTTTTGAGCGACACCAAGTAACTTTTTGATTTAGGTTAGTAGGGGTCTCTACAATCTGTTCACAATTAGGATTAGGTTCTTTAAAAATTGGTTCACTATTATTATCAGAATCTTTAGAAATATACACTTCACAACAAGTTTTACTTCCAGATGTCTTACAATTAAAACTAATATCTGAACACCTCACATTTTGTGAAACTTCTAATGGCTCACATAATTCAAATATTTCACTATTAATATGGTCACTCGTTGTTGACTTCTTTTTTAAATAAATATAAGTATTTGTACAGCTAACGGAACAATCTATGGAGTCCATCCAGGATTGTGATAAAAATATTTGCCTTCAAAAAAATACAATAAAAATATATACTTAATATAATAACTTAATTAATTAAAACTTTAGAAAAACCAACTCACCTTAATACTTTTTGTAGATTTTTATTTAATTCCGTTATATGGTTCTTCTCATTGTGTTCTTTAACAACTGAAGGCACATTGAGGGTAAAGATCTCTTTAGGACAATGTGGAGTTGATCCAAAGATTATTATAATCTCCAAAACATTGTCACTTGCAGACAATTCCTTTGTAATTCCTTTCATTATTAAATTGATTGTATCATATGCTGTTGAAACCATGCGGAAGTGGTTTTCATAAGTAATATTAACTCTCTTCTTGATGTTCCCCTCAATACATTTCCGTTTCTTTTCGACTACTGTTTTAAGCCAACTATATGGAAAAGGAATTTGGCATTTTTGGTATATCAAACCTTTTATGATTTCATTAATTAAACTCGCAGTAATATATGGTGTTAAAGTTAATTCAGATATATTTACATTAACATGTTGGCACTTTTGAGGCACCATTTTATTTAACTTAATATGTATCAATATAATTCTCTAAATATATTAATAGTACTATATATACGTATAAGTACCTATAAGTAAAATTATTCACTTTGAATTACAAATATAAAATTAACTAGAAACGATACAATGGTTGTATGAATGAGACGACACTAAAACTCACCAAAACCTCGGAAGCATTCGGATCCTACACGGAGAGTTCGGTTTTGTTCGGCGAGAAGCGCTTTGCGGGAATTTTGAACATTATGAATAATCGAGAATCGAACAGTAATCACAGACAATAATTTTATTATGCGAAATTGTTAACAGTAGTTGACTGTTTTGGTTATTTTGTTTTTTATAGTTTTTGACTATTTTTACAAATATGGCTATATTTAAAAATTGATCTATATCTGGCTGATATTTGGTAATATACCTATAAAGCCTAGTGATTAGCCTTACTAAAGTGATTTTAGTCAAAGTTGCATTGATTATTGGTGTAAATTAAAAATTGTTTCATTTGCAGATTGCATGATCACTATCTAATTTGATGCATAAGTGAGAACCATAGCTTTACTTGGAGAGAGCTCATTATTCTCAAACTAGTTGAAGCCTGGCGCATCCGCCACGACATCAGAAAAAAAATACTTTTTTTTTTTTTTTTTAATTAAATGAAAAACAAAAGTCCGGCGACGACAGTTTTAGAATAGTCAATTAGCTATCTTTTGTAAAAATAGCAACTTTCTAGAGCAAGTCATTACTTCAGTAGAGACGACACAGATAAACATTAGCATTTTATATATGTAGATTCTACTCTCAAATCTTTTATTAAAATATCAGTTCTTAAATTGAATCACATTTTCATGGGGAAATAAACATTTTGGGAAAATTTGTTAGCTTAATTACTGTAACATATTAGAAATAAAAAAACATTTATAGTTCTAATAATCACAGACTTTATTAGAATGTTGCAGTTTCTTATCAGAAACTTATGGCTGTTCTGTCAAGAAAATACAGTAATTACAACAATACAATACAATAATTTTAACAATAAACAATACCACATTATACAGGTTAGTAGCATAAGTAGTACAAAATAAATATAAAACCCTTAACCAACAGTCAATACATATTTACTTAAGTAAGACCAAAAACAAACGAAATAATAAATAAAACCCATAACCTCTTTCACTTTGTTGGGAATAATTCTTGCTTATCCATTTTCCTTTTATGGCTCATTACATGGTCTTTTTATTGAACTACTGGCCTTCTCTGTTCATTTAGAACAATTGCTGATGTATCTTAAAAATTTTCTTTTCTATTTTACCTAACCCAATCTATTTTACCTATGATTACGATAATAATTGTAAGTTTTTTTTCCACATAGTCATTATATTTTCTTGGCGAATGCATAATTTATCTTGATCTTCTGTTTTTCATACCACAGTTTATAACTTTCCTTAGTATCAAAGTCATAGGCAAAGTTATGTGTTTCCATTTCCAATTTTACTTCATGGTGTTTACCTTCAAATGTTGTTGCAATATACGGCAACTTCCACAAACTATACAGCCACAAACTATATACAGACTACCATATTTAGAGTACACAGTGGGCAAATAATACGTTTCTTCTTATTATAGTGTTTTTCACAAAATTAAGTGAAACAACACAAATTAAAAAATAATCCAGTCTGTAATATTAATTATCAAAGTTCTATGAATCGCTGGATCCCTGCATTCACAAATTGTAAATCTTCTTTAAATGCTTTTAATAGGTATTTTTTGTATGATTTTGAGTTTTTAACTTTGTTTTTAAATAGGGCCATATTTACGCTGATAATTATAAAAGTGCCGTTGTTTACAAAGTCCATCAACGGCAAAGTTCAGCTGAGTTTGACGTATACCGCGGTTGCGCGGTTCAGCTTCCGAGTATTTTGTCCTTAGAGAAGGAAAGAGAGACTCTCTTTCCTTGTCTAGGGTATGGTGAGTTTTAGTGTCGTCTGTATGAATGGTTGTCACTTGTCACAATTTTTTAGGTTAACGTCCTTTTCCTTTCCGTCCTTTTTGTAGCCAGGGCTAATCTAGACAGAACCTACTTTGTTTATGCGAAATTCGAACTGCGGTCCTCGGCCACGTCTAAAGTCACGCTCAGAAAGTTCAGAAGTTGTGGGCGTTCAGGGAACACAGCGGCTGACGGACCGCTGAGTATTTTGCTCAGCGGCTGACTGTTTGCGTGTAGAAAGTGACCGTTTAGGGAAACCGCTTACTCAACCGCTGACCAGGGTTCGGAAAACTACATGTTACTTTTAAAAACTACATAAACTACATTACATGTAGTTAATGTAGTTTATGTAGAGGGTGTAGTTTATGTAACCTATGTAGGTAACTTTCAAATATCAGAGGTTTGAGGTGACGTTATAATAAGTTGAAGCTTTAGAAAACACAATAAATTTAAGAAAACAGAATAAATATGGCTTTAAATAAAATATTCACACATCATATTATTTAGACCCCTCATACAAAGCAAAATTATTCTAATATCAATACATAGTTTATTAACGTAGTTTTCATGTAGTTAATGAACGGGAAAAGGCGTAGTTTTTGAAGAAAAACTACACGTAGTTAATTAAGTAAATTACGTCTTAATTAACTACTTCCGAACCCTGCCGCTGACCGATGGCTGACCGTCCCTGAACGCGCCCGTTGTCTCTGTAAGTAAAAAAACTTTTTTCTAAGGTAATCATATATAAAAAAATATTAATCACATATATATAACATATATCTACCGAAATTAAAATTTTGGTTGTGGCGACATTGAGTAGTTGTCTCGTCCACTCTCGTCTCTGATAAAGGTTGTAAGATGGTTGTAAGCACTGGGACGTGTTTAAAATCAAAATTATGATTTTTGATTATCAAAACAATAAAAATGTATTCTGATTAATATTTTTTACTATAAAATGAATTGCAAAGATACTAAATGGAAATTGTGGGTGAGAATATTTGATATTCCTGAAGTAAGCAAACATGAAACCGGTTTTACAATTTATAAAATTATTTCTATAGTAAGTTTCTGTCTTAATATCTTTTAAATTGCAAAATACATGATAATTTATATCTATCTGTATCTGTACTCAGTTATATCCCGAATCATGCCCTGATGCAGTGACAAAAGTATCAGTATGGAAACGCTTCAATGATTTTAAACTTTTGTATAAAGAAATGAAACTTCTACATAAAAAGTTAAACATGAAAAATGAAATGCCTAATTTACCAAAACCAGTTTTGTTTAAAAGGTGGTAGGGTAATTTTATTATGCAAGTTTTAAAGTATTCATATTGTAGATTTGATCTAGAGACTATAAACCACAGGAAGCAAGCAATTTTGAGCTTGCTAGAATACATCGGAACTCATTCTGTCCTATTTACATCTAAAGTTTTTGTTAAGTTTTTTGAGGTATTGTAGTTGCTGTAGTTGACTGTAGGTAGGGTAAATGTGTCTGTTCTCGACCAGTTAATTGAAGTTTTGATTTTAAATCGTAATAAACAGATAAATTAGATCAAACTTTAACTTTTATTTGATTTTTTGATGGCCTGAAATCTGAAGAAATGTTTAATAATAATTGCGAATTTTCAGTTCTTCTATACATTTGTTGATATACCTTTTTTTTAGGTGTTCTTTAATGTTGGTACACGGCACTCTTTGCACCATTTTTTTGGCATTCTAATTTTGTTGAGTCTTTGTTTTTGTCTTAGGGTTTTTTTGGCGCGTGTTATTTTTTTTTGTCAGAGCTACTGAAGACTTAAAAATAAGTACTTTTCTTAACCCTTATTTTTATGACCAAGAACAGAAAAAACGAGAAAAGCTTTCCTTGCATTTTCAAAAGCAATTTTTAAGGGTGGTCGAGAATAGAATCAATGTTAATCTGGTTGTTGACCACCAATTTGATTAATTTATTTTAATAAATATTTTAGGTCTTTTTCTGTGTTAGATAGATACTGGTCGCAAACTAAAATTTAAAATTTTGTGTATATTTTGTGTAAATATGCTTACGAAATATTTAAATAACATAGTTATGTTATAAAATAATACACAAACTCGTAATTTTCACGAGCTAGTTCCTGACCAGTAAAAATAAAAGAAAATAATATAATTAAACTTTCATATAAAAATTTAGAGATTAATATTTCATTAATTATTGTATAAAAGAGACAGAATTTATTAATTTGTAACAAAACAAAAGTTACTATTTTTCGATACACTGTCATGTAACATTTTCGTAGATTTTGCGAAATACGTGGATGATAGTCAACGTTTTTTAACTTGAGTTGGTAGATATTTTACCTATTACTGCAGTATAAATAGCAAAGTGGTTGAGTACTAGAGGTGGATGGCAAACAGGCACATTCACCGTACTCTTTTATAATTTGATATATTACTTAAAGATTTTTGTAGACAAGTTACACTCCAGCAGAACTTTTGTCTAGTAATATAAATACCATAAGAGCTAAATTAAATTTACCAGATGATAATGACCTGTCTATTAATTCTGATGAAGATAAAATAAGTGATACCGATTCGATGAATAGCAGTAACTTCAGTTCTAAAGTTCCAGTAAATATCCCATGTGCATACAAAATTTAATATTATCTAAAGATATATATTTTAGGTTGTGTCTGACTGCTTATCAAAATCAAACACAAATTTAAGAAAACTAAATTCAATGACATCCATCGATTCTAATTCAACAAAGTCATTAGAATCTTGTAGTACATTTAACATGGATAGCAACTTACTGTTAACTGACAATCATATTGAAGGACCATTTAATTTACCATCCTCATCACAAAGTGCAATTCATTATTTGGATGATGCTTCAGTTCATATTAACAGGGCTGTTGAGTTTGAGAATGACAATAAATATGAAGAAGCTTTTAATGCGTATAAAACAGCTGTAGATATTTTAATTACTGGAGGACAAAGCAAGTATTACACTAAAAGTATAAATGTAAAATAATATTTCTTTTACGATTAGGTGATACCAATTATGACAGAAAAAAGATAGCTAGATATAAAACTGAGAAATCTTTAATACAAGCTGAAAAGATATTTAATATGCATCTGGCTCCAGAAGTGAAAGATCTGTTATTACAGGTATGTAAAATACTTTATTTTGTATATTATAGTGATGTAATGAATATTTACGGATTTTTTGACACTGGCAAAATTTAATTGAATATTTCCGAAATATAAATGTTCGAAAAAATACGTATATAAAATGTAAATAATATTGAGTAAATTAAACAAAAAAATACTATAATAAAGAATTTCTTATAATTTTTAAGTTATCGTTTTACAATTCTATCAATAGTAATTATGTATTACATTAATTGTACTCAGCGTTCACTTTAATATTTGCTATTGGTTTGGTATTATAAATAACAACTTTTCATTAGAAACAATTAATATCAACAAACCAAAAATTTTTACATACCTATTCTTCATTTAAAATTTTATCAGTTTTTAAATAATTTTTATATCCATTCTAAGGACCGTTTGACACGGGACTTAATTTTAAGAACTGAAAAGTAGTTTGGGTTATATTTTATAAAATATTGTATGCAAGAAATATGTATGTATGCCACAATACGTGATTAGGACCGTTCGACACGGGACAATATTCCAGCCTAAATTGTATACAATTTGTTGCGCGCGCATTTTTAGTCAAATTGCATGCAATAAAATAGAACATGTTCTAAATTCTTGCATGCAATTAGCTGAACATGCGCAATACATAATTTAATTTCTCTGATTTTGTAAGGTTATATGTTTATATTACATTTGTTTGTTAAGTTAATTGTTTATGTTTGCTCTGTTCGATTGTGAGGCTTTAACTGACTGTAATTAGTAAGTTAGTTAAATCAACACTTAACAAACAAATGTAACATAAACATAACCTTACAAAATCAGAGAAATGAAATTATGTATTGCGCATGTTCAGCTAATTGCATGCAAGAATTTAGAACATGCTCTATTTTATTGCATGCAATTTGACTAAAAATGCGCGCGCAACAAATTGTATACAATTTAGGCTGGAATATTGTCCCGTGTCAAACGGTCCTAATAACAAACAAGATATTACACAAAATTAAACTTTTTTAAAAAACAGTAATAATTATTTAAAAATTCTTTTATATTTTTAATTATAACATCTACATTCTATCATACCGGGTGCGTCTCAAAAGTGGCTCACCCCCTATAACTTTTTTATTTCTTCATATAAAAAAAGACGAGATTTGATATATTAGTAATGATTAGTATATGAGTTAAATTAGGATTGAGTGACGTATTCCATTGTTTGTGGTCACGGTCACTTCCTGTTTCACCGGAAATGACTACATTTTCACGAGCTTTTTTTAAAAAAAATATGGACAGTATGATATTTTTTTACTTTATTTGATAGAAAATGACATTTCAATTTCAATTTAAGTGCCATGGCCATCCTACTGACAATTTGACTAGAAATACCAAGTGAGCGGTACCAAATTAGTCGTAAAAAATGCTTTTTCCAAATATGCTAATGAGCCACCCTTGTTCCATTTGAAAAAAAATCAGTTATGATTAAAAATACCACATGGACAACTTTTAACTAGCCAGGGGGAACAAGAACAAGTTGTAAAAACATTAGACGATCAAAATGACAAAAAATAACATTCTGAATAAAATGATATATCATATGTCAACTGTTAACATTCTCGTTAAATAAAAAATCTTTTTTTAAACTTCAATCTAGAGTGCCATGGCTATGTTAAAAACAGTAATGTTTAATCAGGGAACCTTATTATATACCTTATAATTATATTTGATTGTCAATGTTTTCAGTGTCTTATGCTGGTCTGTTAAAAGATGCCCAAATTGTATTTTTAATCATATTTCAATTTTTTCAAATGGAACGATGGTGGCTCGTTAGCATATTTGAGAAAAACATTTTTTACTAATAATTTGATATTTTTTTTGATTTTTTACTAATATATTTCAAATAAACCATATGCGAAAATGTCAAAGTTGACATATATATATATATATATATATATAATATATATATATATATATATATATATATATATATATATATATATATATATATATATATATATATATATATATATATATATATATATATATATATATATATATATATATAGATATATGTCATTCTATTCAGAGTGTTATTTTCTATCGAATAAAGTAAAAACATACCAAGGGTGTCATTTAAGATCAAAAATTATAGTAATTTCCGGTGAAATAGGAAGTGAACGAAAACAATTGAATACGTCAATCTAACATGCCAAATCTCGTTTTTTTTTCTCTGAAAAAAAATAAAAAAGTTATAGGGGTGAGCCACTTTTGAGACGCACCTGGTATACATAATATATCCTCCAATAACAAATTAATATAAGCATTCGCGAATGTTTAAAAATTGACAGGCGTTATATCCCTATTATAAATTAAAATATATATTTTTTAGAAGCAAACTCAAACTGAAAGACCTAATATTATAAAGGGACCTTTATTTAACTTATACAAATATAAAGTCATTAAAATAATATCTGCTTCAGGCATGTTAGTCCTACACTGTGAAAATCAACAACTCTATTATATTAAGGTAAATTAAATTTCTGTTAAATTTTAGTCAGTTGTAACTAACAGATTGTTCACAGGTTATACATAAAACAGTACAATTTCTAAATGAGCACCTTATTTTACCTGAAAATGTGCCTTACATGGTCAAGCTGATCAATCACTATATTTGTGATTATGCCTTATTTCTTGTTTTAGAATATTGCAGGTATTACAGCGCTTTCAGATGAAGCGGACCGTCCGCGACTTCGAGCAAGTACCATGAGTTTATATGAACAAATTCACATGGGCGCGTATGCTCCGTCCGACATCTTGGAAAAACACAACGGACGGTCCGTCGCGGACGGTTCGCTCCATCTAAAAGCGTTGTTAGTTTATTATGAAATCATATTTTTTATTTTATATTTTTTCAAATTTAATATTACCTATACCGTTGATTGAAAAAATTGGGAAGATGCGCAACCTAATGGGCGGATTCGTGACAAGGCTGATTTAATTTCCCCTTGCGTCTCCAGTGCTGTACAGTGGAGACACCAATCGTGCCAATGCATAAAACACTTATTTTACCTAATTCGGCCAGCGAAGGCATATCAAAGACGGTGTCAATGACTAAAGAATACAATGACATGTAACACCCATATACGGGCTGCAGCAGAATTTGTTACGTTAGACGCCATCATTTTGGAGCCTACAGATGAATCACCACCTCGTCAACAGCGACAATTTTAACGATTTTTAATAGTTTGTTGTGTGTAGTGAACTTTGTATAGTAAACGCCACGAATGTTTGGGAGTGATTCATCGCTTTATGAAGTTAGAATCGACACGCGCGTTATCATTTTTACATTAAAAACGTAAATTTTTACCGCAGACGTAGGTTTTTAAAGGCCCGGTCTAATCATCTGCCTGCGCTCCTACTTATTCTAAAATGTTAGCGTGATTGACAAAGACGATACTATATCGCGTTTCTTTGATTGATTCGTTTTTGTGCGTCAGTCCATTGGTGTGCTTGCAGTGCGAACAATGGGGCATTCCAGTTTATACTTATAACCAAATATATATTTTGACAAGACTTTGACAGTTACAACGGGTTATATATTGATTGTTATATGACCTGAAAGAAACACCACGGCACTGGAATTAAATTTTATGTGACCTTGAACAAGGAGCATAATGTATTCATGCATGGTGGGCGGAAAAGCGCCATAAAAGCACTCTAGGGTGGGGATCCTTGACAGTTCTGTTTGACGATTCATTTGACACATTTGAATTTGATTTGAAATTTTGTGGATTTGTCAGTCTTTACGGAGCTTATTTTATGTTATTTATTATTATTCTACTACTGATAGTTGTATAAAGGTAGTAAATCTAGATGGAAATTGTGGCAGCACTTAAATTAACAGTGACACTATCGCGATTTATCGAAAAAGACTCTAAAATAGTTGGTTGTGTAGCGTGCGGTAGATCTCGGCAAAAATTGAGTAAAATAATGGAACAACTTTTCGCTAGTAAGTGACTATATAATATTATTTAACTACGTAACACATAATTATACATAATTATACACATAACACGTAATTAATTAAATATTAATTACGTGTAGTAAACCGATCATTTATGAAATTCACTTAAATTAACTAAATTATATATTTTTCTTGCATTTTAGCTTATTACTTGTCACAGATTAGATGCCAAAGAATTTAGATACGTTAATTTGACTTACCTGCTTCAGTAGCGTATCGGATGTTTGTGGTAATAAATACTTATTATAACTTATCTATTTTTATTAGAATTATATATTTTTATAACAATTTTAATAACTACCAACATTTATTCATAACGTAAAATAAAACAACAAATTATTGAGTCTACCCCACGTCTACCCTACATCATAGTTTTACATTTTTTAAATAAAATTAGAACGACACTGATAAACCGGAATTTAAATCGGCCATATTTGAGGCCCATCGCGGTGTACCTAAGATTTTTGATATGCTCCTTCTTAGTCTTCTTATTCAAAGGTAGCGACCGATGAATCACTCCCAAACATTCGTGGCGTTTACTATATAAACTTTATTACAATTGTGATGTGTTCAGCTTTCAAGTCTAAAAGCCGCAACGATAAGAAAGAACCAGGAGTTGCGTTTCATAAGTAAATAAACAGTCCACTCCACCTTTAGCGTTTTCATATTGAATTTGGTAATTATTTTTCTGATAATATGTGTACTTGATATGTGCTATACGTCGATACTATAATAGTTTTGTACATTTTGTTAACATTTTAATACGTTTTTTCGTAATTAATTAGTATGATACCATCGCCGACACCATAGGCGTAGTTAAAACATTTATCAAAAATATAAATATCCCTTCAAGCAGAGCAGCTAAGTTAAGAAAAATATATGGCCACGGCACTGTTTGCCATGGTAACAATTTGGTCTCGGGTGTTATATGTCCTTGTATTCTTTAGTCATTGGACGGTGTGGGACTGAAAGCGACAGTGTTGCCATATTAAAATGTGTAATATCTGTAATACGTTGAACGAAAATACCTTTCGATGAAAAATCAGCTTTTATGTATTAAAAATTTATTCGTGTTAAACATAGAATATACAACAAAAATAAAAATTCTTTTATAGGTACTGAATATGTCGTATGATCGATTCAAAAAAAAAACAAAAAAAAAAGATTTATGGTTATGTTGTTTGTTTATATCGCGTCCGTGAATTTTTGTGAGTTTTCGTGGTTTGTTGTGGATTAACATTGCTGTTTTGTGTACCCCAGATTTACTACTTTGTTGGTGCACATCTGTAAACGTTATTTCGTTCTAATTTTTGTTAATTTCTTGGTAATCTTTAATATTTATAAGTCACGTTCCTAACATAAAATAAAAATCAACAAACAACAAACTTTCCCGCCAAAAACTGTGTCACTTGATTAGAGGTTACGTTCACGTTGCTTCTTTTAATTCATCCGTGGCTATATCTGTCAACCAATCAACCAACCTTCGTTGCCGGCTGTTATCTTGTTTTTTTTAGAATGCCGCCTAAAAACAGTAAACAACAAAGGTGTTTGCACTGTGAAAACCCAATTAAGGACAACCAGCCGTCAATCTCATGCTGCTCCTGTTTATCCTGGTTTCACAAAGGGTGCTCAGGTCTTACCATAGCTGAATTTAACAAACAGGCTACCATGTGGAATAAATCTAACTTGACCACTTGGGCTTGTACTTCCTGCTTGGACGATACTCCATCGACCAGCCAAAAAAAACCTAAATCAAACCCTCGACGCTCCATCGGACCCGGTCCCGCTCCAGTGCAAGAAATCACCCGAGGCGATGAGTCTTCCAAGCGTGCCACTTAAAATGTCTCTTTAAACGACATTATGGATAAATTATTGCACATTGAATCCCAATATAGCAATCTTCTTTCTAAATACGAAGATCAAATTAAGGTCAACAATGAACTGAGGTCAGAGATTGAGGACATAAGACAGGAACTTTCTACATATAAAAATTCGAATATTTCTGCAGCCACTCCTGAGAGTGCGCCCCAAAATCCGGATGGAATTTACCAAGAGGTCCTTAGAAGGCAAGCACGTATGAACATCATCGTAATTTTTAACTTGAATCTTGAGGATGACATTCCCAAGGAGGTCCAGGTTGCCTCGCTGTTGTCAGATGGGCTGACACATAGGATTGAGGCCAGGAATGTCGTCATTGTGGGTAAACCAAATCGCAATGGTCATAAACCTGTCAATGTCACCCTGTCAAACTCAAGTGATGTTTCATATTTACTGAGAAATCGTAAATTGTATATTGACAGCCATCAAATCTACATTGAGGCAGACCTATCACCTTCCCAACTAAAGTATCTTCAGGACACTAAAAAAAAACTACGCCGTCGTCGTTCAAATGGGGAAGAAAACCTGATTTTAAGGTATATCGCTGGTGTTCCAACCATAACCACAAAAAACTTGGTTCCTCCAGCAACTCAAACAAGTTAACCTGTGCATATCAGAATGTTCGTGGTCTCCGAACCAAGACACACCATTTTTACTGTAGCGTTGTCTCCTTGGAATATGATATCATTGCAGTTACCGAATCCTGGCTGCAACCAGATATTCTGGACTCAGAACTTTTTCCAGACTCATATACGATTTATCGTTCCGATAGAAAAGCAAACATAACGGAAAACACCAGAGGTGGTGGGGTCATGCTGGGCGTTAGCATTAAACTCCAATCAGAAATTCTGGATACTTCAGACTTTGCCGACAGTGCTCCAAATATAGACTTTTTAGGTTGTAAGCTAGTTTGTAACTACTTTTTCCCCCGTCAACTGCCAGTCATGAGGTTGAAGTGTTTTTTGATTATCTTTCATCGCTGGAAATCATGCTCCATAAAAACATAATATTTCTGGGAGACTTCAACATCCCGTCTTTTACGGCCTCCACTCCTATTGGCCTTAAGCATAAAAGCTTATTAAATCTTGTTGAGTTTCTTGGCCTCAAGCAGTGCAATACGATACTAAACTGTAATGATCGTCTTCTTGATCTGGTTTTTTCCAACTTAAGTATTAATCCTATACACAATGACTCGCCTTTGCTCGCTGAAGATCCATATCATCCTACATTAGCATTCGATATTCAGGCCCCATCTTCTCCAGTTCTAAATTTCCCTGTCAACAATGCCGAGTCATCTCAGTTCAATTTTCGCAAGGTTGATTACCCCAGGTTGTACGAGTTAATACTGCACAGTGACTGGTCCCCTGTTATTGATTCCTCTGATGTTACAGATACTTGTTTTGCATTTTACGAGATTCTCAATAACAACTTTGCTATCTGCGTTCCTTTGAAGTCTCCTAGAAAAAGGCGTTTTCCCCAATGGTTTACTAAAAAAATTATAAACAACGTTTTTAAAAAGGAAAAAGTACGTCGTCGTCTACAGGTTCACAAATCCGCTGCTGACCTTGAGAAGTTTAGGTACTTACGTAGCCAGATTAAGTCGCAGTCTCAGCTTGCCTATAGAGTTTATTGGGAATGCCGAGTTCAACATTAACAATGATCCTTCTAACTTTTGGTCCTTTATCCGAAGTAAGAGGGCTCAGGCACGCATACCAGCTACGATGAATTATGCTAATCAACAAGTCAATGGGCCCCATAACATCGTGTTGGCTTTTGCTGAATTCTTTAAAAGAGTCTACAGGGTCTCGGGACAGAGGGGGTTTGTTAATACTTTACACCAGTATGAGTTAATCGGTATTCCCTCAATTACATCTGAGGATGTCATTTCAGCATGTAAGATGTTAAAGAATAAAGCCACATCTGGCTCTGATGGCATTCCCAGTTTTTTTGGTAAAGGACTGTTCAACTGTCATGTGTGCTCCCCTCTGGCATATTTTCATCTATCATTCATCTATCATTGAAACATGGTGTTTTTCCTGAGATCTGGAAGGTTGCCAAGGTATGTCCTGTTTTTAAAAAAGATGACCCATCTCTTATTGAAAACTATAGAGGTATTTCTTTATTATGCAACTTTTCCAAAGTATTTGAGACTATTCTATATAAATTTCTATTTTTTAAAATCAAAAGCAAGCTTTCTATTTATCAACATGGCTTTTACTCTCAAAGATCTAGTATAACGAATCTCTGTTCTTTTTCCTCCTTTGTCTGTGATGCCATTAATATAAGGAGCCAAGTGGATGTCATTTACACTGATTTTAGCAAGGCATTTGACCAGATTGACCACCATATACTACTCCAAAAGTTGTCTGACCAATTTGGATTCTCGACCGAGCTTTTATCTTTGTTAAAATCATACCTTCTCGGTCGCAGTCAGTATGTCGAGCTTGAAGGGTTTAAATCTAACCTTTTTACACCTACGTCAGGTGTTCCACAAGGTTCTAATTTGGGGCCGCTTCTTTTCAATATATTTATTAACGACCTTGTTTCAATGCCCTACTGTCATAGACTTGCATATGCTGATGATCTTAAATTATTTAACCGTATAGATACTGTCAGAGATTATGTGTCTCTCCAGGAAAGCGTTGACTTGCCTAGTAAGTGGTGTTTGACCAACAGATTGAATCTTAACATCTCTAAATGTAATGTTGTTTCTTACTCTCGAACTAAAAGCCCAGTTAAATTCAGTTACACTATAAACGAAGCAACATTGAACAGACTCTCGGTCATAAAGGATCTAGGAGTTATTTTCGACGAAAGATTCTCCTTTATTCTTCACATCGATCAAATGGTGGTTCACGCCTCTAGAACACTCGGCTTTGTATTACGTAACAGTAAGCATTTTTCCAATTTATCAACCATCAAAATACTGTATTTCTCTTATGTGTGGTCGAAGCTTGATTATGGCTCAATAACTGGTCCCCTATTTATAATTGTCATGTGCAATCTGTTGAGTCGGTTCAACGGCGATTTTTAAAATACGCTATGTTTAGAGAAGACGGAATCTATCCTCAACGGGGTATAGATCATGCGCATATATTGGATAGATTTGGTGAATTGCCGTTGAGTACACGTCGTGACCTGCAGTCGATGTCTTTTCTGTACAAGCTGGCAAATTTTAAAATTGATTCTCCATCTCTGCTCGAGCAACTGCCATTTCTTGTACCTCGTTTAGGGGCCAGACAGCAACCTGCTTTTTTCCTTGCTTTTACGAGATCTAACATATTGCTGCAGAGTCCGATTTACAGAATGTGTCAGAATCTTAATCGAATTTCCACTGCAGTAGATGTATTTCATGAGTCTCCCCACTATTCTCAAAACATTCTGTGATATTACTGGCCATCCCGTTAAGTCTGTGTTAGTCAATTAATTTTTATATTTTAGTGTAGTATTTAATACCTGTTATAATTATGTATTTTTTATTCTTGTTTGTACTATTTTAAGATATATTACTGTTTCGAATTTCCTGTAAGTGGGCTTCGGCCTGTCGGAAATAAACGACTATTTATTTATTTATTTATTTTATGATCGAAAAGTCGTTTAGTTGGCTTGGAAATGACAATTATTGACATTTACCATAATATTTTACATATGAAATAACAGATCTTCATTTTCAAGACAACTCTTATGCTGTTCTTTGTTTAATTATATAATATTATATAAAATTGTTTAGTCGTATAAAATCCATATTATTAATATACCCGTACATAAGTACCCATAATCCATAAATCTACGGAGTAATCAGTAGTCCTGGCAACCACTCACTCTGTCGACTGAAAGCAGAACTACAGTACAGTATTCTTTATCCGCTGCACTGTAAAGGATTATCAGCGCGCAGCGGCGCTGTGCTAAACTAAATCTCGGTCAGGTTTTGTGCCACGAAGTCGCCCATAAGGTTGCGCATCTTCTTATTTCTTCAATCAACGCGATTACCTAATTTGTAGTGGTACAAAATTAATAGACTTTTTAAAAAATGAATCAACCGAGTTGGAACCCAAAGATAAACCATTATTAAGTGACATTCAAGACGAGACAGACAGCGATTCAGAGTTAAGTTTTTCAGAGTTGATAAGTGAGTATGTTTCAAATAGAGAGAAGCAAAAAGGTAATTCCTCGTATAAAGAAGAATCTGATTCAGACAGTAGTTTTGAAAAGGTAGAATTTAGTGATATGGTATCCAAAAAACCTGCACAAAATATTTTGGATGAACCGTTGGATCAAATAAAACAATGCTGTGATAATTTAGAACCAAAGGGATTATCTATTGAAAGGAAACTGAGTGAAATGTCCAGTATAGATTCTCTTGATGTGGATTGTAAGCAAAACATTTCTGAGATTCAAATAGTAAAATGGGCAGCCCAATTAGTTATTGCTATCGAAAAGTTGCATTGTTTGGGAATAATTTGTAGGTAAGCTGATTTTCTAATAATACAGATGTTTAGCCAAATTTATTATTTAACTTATGCCATATTTTAGAGATTTATCTATAGAAAATGTGCTTTTGGACGCAGAGAATAATATAGTCTTGACCTATATGTGTAATATAAAAGAATTGTGCGATTTATACATGAAAGGAATTGATGCAAACTTGGCACCTGAAGTTTATAGTTTTGAGGATGTAACCGCTGCTGTAGATTGGTGGAGTTTTGGTGCAATCCTCTACAGATTATTAGTTGGAATGGTAAATTATTTATGGTTAAATTATTTTTACCATGGCTCTGTTTTATTCTTTAGTTATGAAGTTTTGTTTTAAAGTTTCATTGTTTTTACGGATCGTGTTTCGCCCATATTACATGATATATATTTCACCATTTATCATATCATGCTCGATAGAGTTAGATTTGTGTGCTAACATAGATACTTTAGTTAATGATCCAAACTAGTGCTGTAACGAATATCAACATTCGCGAATCCGAAAATTAATTTGTTAAAAAATATATAAAAGGGTTTGGATGTTATAATTAAAAATTAAAAAGAACTTTTAAATTTTGTTTTCCAAAAATGTCTAATTGTGTAACATCTTGTTTATTATTAGTATATTTAGATATGAAAGAAGTTGTAATTATGTTCAAAATAAAACTGGATTTTTGTAGATTGGTAAAAGTTTAAAAGATAATTTTGATTATATATTAAATATATATTTTCTGTCAAAAATAACTTAAATAGAGGAATATTTCCTTTGTTTTGTTGTTAATTAATATTTTTAGTTTCATAAGATGATTATTCTGTTCAGAATAAAAGGTGTATGTAAAAAAATACATAAAAATTTAAGAGGAATATACAAATTTTTTGGTTAGTAATTTTTAATCAAAAGTTGGCTATTTATAACACCGAAACAAGAGAATTGCCGCAAGACAGTGTTAACATAATTATTAATTAAGAATTAACACTTTCTATATATTTTTTTGGAACGTTGATATTCACATAAATTTTGCGAATGTACATATTCGCGGATGCAAAATATGTTAATAGGTATTCGCGAATACAAATAATATTCATTACATCACTAATGTCTTGAAGATCGTGTTTCTCAATTTTTTTTTCTTAACATTCAATTTTCTGAAAATTTACAGCCATTAAGTGAAGTTCACGTAAATGGTATAACAAGCTACACCCATCTAAAAATTCCAAAGTATGTTTCACCTGAAGGCAGGTCTTTACTGAAACAGGTATTGTTATAATTTAAATATATTAATATAAAAAACTAAGGAACATTTGTTTTACAGTTATTAATGTACAAACCAAATGACAGGTTAGGAGCTGCTAATAATGGAATACACCATTTGAAAACTCATCCATTTTTTCGATCCATACAATGGGACTCATTATAAAATTATAGTTGCCGTTTTATTAGTTTTTATTTTTTATTGCGGCACGAAAAAACTAGTACAGTTATTATTGTGATATTGTTTGTAGTTCACTTATAAGTACTTTAAGATTAGTTATATTAAGAACACTTATCTCTTTGTTAGTACTACATTAGTACTATATTTAAGCATTTAGTAAAATACTTGTTCGAAATAGAATTTTTCTTAGCTGTACTAATTTATTTATAATTTAATATAATACAGATGGAAAGAAAAAAAATACCCTTAATATATACTTTTCTTATTAATACATAAAGAAAACTAAAAATCTTCCAATTCATATATCTATATAAATTAACTATTTTTTTACCAAGGCATGAGCCCTAGAATAGATTTTTTTTTAATTCTATAGTTATAAAATATTATTTTATAAAAAAATATCTGATATTTTTAACAGTTGAATTTCAAAGTAGTTAACTAAAAACCTGTTAAGAAAAAAGCATAAAATATATAACAAAAATTAAACTATAAAAACGTATTACTGCTACATAAAATCATCATAATCTACGTCAAACTCAGTGTAATCATTGACATAAGCAGAGAGCTAAAAACACAAAATATTAATATTTGAGTGTAAAAAAAACTGCCATCAACTTACATTATCTTTATCTCCTTCCAGTTTTAATTTTGCTTTGCCTTTTCCTTTAGTTTTCTTATTCTTATCACCCTTCTCAATTTTCTGTTTTTCTAAATATAAATTATCTAGAGTATTTTTTATTTTCTTAATATCCGCCGAATTCACTGAAATTAAATATACTTTTTATCTATAATGAATTCAGAAAAAAAAATGAAAACCTCACTTGAAGCACATAAATTTCGTGCTAGTTCTTCAGTGAAATTTACGAATTCGGTAGGATGTTTTGATAATGGTGACAATTTTTTAGAAAGAACATTCGTAAATTCCTCAAATTCTTCCTTGGTTGAAGGTAATTTTAAGCCACCTATTTCTTCGTCTTCCTTTTCACCGAAAGTCGTTTCTAAAGCCAGCTTTAAATCCGACTCTTTTTGCATTCGTAGTTTTTCCTCTGGAGACAATTCCTGTTGTTCTTTAAGCCGTCGTTCCAATTCCTCTTGTTTTAGTCTCTAAAAATAAAAATATATATTTTTTAGACAGGTTGCAGATAAGGTCTCCATAAAAAAAATATTTCAAAAAAATTCTGTGGTAAAAACGAGTATTTTTTCCGAGAAGGTAAATTTGTGTCCCTATAGGCTTGGTGAATTTCAGTTGTTTTCAAAAAATTCCGATCGCAGCGCTGTATACGCCAGAAATCAGAAATTTTCACTATGTATTTCGCGCCGTCGGGGTTACAGTTCATGTTGATCGCATTAAAATAATATTGAAATCGTGGCTTTGCCATAATATTTAAGTATTTTAGTTTTTTGCTAGTGCGGTTATTGAAACTATAAAACACTCAAGTACGAGATTTGTGTGGTGCAAGTGAAATAAAAAATAAGTGAAAAAGAATCCGAACTAGGCGTCGCGTAGTGTTGTATTGTGACAATTTCAAATGTTAATAAAATTGCTGAAAAAATGTTAAAGCGTAAAGGAAGCGTAATTAGGGCGTTGTTGGGTGCATAACATTCAATTAACCCAACTTTCCCGGATATTCAACTCTCCCGAAACAACATTTTATAGCTGCACAGTTTCTTACACCGATTTGATCAAAGCAAAAATGGATTCAAGCAGGTAAACAAAGTGCTCATTACGTAATCAAAAAATTAAATAGGCATATACTACGAGGCATGTTTTTTAAGCAAGTACCGTTTCCGCCGCCGCAGCGCTACTGTCGGCGTTCCGCGCATGCGCGCTGGTTACCTACATCTCTTGTCTATGCACAGACGCCAGTACAGTTTGATTCTTCATTGTATACGTTGTTTATTGAGTGTTTAAGATGCCTCCGACAATCGTGAGCCCCGCCGATTGTGAAGTACGGGCTGTCATACGATTTCTTAGTGCTAAAGGCGTAAAACCGATCGATATTCATCGTGAGATCTGTGAAGTTTACGGACAAAACATTATGAGTGATGGAATGGTAAGGAAATGGGTGAGAGCATTTAAAGATGGCCGCACAAATGTGCATGATGAAGAACGGAGTGGGCGTCCTTCGGTCGTTAATGAAGATTTGGTGCAGAAAGTGGACGAAAAGGTGAAAGAAAACAGACGCTTTGCAAATTCATCATTGTGCGACTACTTTCCTCAATGTTCTCGTAGTGTTTTGTATCGCATTGTGACCGAGAACTTGAATTACCGGAAATTGTGTTCACGTTGGGTTCCGAAAATGTTGACGGATTTGCACAAAACCCAACGTTTAGGCAGTGCATTGACTTTCCTTGAGCAGTACCACAATGAAGGTGAAGATTTTTTAGACAAAATTGTTACTGGTGACGAAACATGGGTGGCCTACGTCACACCAGAATCGAAACAACAGTCCATGGAATGGCGCCATTCACCCAAAACAGTGAAGTTCAAGCAAACAATTTCTGCCCGGAAAATCATGTGCACAGTTTTTTGGGACAGAAAAGGAGTATTGCTAGTGGAGTTTCTGCCTCGTAATGAGACAATCAATGCAGCATCTTATTGTGAGACATTGAACAATCTGCGCCGTGCAATCCAAAACAAAAGACGTGGCAATTTGAGTAAGGGTATTGTTTTGCTGCATGACAATGCCCGTCCACATGTGGCTAATCAGACCAAAGATCTCATCAAATCTTTTAAATGGGAAACTATAGATCATCCTCCATACAGCCCTGATCTGGCGCCCAGTGACTACCATATATTCCTGCACTTGAAGAAACACCTGGGCGGTCAGCGTCTTCAAGACAATAACGAAGTCAAAACAGTTGTGATACAGTGGTTAACCAGTCAGGCGGCAGAATTTTATGAGGAGGGTATTGAAAAACTCGTGCCACGTTATGACAAGTGCCTCAATATTCACGGAAATTATGTAGAAAAGTAGATTAAGGTACAGGCTTTCATGTAAAAATAAAATTATTGCGATATCTTTGCACGTTTTTTTTTAATTCCAAAACGGTACTTACTTAAAAAACATGCCTCGTATAAAGGGGCATTCACACCGGCCGCGCCGCACAAATCATTTTGTTAACATATACTTTTGTGCGCGCTAAAAAAATACACTACAAAAGTACATGTCAAAAAAATTTTTAGCGCGGAGCGGCGCAGCCCGTGGAAACGCACCTTAAGAGGATAAAATATTTTTGCAATATTAATGGTATGCTTTTTTTAATCAACTAGTGGTTAAATGTTTTATGAACATCTTCTAAAATTATAATTAAGCACCTTTAAAACATTTCGTTATGGCCGAAATAGCCCCATTATGATCCCGCTAGCAAAACCGGTGCGCAAAACTATGCTCACTACCGTAGTTGAACAATTGAACTCATCTAAAAAGTTTTTTTAGCTGGAATAATAAATTATAATACAAGTTAGACCTTCTGAAGATATCAAAATATTTATTTTTTTATTTTTAGAATAATTTTCACAATTATACTTCCTAACACTTTTAGAATTATATAATTTTTTCGTATACTAACTATTTAAACCCGTGTATTTGTATATACTAATTATTTACGATATTCTCTGATTATGGCAGCACCGACGGAGAATGCACCAGGCCTATACCATTAGAACACTTACATATTTACTTTGTTTGTATATATAATAAAAAACAAAGGTCCCAGTATAGAGCTTAGACGAAAGCCCTTGTTAATATGAGTTCAGATTTAGTGCCATTAACTGTAACGGCCTGTGTTCTGTCACGGACAGTGTTAAAACTACCAACAAAACCAACAAACAAAGTACTAAGAAGAAATTATCAAACTGCAAAATACGAAGAGATAAACAACTATATTAGAGAGCAACCACAAAATTTGAGAGTTACTGTGAGTAAGTTAAGTCTTAAGACTTAAGTCTTTAAATGTAAATCAGCAAAAGCCATGGATTAATCAAGCACTTTTCAAAGAAATAAACAAAAAACGTAAACTATGGGACAGGTACAAAGAAAACAAGACATTCGAAAATTATCGAGACTATATGGACCAAAACAACACATTGAAATAAAAACTGGAGAAAGCTAGGCAAACATATGAACACGGCTTAATAATGTCTGACTCGCCTAAACGAATCTGAAAGTATATTAGCAAGAGTCTAAATTTCTAAGGTAAAAACAATAACCCTAAAAGATCCAGCAACTCAAAAAGTTTTAGATTCCAAATCCATGGCTGAAGAATTTGCAATACATTTTAATAAATCCTTTACTCAACAAAGCATACCTATACCCCAACTTCTTGCAGGCACCAGAATGCAGAACACGATTAGTACAATACATTTCACAGAGAGCAAGGTCAAAGAAGCACTTAAAAATATGAAAATAGATTCAAGTCCAGGACCAGATGACATACCAACAATTTTGTTACAAAAATGTAGTGACACAATTGCTGTCCTCCATTCGCGAACTTCAAGTTCCAGTGCTTTATGCCCTGCGCTACTCGAGAACGGTTCTGAAAGGAGCGGCGCGCAATAGTCTGGTGCCTTCATATGGCGCGGAACAGTTCTGAACTTTATGACTCAATTGAATGGAGTGAGAGTATCGCGTTCTTGAACAGTTCAGAGCGGCACAACTGCGTGAATGGAGGACAGCAAATTGGTTCCCGACTCTCGGCGGTCATGCAGGAATGTATGGACCTTTGAAGAATATCAGAACAGTGGAAAATGTCAACAGTAACTCCACTATTCAAGAAAGGCAACAGACACAAACCAGAAAACTATCGACCAATTAGTCTAACATGTAACCCTCTCAAATGCATGGAGAAAATAATAGTCCCAGCATGGATTTCTTCCAGGGCGCTCTACTTCAACTAATTTGCTCGAATGTTTAAACGACTGGACTAAAAATCACGATAACAACCACCCAACAGATATAATTTACCTTGACTATGAGAAGGCCTTTGACAAAGTTCCACATAATTTACTGCTTGGAAAGTTAGAACATTTTGGAGCAAGAGGACAGCTTTTACGAATAATAAAAGATTCATTAGATGAAAGGTACTACCAAGTACGAGTAAACGGCGTTCTCTCAAGTAAATACCTGGTTGCTAGTGGGGTTATTCAAGGTTCCGTGTTGGGCCCACTACTATTTATAGTCTACCTTTTTGATGTTGTCAATCTTATTGAAACCAATTTAAAAAACTTTGCTGATGACAAAAAACTCTATGCCAATCCCAATCTAAGTGCAGCAAAGCTTCAGGAAGATTTAAAGAGGGTTGAAACCTGGTCAAATACTCGGGGAATGAAACTGAATGAATCCAAATGCGCCGTTCTTAAAATAGGACCAAATAACCCAAATAAATAATATATACTCAACAACACAATATTGTCTACAGTGTCAGAACAAAATGACCTTGGAGTGACTATTACATCAGGTTTAAAATGGGAAAACCACATTGTAAAAATTTCCATGAAATGTAACTCCTTTGTGTATCTGTTGGAGGCAGATGCCGAAAATTAGACATATGGCGGAGCTTCTATGCGGAGGGTGTTAATCGTTTGTTGTTATATTATACCAAAAAAAGATTAACCCCCTTGCAAGTTTAGTATGGACAAATCGCCATATGTCTAATTATTTCGGACATTGGCCGAAATTCGGCATCTGCCTCCAACATATCTAATGCAGCGTACTTTTAAAGACCACTCTATAGAGATGATAGCAAAGCTTTACAAAAGCTATATTAGACCAAAGTTCGAATACGCGTACACAGTGTGGAACCCCTACTATATTAAGGACATAGAGATACTGGAAAAGATACAGAGGCGCGTGACTAAAATCCCGTTGAAGCTACAAAATATGACCTACACAGAAAGACTGGCTAAATTTAATATAACAACATTAAGAGAAAGAAGACACAGAGGGGATTTGATAGAAACATTTAAAACAACAAGCGGACATTATACCTGTGATGTTAAAAATATCTTTTCTCAAAACCATAACCTTCAATTACGTGGACACTCAAAGAAAACGAGCAAAGAAAAGACAGCCAAAGTACAAATTTCCTAACAAATCGTGTTGCACATTCATGGAATGCTCTAACAGAAAACACAGTGACTGCCCCCAGTATACACGCGTTCAAAAACCGACTAGATAAAGAACTTGAAGAAAGTGCAACAAGAATGATTCACTATAGCACAGAATACTAACAGAAGCCTCGTTACATGTATAAAATCGTAGGTCTCAAAAGGAGACAGGCTTTTAAAGCCTGTCTGTCTCCAAATCAGATATTTTAATGCGGTTTCACTACTACATAACAGAGGGCGATAAATTTAAAAGAAAACAGTTTTCTACAAACAAAATTTAAAAGACACTGCATAAAATGCAGTGTTGCCATTGTGTAATTTATATTGTAATACTTCCTGATAAAGCCTACCTTCAAATTTGCTACATCATTTAAATATATTAAAATAGATTAGAGCTCTTTTTTCAAACGTTTAAGTATTTAACTTGCCATGTTAGTTGGAGTTAAATTTTACGAGCTGAATTAAAATCACTTCCTGACGTTTGATTCTAACTGAATCCTGAATTTTGATTGTAATTCGGTGACAATATAATAAGTACTGTTCTACTATTATGACACCACTTCATGACGTTCGATTGTCTTCATACCGTATGATCGGCAAAAAACGGCGTTAGCGATGGCTATGAAATGAAAATCGCTGTCATTTTATGTGTAAATTTATATGGAAAATGTCATCTCGATCGTCTTTTCCCAGCCAACTGGACGCCGTTTTTTTCGGTATCATACGGTATTTGATATATACTTGCGTATTTTTCATGACATTGCAATATTATGGTACCATGAAGCATATCAAGTGATACCGTAATATAGTACCATATTACGATACATGGCGTTCGATTGGGCTTAAACTTGGTATATTACGTATCTTCAGTGACATACTGAGGTACCATCTTCAGTGACAAGAGGTACCATACTAGTACCATATACGATGCCATTTCCTGGCGTGCGATTGGACTTATACTTAGTATAGTAAGTATCTTCGGTGACATTGTAATATGATGGTACTATGATGCATATAAAGTGGTACCTTAATATAGTACCATATTACGATACCAATTCCTGACGTTCGATTGGGCTCATATTTCATTATACTTGCGTATTTTTGATGACATTACATATTATGGTACCATGAAGCATATCAAGGGGTACCATAATATAGTATGTAATATTACCATACCATTCGCGTTCGATTGAGCTTAAACTTTGTATACTACGTATTTTCGGTAACATCGTAATATGATGGCACCATGGAGCATATAAATTGGTACCTTCTATAGTACCATATTATGATACCAGTTCCTGACGTTCATTTGGGCTCATATTTGATATATACTTGCATATTTTTGATGACATTGCAATATTATGGTACCATGAAGCATATCAAGAGGTACCATAATAGTACCATATACGATATCATTTCCTGGCGTTCGATTGTTCTTAACTTGGTATAGTAAGTATCTTCGGTGACATTGTAATATGATGGTACTATGATGCATCTACTATGATGCATATATAAAGTGGTACCTTAATATAGTACCATATTACAATACCACTTCCTAAAGTTCGATTGAGCTCATATTTGATTATATTTGCGTATTTTTGATGACATTGCAATATTATAGTACCATGAAGCATATCAAGGGGTACCATAATGTAGCACCATATTACGATACCATTTCCTGGCGTTCGATTGGGCCCAAATTTGATATACTTGTGTTTCTTTATAAAGATTTGTTTAATTAATAATTTTAATTTATTTTACGAATTTTAATTTAATGTACGATGTCGTGACACAGCAACTTTTATGCCGAACTAATATATTATTAATTGTACCTGTGTCACTTTTTAAAATCTACCTAGGTCTATATAAATAACGTGGCAAACAGAAAAAAATTGTTATTATAGTATTTTTTAGTCAATTAACATTTTTTGTACTGCATTTTAATAAATCATTTCCGTTATTATTAAACATATATTTCATTACTAGCGTTTCAGCATTAATAAATATCACTATCAATCGTCATGTATATTATTAATTTTAAAGGTATCACTTTTTAAAATCTACCTAGGTCTATATAAATAAGGTGGCAAACAAAAAAAAATGTTATTATAGTATTTTTTAGTCAATTAACATTTTTTAACAATAGTCAATTAACAGCTCAGATTTGGCATAATAATGTTTTTGGGGAGCATATTCCAGACAGTTATTTAATACAGTTTTTACAATACAAAAAAGGGCAATAAGAAATTTTCGCTCTTTATTTAAAAGTGAATCTATTTTAACTTTACACTGTATTTTTAATAGTAGAAACTGCATGTCTCATGTATAAAAAATTCAGAGATCAAATTCAGAACGTACCCGAATGCTCCCAACATCGTCAACGAGTTTGGTCCAAGACTCATTTATTTTCAATGGTAAAAAGATATTTAATCACCTGCCTCTGAATATTAAGAAAGATATACAGGGTTCCCAGAAATAAGTGCAAGTATTTTAACTGGTAGTATAGTTCAACTACAGAAACACGCCTATGAGGTTTTTTTCCTGAAAAAAAATTTTGGAAATTCTAAATTTTTTGAAAAATCTTTTGGAAATATTTTTAGTTTTTAGTTAAAAAACATAATTTCTTGATAATATGGCAACATAGGTATTAGATTAAATTTACAAGAAAGAAAATCCAGAAAAGATCCAGTGGTTCTAAAAATTTTAGCAAAAAATCTTTTTGTTGTAAATTTTCAAAGTAAAATAACTCCGTTATTTTGGATTTATTTGAAAAACGATAAAGAGAAAATATGTTTCTTCTATTGAGATCTACCACCCCTTAAAATACTTGCTCTTATTTCTGGGACACCCTGTATATCACCATAAAGTTTAAAAAGGCTGTCAGATCTTTACTGGCTCCAGGAACATATTGACATGACATTCAGGGCTGCGTTCAGATATTCAGGGTAGATGCACTCCGGATATAAAATTTACGTCCGTTAACGTTCTAAAATAAAGGATATTCTTATAGAGAGAGACATCTTAATATAATTTTAATGTAGTGGAATAAGAACAAACAACTCTAGGTTGTTATGTCACGTCCAAACAGACTGTCGTCCACAATACCTGAACGCAGCCCAGGAGTATTTTGCTGATGTTTAGTAAATCTGACATATTTCGTTGTTGGGAAACATTTTATTTTAAATAGTATAATATACTCTTTTGTTAACTTTGATATGTCTCTTAACTGTTAAAAGTGTCTGTATGATATTTGTATATGTTCTTTTGTTTCTTTTCTCTTTAATCTTCTTATATTCTATTTGTTTTATTTTTTGCACAGCTTTGTTAATAAGAACAATCTTATAAACAATAAAGCATTGACTGAAAAAAATAAATTAATTTAGAGCTAAAAGTTTTAATCTGCTGATGATGCGCCCAGGGAAACGCGCATCCAGTGTGAAAAGTAAAGTGTTTTGATATATTGTCGTGAATTACAAACAAGCTTTAGTGTTTTATTTTGCTGTTGTAACACCAAAGGTTCCAACCCCCAACGTTGATCAGTTATGTGTATTCTGGGTTTTAAAATGATAACATGTATGAAATTATTCTCTCTATGTACTTATTCAAGATAATAAAAACAAAGGTAAACAAAAAATTACAAGTAAAATATTTCCTCATTATGGTAAACAGATTTTCATAATATATTTTTTATTTCAGTTTAAATGAATCATCAACTATTTAAAAATAATTTGCAGATTAAAGTTTTATGTATATATTTTTAGAATCTCAATTTTTTTAATTCTAATCAATAAAATATTAACTTACTTCTTTTTCTGCTATCTTCTCTGCTAAATTTTTCTTTTTGCTTTTTTTAGCATCTGTTACTTTCTTATCTTCGTCCTCTTCTTTCTTTTCATCATCTTCATCCTCCCAACTTTCCTAAAATTTAAATAGCTATCAGAATAATATCGCGACACTTTAGAACCCTGTAGGTACCTCCTCCCCATTGCAAAACCATGTTGATATCACAGATAACTCGTTAATACAGTATCAACTAATGAACATACATACCTTTACATCCTCATCTTCGTCTTCACCCTCCCATTTGTTAGATTTTACTAGCGACGAGGTTACCGTCGGTGGTTCAAAATCTTCATCATCTTAAAAAAAATACGTCTCAATAAAAGGCACGAAATAAATCAGATTTATGGACTTACCCCAGGATTCCATCCTGCTAAATTATTATGATAAATTACAATGTAAAATTGGCACAGGCCCAACCAGAAGTTCACGTGTAAAATGTGTGCTCTAATGTCACCCAAAAGTGGACAGCTGAGAGCAGATAAAAATTATCTATCGCTAATTAGAATCCAAAAATCACCGAACCTTTGATAGATATCAGACCAAGGGCTTCACCTTTTTATGTTTCTTGTTTAAATTTATTATCTTTCCCAAATAATTACTTTTTACAATACACAATCGACCGAACTTTGGCGTACCCATTTCACACTTGGCAAAATTACAAAATAGCAAGTCTTACCAACCCATACCAAAGAGTTGTATTTTGTATTACCTCCTTTTTGCTCATACCAACCATAAGATACCAGAACTGAGATTATTTATACTAAATCTGTGGCCGCCTATGATCATATATAATTGTATTTCCAGATATATAGTACTGACTTAAAATGACATAATTTATTTACAAATTTTAAATGTATATACTTATTTTTTGATAGATGCATATGTAATAATGATATTATTATTAGATATTTACATTACTGTCTTTTATTTATTTGCTTGTTGGTGACACTGCCTTGGGAATGTCATGCTTGTCTAATGCTAAATGTCAAAGTTGTCAATCTAAGCTTGTTAACATCTTGTTAATTTGTTAATCTTTAAATCATTTCTCAAATTATATCCAATTTCTTAATGACTTTATTTGTAAATTGAGCTGAATTGAGCCTAATTTAATATGTTATTCTATGAAGAGGCAAGTAAAATTTGAATACTACTTGTATGTGAATCTGCTAGAGCGTAGGACGGTACGGTATTTTTGGAACTAATAAAGAAAGATATGGTATTTTAAAGAATGGCGGTAGGCTCTACAAAAGTCGTTCAAGTAACGAACATTGCACCACAAGCAACAAAAGATCAAATGCAGGTGCTTTTTGGCTATTTAGGAAAAATTGAAGATATAAGATTGTATCCTACCATAAGGGATGTCTCTTGCCCTGTACAGTCTAGGATTTGTTATATTAAATTTGTTGATCCAGTGTCAGTTGGTGTAGCACAGCATATGACCAACACCGTTTTTATTGATAGAGCACTAATAGTTATTCCAGTTCAAAGTGGAGATATACCCGATGAATATTATGCTTTAGAAGTAACCAGAAATGGCACAATTGTTCCAGGTTTAAATGTTAATGAACCGAAATTGCCTCCACATGTTGTAAATTCTGTACAAGGCTCGGGTACTGAACAGGTAATATTGACTACAGATCCTACACTTGAATCAAATGATTTACCTAATTATCCACCACTTCCTGCTACTTATGATAGTGTTAAAGTTGAAGAAACTAGAAGAACTATTCTTGTTCAAAACATTAATACCTCTATGTCCAATGAGGAATGGATTGAGCATTTTAGTACTGCAGGTGAAATTAAGTATTTACGAAGTTGTATTACAACTTCAGATAATACCCCAAACTTACTTATAGAATTTACTGATCAAAGTAGCATAATTAATGCCTTAAAAATGAATGGGACTGAATTTAAAGGATCATTGTTAATAATTCAACATGCTACTCAACCAATTACAAAACCACAAGCAAAAAGCAACGAAGCAGCACAAAAAGAAATTGAAGAGGCAATGACTAGATTTAAAGAGGCACAAAATATGATCAATGCTTCTATTGAACCAGTTATAGGAATGTTAACTAAAGATAAAAGGAGCTCTAGACATTCAAGATCTAGATCTAGGTCGAGAGATAGAAGACGTAGGCGATCAAGGTCTAGGTCAAGACGCCGATCCCGTTCAAGAAGGCGATGCTCATCATCCAGAAGAAAATCATCTCGGTCTAGAGAACGCCGTAGAAGATCAAGGTCCAGAAGACGGTCACGATCCAGATCTAGACGTAGGTCAGGTTCAAGGACTTCTCGACCTAGAAGAACCCGTTCAAGATCAAAGGAAGAGAGATCTAGGAAAAGGTCGCGCGATAGATCAAAGGAACGAAAATCCCGCGCGAGATCTAAGGACAGAAAATCAAGGGACAAGTCTAGAGATCGCAAACGCTCTAAAGAACGAGAGAAATCGAAAGATCGTAAAGCAAGAGGGGAGTCGAAAACCAAAGAAAAATCGGTAGATTCTAAGGAGAGGAAGAGCAAGAGTGTCGACATTGACAGAAAGCGTTCAAAATCTAGAAGCCCGAGCCGGCGAAGATCAAGGTCAAGGGACAGAAGAAAGGAGAGGAGGAGATCAAGGTCGCGCGGAAGTCGCCGAAGATCACCTTCACCGCGCAGTTCCAGAAGACGCAGTAGGTCCAGAAGCAAAGACAGAGACAACAAGAAGAGAGATAAAAAGGAAAGAAAACGGGATCGCTCCAGATCGAGGTCTAGATCCAGGGATAAAAAAAGTGATAGAGGCAAATCTAGAGAAAAGTACTCGGCTAACAAAGATCCTGAAAAATTTCAAGAAAAAAATCAAAAACTTGATATTTATGAAGACCTTGAAAAAGACTCTGGGGAGAAATCTGATAATATGGATATTTCTAATTCGCCATAAAATAATCCTAAATATATTTTCTGTATAAGCCACATGGATTGTAATAAATTGAAAAAGGGTTTTGGTTGTTTTATTTTATAAATAATTACAAATGCACCTATTTGTATCTTTATATGTTAAAAGTTATACTGACTTTATTTTTTACTAGATATTTTTGTTTTATTTGAATCTTTATATTTTAGCTTATTCTTAAACTTCTTTGGATTGATTCCATAGGCTGACAGCCTAACATCAGATATATCAGTAGATACTTCCTTATTCTTTTTAAATTTCTTTGCTGCATTACTACCTTCATAATTATGTTTTCTTTTCTTATTTTTACCTATAGAATTCTGTGATTGGTCCTCATTTTGGGGTTTCACAGCATTATTGATATTAATAGACTTCTTTTTATGTTTCTTCCCTATTTTATTTTTTTCCTTGGATTCAATAGTGTTGTCTTGTATATGTTTTAATTCAACTTTATTTTCAGTGGTTTCCTGATCATTTTTCTGACTTGGTGTATTGTCTATATTAGTTTCTTCATTTTCCTCTGTGTACAAACTTGGCAAAATTTTCTTTTTGAGAGAAATATTATTAGATTTTTTAGAATAGGCGATTTGATCATATTTTTCAACATGAGCAGGCCTATGTTGTATAGCTTTTTTCAGAGAGCACCATTTATTTAATTCTCTGTCCTTTGCCAACAATATCTGAAATAAATAAAAAAAAATAATAAGTAACTTCTCTTTAATGGTTTTTTTTTCTCTTTATTTTTGATCATACAGTGTTACAGATAAAGTCCACATCATATGGAACTTTATTTATTGACTGGGGCGATCGTTTCGCTTTGATTTAGATTAAAAATGACATTAAGTACATTCGGATATCTCAAATTTGAGCGCGTAGGAAACACGGCGGTTGACTGATCGCTGAGAATTTTGCTCAGCGGCAGACTGTTTTTGTGTGTAAAAATAGACCGGTTAGGTAGGCAAAATTTTCTTAACGCATTTTTAATTCAAATCAAAGCAGAAACCATTAGAAACTGTCGCTGAAGTTAAATTTCACAATTTAATATACAAAAAAAGTTTCATATAGTGTGGACATATTATATATGTGACACTGTACAAGGTGAGTCAACGATAAAAGTCCATTATCTCATTTGTTTCGAGATTTACAAAAAAATGTTAAATATGAAAGTTATAGGGATGGTTAAGATACACATTCTAAAATTATTATAGAGTATACAGGGTGCTTCAAAAAAGTGTTGCGGATATATAACATGTTTTTTTTAAATGCAATACTCTATCTTATTATTAGATTCTATGTAAAATTCTATAACTTTTTTGTATATAATGTTTATATACCTAAAATTATTAGTTTCTGTAATATATCAATTTGTTTAAACAATGTTAGATTGCAGTGTAGTAAAAAATTGTCGGTGATGCCATTCTTTCTGAAGTTAAACTACTCAAATTTGATAGGAGAGTTTTATAGAGATGAAGAAAAAGATATATGTAAAGATATTTTAGTTAGATGCTACAGGGTGTTCAAAATATATTTATAAATTTCAACAACTTAAAATTAAAAAATCTCACTGACAATTTTTTACTACACTGAAATCTAACATTAGTTTAAACAAATTGAAATGTTACAAAAATTATTAATTTTAGGCATATAACATTATATGCAAAAAAGTTAGTTTAGAGTTTTATGCAAAATTGACTTATGACTTATTACTCTATCATTAACTCACCCTGTATACATTACCTCTTCTATGGATAGACCAAAATCATTTGGTAGCACTTCTCTGTATTTAAATCTACATGGAATATCACCAATTATATCTTCACAATCAAGATTATAATATTCTTCAAAATATTTCTCATAGTTTTTATCATTAGGATCATATTTCGGTTTCTCTTTGCTTAGAGCTTCAGCAACTTTTGACTTTCGTTTCCGTTTTTTTCGGCTCTTTGAGTTCTCTTGTGTAATGGATGTTGAGGGATCATAGTCAGCATCCATCTAAAATTCAAATCATGGTAAAAGAGACACCTTTAAGATTCTGTTTACACTTGCATTAAAGTCATCATCTTCACAATGGAGTTCATTTACATCTGCAGTTGGCTCTTCACCAGTCCAGTGATCCCAGTTTTCTATGTTAAATACCACATTATTAAAAATGAATAAAACAAGACGTTCGTATGATGTTTAGAAATACTGCTCAATTGTTTAAGCTAACATAAATTTGACTAATATAAAATTTACCTATTTCCAATTCCTCATCAATATCAGGAAACTCTGGTTTTTGATCTTCTTCTGATCCTCCATAAAATTCATCATTAAAAAGAGCTTGCATTCTGTTGTCATAAGTTTCTGGATCAAAATCATCTTCAATATCATCATTCTTGAAGCCTACTTCTAAATTTCCTGAAAATTTCCAACCATTATAATTTTTACTACATACCTAACATAACTTGAAAAAATACCAGTTATCTCTTTTAACTTTTCAATTTTTTCTTCAATCTCTTTTCTTTTTATTTCTTTCAGCTTCTGTATTTCGACCATTTTCTCCTCTTTTTCTTTCTGTTTTCTCTCCTTTGTCTCTGCTCGTTTCAGTTTCCTTCTGTCATCTGTTTTTCTTAAAGATTTCTCTATTGTTCTTGGATATCTTTTAATCTAAAAAATATCATTCAAAAGATATACAAAAAAATGTTTTTAAATTTTACAAATTCTTGATCTGGCTCTTCATATCTAAAATTATATTTGTATTCAAACTCATCTTGTTCCTCTATTGCTTTCTCATCTCCTGACAAGCTCTCATCTGAATCGTGAACAATTTCTTCATAAGATGGAATATAATCCTTTTCTTCTTTATCTAAATATCTAAAAGCAAATAATTTTTCACACAATTTTTAGACAAGTATATTTGCAAGAATACTTTTTATTCAAAATATAATCCCTCAAAAATTTTTCACCATCATCCAACTTTGGATCGTTCCAAAAATCTTTTAAGGGCTTCAAATCTGATTTTATTTCATCATCGTTTATTTCATCTGTCTGTCCAGCTAACCATTTCTTATATTCTATGTTATCTATATCATTATGTCGAAGAACTTCTTTTACTGCCTTTTTGGAAAGACATTCAATATCATCATCATCGTTTATATTTGAAAGAGCATTTTTTAAATCCTGTTTCAACTGATTTTGTTCTTGGACATAAGTAGGAGACCTAAAAGATGAAACAAATTATGAAAAGCATAAAAATAACTAGTATATCTTACTGTGGCTTTTCCACTTCACCTTCGTCAGAGAGAACACCATCATTCTCTAATATAATCTTTCTTTCATAATCTTTGAGATACATAGGATCATCCTTCTTTTGTTTAACTTTTTTACTATTCTCTCCCCTTGATTTAAAGAAATTAATATTATTATCATAGAGCTTAGGGTCTTTCTTTTTTAAGCAGGACAGAGTTTTAAAAAAATCTTTTTCTACTTCTTCAGTTAATTCAAGTCCTTCCTCGTCATCATCAGATGAACTAGAATCACTAATATCAAGGGCATCTTCACCATATTTGCTTTTAACTTAAATGAAATAAAATTAGTTAATAATAATGAATAAGTTCGTCCTGAAATTATTTTTACGTTTATTTAGTTCTTCTTTCTTCCTCCATGTGTCGTATTTTTTTGCAAAATCATTTTGATCTTCAAAATTTACATCCCCATCAAAGTCTAAGATATCTGTTGATATTCTGGACATAATTACCATAAAATAATTAATCTTATAATTACTATTCAGCAGAGTAAGTATTCAGTATGTATTCATTAAATAAGATTAAATACCATTTATTTATGATTTTTTTCTAACCATTCTCGAAATTTTGCGAAGAGGTTATGGTTATAATAATGTTTGTGGTCTGTGGCAAAGGTGCCGTCTGTGGTTATAATCAGGGTTCGGAAAACTACATGTTACTTTTAAAAACTACATAAACTACATTACATGTAATTAATATGTAGTTTATGTAGAGGATGTAGTTTATGTAACCTATGTATGTAACTTTCAAATAGGGATGTCCGAAAAATAAAAAAAATCGATATTTTGAATCGATTCAAGATCGGACATAACAAGATCGATCCAGAAAAAAATCGGTAACAAAAGATCGATCTTATTAAATATCGATATTCGATTCTGAATGTATTGGTGTACTGGTATAATAAAAATACGATATAATCATAAAAAAAATTAGATACATAAAAATCGTAAAACCGTTTATTAACACATTTAATATTGAAACTGAATAAGAGTCATCCCAAACTGAATCAGAAACACTCATAAACCGAGACATACTTGTAAACATTAAAAATACTATGACAATGTTAAAATAGAATTATTCGGCTTTTTGCATACTTATGATGATTTTGACACAGAATATGTACCGGTAAATTCTGTAATTTTGATATATCAGTCCGTTGGAAAGAAGCTAAAATCAAAAAATATTCTGTTATCTAAAATATAAAAATATGGGAATCACCGACAAAAATCTGACACCTAATATCAAAGTGATAAACAGACATCGGCGCATGCGGTAGTGAGCACCATTAATTTTTCAATTCATTGCTAGATGGCGTTTTATTAGAGATGCACTGTAAACAAATATTCAAGCAAAATAAAAGTGTTTTTTTTTATTCTAACAAATAAATAAACCTGTAAAAATGTATAAATAAAATCGATCTTCGATTTTGAAAAAAGATCGATTCTACCCAAAGATCGTTTGATAAAAATCGATCGATTTTAATCGATATTTTGGGCAAAAAGATCGATCTTCGATTAAAATCGATTCGAATCGTGCATCCCTACTTTCAAATATCAAAGGTTTGAGGTGAGGTTTATAATAAGTTGAAGCTTTAAAAACATATAATGTATTTAAGAAAACAGAAGAAATATGACTTTAAATATAATATTTACATCATATTATCTCTATTACACCTCATACAAAGGGAAATTATTCATAATTTCAATACATAGTTTATTAACGTAGTTTTCATGTAGTTAATGAACAGGAAAAGATGTAGTTTTTGAAGAAAAACTACACGTAGTTAATCAAGTAAATTACGTCTTAATTAACTACTTCCGAACCCTGGTTATAATCAGTAATCAGTGTTACAAACTTGTTACAAATACAAATGTGGGTAATACATGGTAAATGGTAATACCCAGGGGCCGGAAAGTGAAATGAAAGCAATGTTATTATGAAAGCAAAAACGGTTCCACCCTTTGAATAAGAAGACTAAGGAAGGAGCATAATGCTATCCATGTATTCATGCATGGTGGGCGGAAAAGCCACCATAAAAGCTCTCTAGGGTGGGGATCCTTGACAGTTCTGTTTGACGATTCATTTGACACATTTGAATTTGATTTGAAATTTTGTGGATTTGTCAGTCTTTACGGAGCTTATTTTATGTTATTTATTATTTATTCAACTACTGATAGTTGTATAAAGGTAGTAAATCTAGATGGAAATTGTGGCAGAACTTAAATTAACAGTGACACTATCGCGATTTATCGAAAAGACTCTAAAATAGTTGGTTGTGTAGCGTGCGGTAGATCTCGGCAAAAATTGAGTGAAATAATGGAACAACTTTTCGCTAGTAAGTGACTATATAATATACATACGTGTAGTAAACCGATCATTTATGAAATTCACTTAAATTAACTAAATTATATATTTTTCTTGCATTTTAGCTTTTATTTATTACTTGTCAAAAATTAGATGTCAGAATTTAGATACGTTAATTTGACTTACCTGCTTCAGTAGCGTATCGGATGTTTGTGTTAATAAATACTTATTATAACTTATCTATTTTTATTAGAATTATATATTTTTATAACAATTTTAATAACTACCAACATTTATTCACAACGTAAAATAAAACAACAAATTATTGAGTCTATCCCACGTCTACCCTACATCATAGTTTTACATTTTTTAAATAAAATTAGAACGACACTGATAAACCGGAATTTAAGTCGGCCATATTTGAGGCCCATCGCGGTGTACCTAAGATTTTTGATATGCTCCTTCCTTAAGTCTTCTTATTCAAAGGTTCCACCGTTTCCACGGAAATTTCAAATAAAATAGTTCCAGCCTCGGGCGCTAGGTGGTAGTGCAATAAATTTTTAGGTTAAGAAGTTGCTACTAGTTATTACCAGATGGCGTTCAATCAGATTTTTTTTGTAGTTTTCATAGTATCCAACGGTCATTGTCATACTATTGTCAAATTCTCAAAATATATTGTCGTTGCCATAGACAAACAGAAAAATTAAAAGACTGCCAGAAAACATACGACGCGCAGGCAAATGTACCTGTAGCGCATCGACGCAAGTGCCGAAATACGTCCATCTAGCTATCTGTGTTTCGACACTAGTCCGTTAGTCTTAGCATATTCAGAAAGAACACGCTAACCTCCAGCGTTGCCAATTTGTGGGGAATTTCCCAAATTTTGGGGAATCCGGAGCCGATTGGGAATTTTGTGGGGATTAGCAATAGGCGGCGAAAATAAGGGGAGTTTCAACATTTTATTGCTGATTGAAAATGGCGTAAAATTTTTAGCTTTAAAAACGGAGCGGGACGATACCTATATCTTTCCCAACTTAAAAATTATAATCTGCTTTTTACTTATGCTTCCCTTTGCAAATGCTTCAGTTGAAAGAAAATTTAGTGACCTCAAATTATTTAATGACTACTAGGGAAGGGATTAAAAAACAAGGAGTCAATTTACAGTTTAATCCCTCTAATATGTATAATAAATATTGTATTTTTATTAAAATTATTTTTTTTTGTTAAAATAATCATATGGGGAATTTTTGGTGAATCTGGACATTTTTCTCCCCAAATTGGCGAGTTTAATTTAGATTTTTGGATAGTTTAGAAAATTGACATTGGCAACGCCGCTAACCTCATTTTTTTGTTTGTTGTTTGTTCAAAAACCGGCACACGGCGTAGTACAAACGCTTGATCATTTTTTAAGAAATTTTTGATTGTTAATTTTATTTTTGTGCAAATAAACAGTTGTTTTTTATTAAAAAATAGCAGACAAAGGTAATAAAGGTAATGTCCATGCCTAAGTTTTTATTTCACTGGCTATTCTTTCTAGAAATTATACCATCCAGCCCTCCTATTTAATTATTAAATGAAAGTGTGAAAGAGATATCAAGGGCTATTCTGTTAAAATATTGTCAAGGTGTATTACTGGTTGCATAACTGCATACTGCTAAAAAAATCGCAACGTGGAAGGAACCTGGCGCATTCGCCAGAAAGTAAAGAAAATTATAGAATTCTTTAGAAAAATCTAGAAACAACCGCCAGGGGGTATATAAGGCCCGCGCTTTGACAGTTGGACAAGTTTGAAGTCTAAGTCTGAAGTTTGAAAATACCGCGAAATACCGTTAGAGTAATAGTAGTTGCATAAGTTGTGTTGTAAATAGTATAAGTTGTGTGTACAGAGTGAGGCAAATAAATTCGTTAAGTATTTTATCGTGAGTTTAAATAGTGGACCCACGGAATCCGTAACAATATCATCCGATGTGTGAACCAGAAGGTCTGCTAAGTTGGATGTTGGATATAGAATGGAAGGAATATCATGGCCGAGAACAAGGCATAATTGTATGTCCCTTGATGTAGGGGGGTAGGTTTGTTTCTAATAGGCAGTAAAACCAAAAATTCTACTGTGAATCTTCATATTCTAGGCCTGTAAAGGTAAATAATTCCTGGAGCCATCTCGAGGTATAGTACTCAAGTCGGAGCAAATCAATTGATAGCACGATGAAAAGAAATAATAGCCATCATAAAACTGTAAATATGTATATAACTAGTACAATTACAGTTGAGGGTTGGAACCTTTGTTAGCACATTGTTAACAATCGTCATTAATCATCATTACTCATATCAAAACACTTTTATTATAAACTAAAGTACAATCTACAAGGTGATGTTTATATGCTGCTGATACAGCGTAGGATACTGCCAGTGGGCGTGGCGTGGCATCTAGCCAACCAGTCAGAGCCAACTGAGCGTAACATTTCCGCCACTGAGTAGTAGGAACAAAGAACTTGGAATTGGACCTCTGACTTTCATACTATCTTCACATTTATTACTTCTGATGCTTTACATATGCATCTAATTGCCTGTAATTTGAGACTTGTTTAATTAATTTTAAATTATTAAGATCTATACAATGTTCATTATCAACAATAGTTTCGGCAACGCAAGATTTATCAGTCTCATATTTAGTCTGAGCTAAATGTTCTTTAAATCTAGTTAATATTGATCTTCTAGTTTGCCCAACATATTTCTGATTACAATCTTTACAAGAATTTCATAAATACCCGACCTTTCCAGTGGAGGTGTTTTATCTTTTGGATTACCTAATAATTGTTGTAATTTATTATTAGCACTATACACAAGTTTATAATTGACATTCTTAAAAATTCCTTTTAGACCACGGGATATTTAATAATAATATTATTAATAATAATTAATTAGAAAACGTAGGTATAGGTTAATGATTTCTGAAAATTCGACTTTTCAAGTGGAGAAAGATACGTCTAAATATTTTTCGATACCGTTTGATAGAGAGTTATCCCGTGGTCTAAAAGGAATTTTTAAGAATGTCAATTATAAACTTGTGTATAGTGCTAATAATAAACTACAACAATTATTAGGTAATCCAAAGGATAAAACACCTCCACTGGAAAGGTCGGGTATTTATGAAATTTCTTGTAAAGATTGTAATCAGAAATATGTTGGGGAAACTAGAAGATCAATATTAACTAGATTTAAAGAACATTTAGCTCAGATAAGATATGGTAGACCGGATAAATCTTCCGTTGTCGAACATATTGTTGATAAAGAACATTGTATAGGTCTTAATAATTTAAAATTAATTAAACAACTCTCAAATTACAGGCAATTAGATGCATATGAAAGCATCAGAATTAATAAATGTAAAGATAGTATGAACAGAGACAACGGTCCAATTCCTTCAAGTTCTTTGTTCCTACTACTCTAGTGGCGGAAATCTAACTGTTTTGCTCAGTGGGTTCTGACTCGGTTGGCTATATTTTGCCACGCCCACTCGGGGCCCACTGAGCGAGTATATAAACGCTCACCTTGTAGATTGTACTTTAGTTTATAATCATCTGCTGATGATGCTAACATGGTTAGCGAAACGCGCGTCCAGTGTAAAAGTAAAAGTGTTTTGGTGTATTGTGGTGATTTAGTGTTTTTATTTTGCAACTAGTACAATGTAGCTATTTAACTGTAAGTACAATGTAGCTAGATATTTAGTAGAATAGGGGTATTATAAATTAATACAAAATACAATAATTGGTCATTCTTTCCATTCCCATTCAATTCTTCCCATTTAATCGTTTTCCCATAAAAAAAGGAAAATTAAAATTAAGAGTGCCCTTAACCAAAAATAGTGAAATAAATGGAGATAGTCAAATTTTATATTAGCGTGTAAGACTTTGAATAAAAAGGTGTAAAAGGATTATAAATGCTGTATTTATATCCTTTAGTATCATGATAATATAAAAAATTTGAGTAGGTATCTCCATTTATATCACTGTTTTTGGTTAAGGGCACTCTTAGTTTTAATTGCCTTAAAAATAATAAGTATAATAATAATTTAAATCTCCCGCTCTTTCATAGTTCGTACCTGTAGCCAAGTAGAGGGCGCTAAAAGCGCAATCTCCCAACATTTTACCACGCGATTCACCACTCTCTAAACTATTAACTTTCTCTATGGTCGTTGCCATAGCGCCAATCATGGTACAAAGAATACAAGTTATGATATTGCGCAGGTTGGTCGCTACGTCACAGGTGATAACAGGCGCTATTGGTCAGCACGCTCCGCGCGCCAGTTCAAATCGTCAAGATATTGTTATAAACCTGTTTTTTTGTTTATATACCGTCATTGAATTATCGCTAGTTACTGTGGAACAGTGCGTAAGGAGTCGGGCTAGGAAGCGAGAGACCGGAGTTCGAATCTCGGCCGGGACATAACTTTTTATTTATTTTTTTAAATACTGTTGTATTCTATAGTTTATTTTTGTAGTATAAAAAAAGAACTATTTATTCTGTTATTTTTTCATCTCCGGTATTAATATAAATTGACTGTTGGTACAATACCTCATTTAATATAAAATAATATTCTACTTTTTGAAATGTATCAGGCCCTAATTGTACCTAAAAGTAATATATTTTTAATGATATACCATATTGTAAACTATTTAATATTTCAGTCACTTAAAAAGTTAATTTGCATTGAATAATTGCCTACCATTAAAGGAAATTTGAGCTATATAATCTTTGATGGGCATATTCTGGGTATGCAAATACTTCCTCTAAATTTTGGGTGTCGTTCAACGGATTTATTCTCAAAACCAGAAACATCTACATATAAAAAGAAAAGCACAGGTCACTAATTATAATAAACTTCACCCTTGGAATTACTTCCACTAATTATAATAAACTTCACCCTTGGAATTACTTCTATCACAATTACAATACATTCATCTGCATTGGCATTTTCTATTTTCGATGGGAAACAATAAAATTCCCAACATTTTTTAAATGATGTAACAATTCCTCTTGTGGTTACTTTTCCATATATATCCTCGTCTCTGTCCTCATGTGAAATCAGAGGCAATGAACATGAAAATTATTTACCATAAACATCGCAAACTAAAAACCTAATAAACAATTTTATAGGTATCGAATATAGAAATAAATTTAGTATTCTTACCCCCCCTATTATGGTCCAAAGTCCAAATCCATGTTAATAGATAATTATTATTTTTAAATATATTTTTTTGGAACTGCTGGTTTTAGTAATTATTAAATTAAACGAACTAAAGTCTTAAAAATAAACAATTCTTAACCATAACCCCAAAAAATGCAGATCTCCTGTCAACTTTCTTTATTTTTTATTTATTCCTCATTTTCCTAGTGACGTCACAGGTGGTATGCGCGAACTGAACCAGTGCCTTCTATTAAAAGATCAGCCTACGGGCGGACTTTTGTTTACTTCATCAGCTGTACATACTTAGATATTGGGTTAGATTCTGTTTCATATTTTGTCGGTTGATTTTTGGTTTTAACTCTTTGATTTTTGGTATTATTTATTATTGTAGTGCAAAAAACTAATTATTTTGGTGTTGAAGTGACATAAACTACTACCAGATATATGGTAACTCTCGGTTTCGCATAAAAAAATAGAAAAATTGAAAAATTACACGTTGTGTAAGTGATTTAACCTAAAAGTGCCCATACATTTTTTACTTATCGTGATTTTTGTGTGTGTTTTTTAAGACTCTAACAATTCATCAATAAAGCTTAAGTGGAGTGTGTTTTTGGTGCTATGCTTCATCTTTGTTGTGTTCCTGGTGGAAAGGATAGTTATATTAGGCAGCCTAAAGTGTCCGGAAGAGCAAGAAAAGTGGGTACGAATTATAAATCAAGAGAATTCTATTGAAAATATCTTTAATAAATTTAAAAATAATATTCTCCCATGATGGTATTAATGAAAACTAGACAACTATGTTTATTTTATTCATATTGTGGAATCTCCACTCCAAGTGTTGTTGGTTCAGCTTCGATAGATTCAAACACGTAAGTAGGTATTATGATCTAGGGAAAAATAAAGAATATGTGTATTAAAGATCATGAAAAAGATTATTATTTTGAGTTCAAATTTTAAAAAAGATTTTTGTAAAGACAAAACTGATACAGTTTAAAAGAAGAATGTGTTTTTGTTTGATAATATATAATGTATGTTAAGCATAACATATATTTGTTCAGTAATTTTTAATGAATAGTATTGATTATTTATAATACCAAATTAATATCAAATATTTAAGTGATGGCTGCCCAGCAAACACGAACTATCGGTAAATAATCGGCCAATTGCCGTAAACGATGGCTGAGTAACGGCATCGGCAAAATATAATTGGTCCTATGTGTTACCGATGATTGAATTTTGGCCTTTGGCATTTGAACGCTGGCATAACGTTGGCATTTATTTAAGTAATCATTTTAAAGTATACAACCGGTAGTGCATCAACGGAACGGCAACGTGCCAACGTGCGTTTCCCATTCTTCTTAAAAATTTGCGTTTGACGTATCTCTTGTCAATGATGTCAGTTATCTAATTTGTCCCGCCGACGCCGACTGACGCCGACCGAAATGGAAAAATGAGAAAAAACGCCGCTTATTGTGTCTTGAATTTGGAATATTGGAATGTGTTTTAAATCATTCGTGATCTTAGTAATTTTTTAAGTGTTTAATTATTGTGAAGTTTTATTGTATTGTTCGATTGTTGCTACTTTGAGGAAAAATGAATAATCAATTGCTAGACATTAGTAAAAACTACCCGACAACGGTGACAACTTGGTGAGTTTGCATGCCTACTTTTGAATCATTTTTGTGCACTTACATGAAACTATTTTGTGAACAGATCAGCAGTTAGAATGTCTACTTTTAAATCCAAAAGTAAGCGTCAGCAAAGACGTTTAATTAACGCAAAGGTAGAGAAAGTAATTGGTGAATTGCGAGCTGAAAATTTTACCTCCGAGGCTGGCTCTGAAGATTCTCATTGTCCTCAGCCCATAGTACAAATCTGTACAAATAACCATACTTATTCTACGCCATCAACTTCTTCAGGTTCTATTTTTAATGAAAATTTATTCAGTTTACATAAAAAAAATCACATACTGATGATACCTTTGATGATTTGAAAGAACTAAATGTATTATTAGAAAATGAAGAACAATTTAAAACTCTTGTAAGTACTTATCAAAACTTTTAATATATTTAAGCCATTTTTATGTAATAAAGTTATATAAATTCCAGTGCATGAAACTTAGTTTAGTTGGCGGAAAAGATGTTGCCACATGCACAAGAAAAATTCTTTCTCGCTTAATTTCACATCAATTAACTCTTAATTTAAATTGGACGGGAAGAAATGAAAAAAGTGGTCTTAAAGAGCTTGGAAATGTAGTTAAGGTCATTGTAGGTAAGTAGCTTAATTCCAGGGTAAATTAGATACATTTAAAAAAATATATATCAACTTTTTTTTTTAAATATACGGCCTTATTATCAATTATAATACCGTATGATCGAAAAAAAAGGCGTCCAGTTCGCTTGGAAATGACGATCGGTGACATTTCCCATATAATTTTACATATAAAATGACAACGATCTTCATTTCATAGCCATCGCTGACACCGATTTTATTCGATCATACGGTACATATTGTCATTTTCCATAAGAACTAAATGTGTTAGAGACAGAATATAGATTTTTGGTAGGAATTGAGCAGGAAATCAAAATATTATAAGCTCGATGAATTTTATAAATCAGAAAAAAATTAAACGATTTTGCAATTTTCGGTTTTGTTCGTATAACTACGAACGTAATTGGAGTTTTTTAACTTTCAAAACCGCATTTTATTTGGCATGAAAATGCTCAACTTTGCCCCAATTTAAAGGACCCTGTATCTGTTACGGTTTATATATCGGAATATATTATATTCCGCTTCAAATTTGTAGCAACCTGTATATACACAAATGCACACATATTTACACAAAGCATATAATTTTGATAATTTTTACTTCTGTTAGGAGAAACTGAATTTCAAAAACGGAACTGCGGACGAAATCGAACACATGATAAAAACTTGGCTTCGCAATGCTGCTGATAGAGATGGGGGGAGAGTAAGAAGAAATAAGAATACTAATTGATTTGATGGTAAGATCTGCTATAATTATTGTATAAAGTTCATATAAAAAAAGTTATTCTTTTATTTTTCAGATGGAACGTTTTATTTTATTTTTTAAGTTTGTTTGAAAGAATGTTTTTTTTTCTCTTTATTTGTGTTCAGCCCTGGGTAAATATGTATATTGAATATTAATGAATTATTTATATTATATCTTCCTTCATAAGCCTAATGTATTTTTATTTATTCCTATAGCCATTTTTAAACAAATAAATAATACAGAATATTACAGTTCGGTTTTTGCAACTTTTCTGAAAAGAAGTTTCACGCGTACAAGGAAGTACATGCAGTGACCGGCTAAAATATGGAACAAATTTATTTAAAAATTACATAATTGATTTTTTAAAAGGGTGCTCGAACACGTCTTATCATATTTTTCTTGCGCATTTTTTGCACCAAATAAAATATACAGGATATATAATTTTTAAATGAATTTGTTCCATATTTTAGCTGGTCACAGTGTATACAGGGTTATTCATAAGTCCTATTTGACGTTTACGGAGAACCAAAAATCCAATCCTCTTAAAAACTGGGGTCTTAAAACAGTGATGCAGTTTCTTGCTAAACTTGGCGACAACTTCGTTTTTTTTTATATAGAACACCTTTATATTAGTTTGTTTTTGAATTAACCTTGAGATTTTATGTAACTTCTAATAATGCCCTATGCCTTTCTTCAACAGTTTTCGAAAAAAAAAATTACTTTCCAAAATTTTCGCTAAAATAAGAATCAAAAGAAGTCGCGAATTCTCGGTTATGCAAAATAGTAAAAAGTTGAAATTATTTTTTTTCCTAAAACAGTTGAAGATATAGGTATAGAAGGCATTATAGTAGTTATTTAAAATTTCAAGGACAAATCAACAAACTAATATACGGGTGTTCTATTTAAAATAACGATGCTGGTTGCCAAGTTTAGCAAGAAACGGAAACCTTGCGTTTGGCCAGCATTCTGCCGATGTTTATTTTAAATTAAATATAATCCATAGGGCCATAAGATTTAAGCACGTATAGCCAGCGTTGGCCCAACGATACAATTTAGACGTTGCATCGGCCCAACGCCGATTTATACGGTCGGCCGACATACGGTTCGACTGTCGGCCGGGCGGTCATATACGGTCCGGGCCAGTACTTTTTTTTGGGGTCGGTCCAGTGCCTGTTCTCCGGCAATGCGGCATTTGTTTGATGCTGGCCCGTAAGAAATGTGTTTGTTGGGTGAATACAATATGAATAAAATAACAATAAAATTGGTATATTTGCATAATACAAAATTAAGTTTTAAGAATAAAGGTGTTACTAAAAATACTAAGAAATTCATATTTCTTTGTTTTAATTGGTCTAATGTTATTTACATTTTACGTAAGAATTATACCGTATCATCGAAAAAAATCGGCGTCTAGTTGGCTTGGAAATGAACATCGATGACATGCCCTAAATAACTGTACACATAAAATAATTAACTAGAATTTTACAATCTTGGAAAATTTGATATTCTTGAATCTTGTTTCTAAATATACTAAATTTTTTGATTTTCTTGGGATTTAGGTTCGGGAAAAACGCTGATTAAGTTTTCATTTGGTTTTTCATTATTTTTATTTGGTTTAAAAAAAAAACGGTTCGGCTAACATTATAGCCTTCATCAGTGTTGTGTCATATGAAAAAAATAGTGTCGAATATAATCCAAAAAATTACATATAAAATATTCATACCACGCACATAATGTTTACTGCGTACTGCGTACTCCATAGTCAATGTAGATAATTTTAGTGTTAAGAATAATAATTTTAAAAAATATGTGGTCATGTTTTGATTAGTTTATATTAGTTTATTAATTGCAGTAAATATTATGAGGTGTGAATTATATTGTATATGTAATTTTTTGGATTATATTCGACACTATTTTTCTCATATGACACAACACTGATGAAGGCTATAGTTAGCCGAAACGTTTTTTTAAACCAAATAAAAATAATGAAAACCCAAATGAAAACTTAAATCAGCGTTTTTCCCGAACCTAAAAATCCCAAGAAAATCAAAAATTTTAGAATAATTTTACATATAAAATGCCAGCGATCTTCATTTCATAGCCATCGCTGACGCCTTTTTTAGATAATATTGTATTATTTGTAAATATAATTTTTCGAAGATTGATACTTGCAAGATATACATATAAATTTTGTGAATGCAAATAATAATACATCACTATTATTAGATATTGAATGTTTTTTGTTAAATTAGATCGATTTTCAAACCCCAAAATTTAAAATATATTTACATTTTACCCATTATGTTATGTACCTATACACTATTTGTACATCGTAAAACATTTGCTGCATTTGTATGGTTCATAGTTTATTTGCCAAAGTATTTATTACTATAAATAGGTATATATGTTGTAGTTATTACTGTATATTATGTATATTTCATTTAAACTATATCATTTTTAAAATACAAACCAAAAATCTGAGGAATAATTATGTTTTCCATGTATTCTACAACATATTTATTAATCCGTTATATCTAACTAGCGTGACGTCATAAATCTCGCCCGAAGGCTGATCTTTTAATAGAAGGCACTGACTGAACGAAATTGGAGCCGCTATCGATCATACCTTGTATTCTTTGTACCATGGCGCCAATCATCAAAAATGATTATCAAAACGTTTTTCAAACTATAATTTGTTATATGTGTTTTTATTAGACAATTTCTTTTGTTTGTGTCCCTAAAAATATAATGTAAGTCTTTTATTTTTGCCATCAATTAAGTACCTATTTATATTTACTCCATTTACAAAACTTTGGGCGTATTACGTTAGTCTTGTTTTATTATAATAAACGATGTATAAATATTTTACTTAAAACTTAAAATAATAAATAATATTTACACATGTTTAGCTTTAATTTTATTTAATAATTGTATAAATTATACTGTTAAATCTTATTTTTTACACATCACAACGCTACTTGTTATTAGTATTGTTGCATTTGTGTAAAAAATAAGATTTGATAATCAAATTTAATTATTTTAGAGCAAAATTCAATAAATACGCTCATTTAAAAAGCCCGCGCTTTGATCCATTTAAAACAAGCCCTACTCAAACATACACTTCTGTAGGACCATTTTTCAGTATGGCAGAATCCATTCTTTTTCTAGCTAGGTATATTCTTTGGTAATACCACAGAATAACTGGGTAATACCCAAATGTGTTACAAAGGTAAAGTTGTATGCAGTGCCTTCTATTAAAAGATCTTTTAATAGAAGGCACTGTTATATGTATATGTACAAAGGTTACAAAAATATCAAAGACATAGAAATCAAAGAAAAATATAAATAAAAACATGACACTAGCGAATATGTTGATAGTGTGTTGATAGCAAATACCACATGATAAATACGTTTAAAATAAAGGTTGATAGATAGACCTTGAGGGTGCAGCCACGCTATCCTAAAAACGGCGTATCGGCGCAACGGCGTAATGACCTTGAATAGATTTCCAGTAATTACTGGAAATCGATTCAAGGTCGTTACGCCGTTATGCCGATACCTCTTTGCCGATACGCCGTTTTTAGGATAGTGTGGCTGCACCCTCAGACAAACCTTTGACCTTTGAGACAGATCATCATATATAAAAAAGATACTTCTATTCACAGAAATATCTAGCTATGCGTAGCTAGATATTCTGTGCTTCTATTATTATTCGGTAAAAGTGTGGATCCGGTGGCTGACCTTGAAGCCCATATTTGCTGCATTTGATCATCGATACTACGCAAGCGCACATAGTCGATGTTGCCAAATTGCAGTTTATTTTCGAATTATTTGCAGTTGAAATTTTTTTTTGGCGTCTTAATCAATAATAATACCACAGAATATCTAGCTACGCAACAGAAGCCTCGTTACACGTATAAAATCGTAGGTATCAAAAGGAGACAGGCTTTAAAAGCCTGTCTCCAAATCAGATATTTTGATGCGGTAGTTTCGCTACTACATAATAGAGGGCGATAAATTTAAAAGAAAATAGTTTTCTACAAACGAAATTTAAAAGGATTTTATGCAGTGTTGCCATTGTCTAATTCATATTGTAATACTTCCTGATAAAGCTTACAGCTTAGCTTAAATTTGCTACATCATTTAAACGTATTAAAATAGATCAGAGCTCTTTTTTCAAACGTTTAGGTATTTAACTTGCCATCACAGTTGCCATGTTAGTTGGAGCTAAATCTTACGAGCTGAATTACAATCACTTTGTAACGTTTGATTGTAATTGAATTTCCTGGCGTTCGATTGGACTTATACTTGGTATAGTAAGTATCTTCGGTGACACTGTAATATGATG